TCTCTTTCACATGCGAAAAATAGTCAAAGGCACGCAAAAACATCATAATGAAAAGTGAAGTCGTTGTAGCCCTGGAGCCAGATACAAAAATTGACCTGATCGCAGACGAATGTTTGATTTTAAATCATGAAAGTGTATGTTAATATAAAAAAGCAATAAATTTTAAAACTGATGCAGCTAAAATAGGGAGTCATTATGCCTATCTAATTAACAAATTAGATACATAAAAATAAATAAAACCTTTGGAATGTTGGAAACCCAATTTTTATAATAATAAATTTATTATAAAAATTAGCTGCTAACATAAAATATAAGTAATAAAATGAATAAAAAAATAAAATTATTGTATTTTAGGAATGAAATATGACAATAAAAAATTTAAATAAATAATTATGACAAATCTTATAAAAAATTAGGGGATATGCGATGATGATGCTGGTAAGATTGGTAAAATTTTGTTATTGTTTAAAGTTATAAAAAATATTATATTGATTGCATAAAAATATAAATCATGAAAATATTCTAATTTCTAGTCTGAAGATGGGATATGAAAGTAGATCCCGAAACGTCATAATATAATAAAGAAAAATTGTTTTGGAAGAATAAATACTGTAAACAAATCTTACTTATATCCATAATTCTGTTTTCTTCATCTTTGTGGTATGTAGGATCAGTATCTGTAATAATGAAAAATAGAAAGTAAGAATATATAAATTTTTTCTAATAATCAAAATAAAAATAAAGAATTAAATGTATAATGATCAGGGATATTGGTCAACAAGGGAGGAATCTGATCCTCCCCCCTTTTTTTTCTAGAAAAAACAAGAATTCTCTTGAAGAAGTCGAGACCCTGAGAAATACTAATAGCAATAAAATGTTTTTCCAAAAAGTTAATAAAGGGAGCATCCCTTTTAGGCCGAGACTTCAATCATGCAGAAAGTAGAATGGTTCATTTCTCACTAATAAGAAAGAAGTACTTGAAAGATGGGCTAGACATTTTAATGGCCTATTGAATGAGGGAGTGGCTCAATCTGGGCAGGATTCTGGGAGTCACAATAATATCATGCTTGATGATAGAGAAATAGAACCCCCTCGGCTTGAAGAGATCCAGGATGCGATTGCACAGATGAAAAATCATAAGGCACCAGGAGGTGATGGACTCCACCTGAGCTATTTAAATATGGTGGCGAAGAGCTACATAAGCTCATTTATGATATGATATGATATTCTCCATCTGGATGCTGGAAAGAATGCCTCTTCAATGGAAATATGCGGTCATATGTCCTGTACACAAGAAAGGAGAACAATTGGAATGTGCCAACTACCGAGGGATTTCGTTACTGTAGTGCGCATATTAGATACTCTCAAACATCCTCTACAACAGACTAGCCTCATAAGCCGATTGTCAACTTGGAAAATACCAAGCTGGTTTTCGAAAGGGTAGATCAACTATTGATCAAATATTTACTCTCCGGACGATTCTAGAAAGAAGTCATAAGTATGAACTGTCCACTCATCACCTGTTTATTGACTTCAGGAGCGGCTACGATACCATAAGGAGATACAAGTTGTATGAAGCAATGGAAGAACTAAACATCCCCTCTAAACTAATATGTCTCGTAAAAATGACAATGCAGGATGTACAGTGCCGAATACGCATTCATTCGGAATGTAATAAAGGACTGAGACAAGGTGGTGAGGAATTCTGGCACGGTCCTTTGCAGCTCTCAAAGGTGCTTTCCTTGAATTGCAAAAAGCTGCAGCTAAGATCGGGCTCCACATTAATGAGAATAAAACAAAATATATGTATACAGGAGAAGGAGAGAATCCCCAAAACCAAATAATATCTCTAGGCCCTTACACCTTTGAGAATGTCCGACAGTTCTCTTATTAGACATCACAAATTATGACAAAAAATGAGATATCACTTGAAATAAAGTGCAGAATAGCAGCTGCCAACCGATGCTATTTTGGCCTACTTAAGCACATTGGAAGCTCACTACTTAGTAGACGAACGAAGCTGCAGCTCTATAAAATGCTCATCTGGCCAGTTCTTACCTACGGTAGCTAAACATGACAAAAAAGATCTTCTGGCCTTTGAAAGGAAAATCCTTAGAAAAATATTTGGCCCTGTAAAGGAGGGACTAGATTGGAGAATTCGGAAGAATAGAGAGGTCTATGTTTGTTTAATTTAATGTTTAATGAGCCTAATGTGGCAAGAATAATAAAATTAGGAAGGGGTTAAGTTGAGCACGACACATAGCTCGGATGGAGAGGTCTGAAATCCTGCTAAGAGTGCTTGAAGAACCATTACACTATATAAGGAGAGCTAGCAGACCAAAATTGAGATGGACAGATGGTGTGGCAGGTGACGCAAGAGACTTGAGGGAGTCAGGAATTGGAAAGTGGCCACACAGAATAGAGAAATTTGGTGGAAGCTCATTGAGGGGGTCAGGACCCACTAAGGTTTGTAGAGCCATTAAAATAATTAGATATTTTTTTTCTTGTATGAAAACATTGTGACATACAATGATTTGTCCTCTTAAAAAAAAAAAAAAAGAAGTAGAAAAATATAACGTTTAACAATAAATGTACAAATTATTATTTTTTTTACATTTAATGTAAATAATTAAATTTGTCAAATGGTGGCTGGTTCAAAGGGACAAAGAGAGAGATTTTAATTAAATAATTCTAAAAAAAAATCTGCAAAAAATATAAATATACATATATTAACATAACAGAGTATATTAGGCACTTGTAAAGTAGATATAACTTACCTTGTACTCTATTGAAATTATCCACAATTCTGTTCTCTTCATCTTCATGGTATGTAGGATCAGTATCTGTAATAATGAAAAATAGAAGGTAAGAATATATGATTTTTTTCAGATGATCAAAATAAAGAATTAAAATTATAATGATCAGCGATATTGGTCTACAAGAAAGGAATCTGATAACTCTATGTATAAAAATATAAATCACAAAAATATTCTAATTTCTAGTCTGAATATGGGATATGAAATTAGATCCCAAAATGTCATAATATAATAAAGAAAAATATTTTCGCGAGAATAAATACTGTAAACAAATCTTACTTATATCCATAATTCTGTTTTCTTCATCTTCATGGTATGTAGGATCAGCATCTGTAATAATGAAAAATAGAAATTAAAAATATATAACTTTTTTTTTATGATCATATTAAAAAAGAAAATTAAAATTATAATGATCAGGGACATTGGTCAAGAAGGAAGGAATCTGATAGGTGAAACAAAAGAAAACATTGAAAAAAGAATGAAAAAAGAATGAACACAAATATTTTAATGATTCAAAAAAAAGTAAATCGGCACTAGCCCATCATATCATTACTAATAGACACACATTCAACTTAGCACAACCACAAATATTATATAAGGAATCATATAGAACACATAGAAATGTAATAGAATCGATATTTATTATTAAACATAATAAAGAAGCAATAAATTTTAAAACTGATGCAGCTAAAATAGGGAGTCATTATGCCTATCTAATTAACAAATTAGATACATAAAAATAAATAAAACCTTTGGAATTTGACCCTTTGCTCAAGGTTTGGTTCAGTATCTGACTAGGCTCTCCTTAGAGGAGACAACATTATAATTCCAAGATAATAAATTTATTATAAAAATTAGCTGCTTACATAAAATATAAGTAATAAAATGAATAAAAACATAAAATTATTGCATTTTAGGAATGAAATATGACAATAAAAAATTTAAATAAATAATTATGACAAATATTATAAAAAATAAGAGGGTATACGATGATGATACTGGTAATATTGGCAAAATTTTGTTATTGTTGTTTAAAGTTATATTGATTGTATAAAAATATTATATTGATTGTATAAAAATATAAATAAAAAAAATATTCTAATTTCTAGTCTGAAGATGGGATACGAAAGTAGATACCGAAACGTCATGATATAATAAAGAAAAATTGGTTTGCGAGAATAAATACTGTAAACAAATCTTACTTATATCCATAATTATGTTTTCTTCATCTTCATGGTATGTAGGATCAGTATCTGTAATAATGAAAAATAGAAAGTAAAAATATATTACTTTTTTTTTTTACTATCATATTAAAAAAAAAAAAATTAAAATTATAATGATCAGGGACATTGGTCAAGAAGAAAGGAATCTGATCATCCCCCTTTTTTTTCTAGGAAAAACGAGAATTCTCCCATTCTCGCTTAAACAGCTAGAAGAAGTCGAGACCCTGAGAAATACTAATAGCAATAAAATGTTTTTCCAAAAAGTTAATAAAGGGAGCATCCTTGTGTGGATCAGAGGAAAACTTGGCAGTTGATTTAAGGGTGTTACTTAACATTGCCAACAAATTCCAAAAATCAATTATTTTACCAGGTCGTTTGTTTAAAAAGTTATTGTCTTTCATTGTCTACCTTAGTAAATGCAGAGCCATGAATTAAAATAATTTACAGGATTCAATGGTGTTGGAGCTCGCCTTACTTTTGAAATACAGTGATTATCTAAACCTAAAGTTCCCTTGGTATTGGTTTTTGTCAACACTGGAGATACACAGCAGATACTCATTTTGTGGAACTTTTCTTATCAAATTACCACTTGTATTTTTAAAAAGGAAATACAATTTTTAAAATGTGTAAAATCAAGGATATAAAGATACATTTCCGGTCAGCTGATTTAGACGAAAAAGTTGCTGTAAGATCCACACCATATATAAATCTCAAATAAATAATTTAAATTTCATATGACTTTTGGTTTTTGAATAAGGCTGCTCACATACGAACACAAACATACACCATTTTAAAAGACAGTTTTTCACGATCACAATACTTTCCCTTACTTATATATAGGTTAGTGAAAGTAAAAAAACAATTCAAATTATTCATATTTGGAGTTGAAAAGTAGTCTAGGAAGAAAATATGTTTCATCACACTAGAAAATCAGAATTTGAAAACGATTTTTAAAATGTACCTTCAACAGAAACGTTAGGATCTTCAGGAGACCTTTCAGCTGCAGCAGGAGGAGGTTCATGAAACATATCAGATACAGAAGTTGGGGACTCATCATATGCAGGTTGTGGTTCATTATTTTCCACAACAGCTGAAACTATTTGCCCACGGCTGGTGCTGGATGTCTCTGGATGAGGATGTCCCTTTTCTTTTTTAGTATCTGAAAAAGTAATAACAATAATTATTACTACTCAGATGAATACACTTTGTACGAATGGATAAATTAAAATAAAACAAGGATTAAATCATTATTAAAAAAACACAATTTAGTGTTATTACCATCATCAATTTGAAAAACTTTTCAAAAGTAGTATTGTTTACTACGGAATGGATTTGTAGCTCTATTTAATAATGGGCATGGCTTTCCAGTAATGAGAAGTTAGCACCAGTAGATGTCATTTCAACTTTCAAAATATTATAATAAAATGTGAGTAGGAGGAGCAAACAGTAATTAATGTTGTCAACTAAGCTTCAAATTCACCACAGATTCCAACATAATAAAACGTAGTCAAGTGACCAACAATAAGTGAGGAGATTAGCAGTTGGCCAATGTTACATAAGCTAAGAAACTGTTTTAGGATTGAAATTAAACAATGGGCAAATTGCTATCTGATCATTTGAGGTAAGGATTTGATCAACCACGCTGTTCAAAAGAGCAACCTAAATAACAGATTTTATGGGACTTTTTATGGTTTTTCTAAATTTGATAAGGAATTAATTCCCACATTTACAGCCAATTATGAATTTTCTTGATATCAAATCCTAAATTTACTGGGCTATTATTATATTAAGTGATTCTTGTTCAACCAGTCAATTTTAAAGTATATGGTAAACACTTTTTTATTTAAACTGCTGTTTCCAGTTCTTTTATAAATATAATGGATAATTGATAATGGTATTAAAATACGTATATTTATAATTTTGATTTTACAGGCATTATAATTTTCTAAATTAAAACATACACAATGTTTAGATTATTTAACTATGTTATCGAACTATATGTTATCTAACTCTCATCTTACATAGTAAATAAATCTGTGATTTTCTAAACTCCTATTACCAGTTTTATTTATTTTTGTTTTACATGTAACCTTTTTTAAAATGATAATTTAACAGAGAATAGAGTACAAGAAAAAGAACTAAAGCAATGGAAAAGGTTATAGAGTAAAGGGACACTGACATGAGTGTGTATAACTTGTTTGTGGAAAAATGGAAAGAGGTCAAATGAGAGAAAAGCTAAAATATTCCCAAAGGGAGTAAAAACAATATAAGTAAATGCAACTTTGTGAATGGCCCAAGGTCATGAGACTGTAACATCAATACCAATGGGTGTAACATCAAACAACCAATAGGACTGTTATAAGTTTGTTTGATGTACTAGCAATTCCAAGGACAAAAAGTTGTCAGTTTATCACATTGTTCTATACCTGTTACTAACGTAATTAATTTGATAATTTCAAGAATCAGATTGATACGTTCCAATTCGTCTATAGTTAAAACCATTACTAATTCATGGGTGATAAATATTCAGGACGCAGTCTTTTTTAAAATTTTTTTATAAATTTTTAAAAAAGACTGCGTCCTGAATGTTTATCACCCATGATATGTAGAACAGTCGACTAACTTCCTTCAAGCATTACTAATTCAATAAGAAACTGCAATAAATATAATGACATAACTCACCATCATCATGGTAAGAATAGAAATGATACATATTAATATAAAATAAATACAACAGATCAACATCTGACAACATATCACCAGTGACATAGCAATTCTAGCATATGAAAAATTGATAAATAGTAGTAATTACTTCTATTTTGAAGCTCTCGGGAACTTTTAGTGAAATCGCTACCAGAATATCTAGAGGGTGCAACTGATGCTGATCTGTAATTACTCTGAGAAGTTTTGTATTTTGATTCAGAATGGCTGCCTCTAGGAGAAGAGTCCCTTGCTTTACTAACAGCTCTGCTTCTTGCGCGAGGTCTACTTGAATTCCTTTCATCATCCTTTACTCCTTTAAATAATAATTATTATTATTAATAACATATTATAATAGTTATTACTACTAGAATAGATATAAAAATCTGGTGCGCGCAACAAACAACTTTCACTTACCGCTCAACTTTGAATAGAAATTATTTTCTGGCCATGTTGGGCTATTTTAAAATTTTTGAACAATGCCATTGCCTTGATTAGGTGGATTTTAAATACTTGTTTCAAACTTAAAAATATTTTAAAAATTTACTTTTAGTAAGTAAATTTTATTTGATTTCCTTGAAAACATGTGATTTACATTAAATAATATTTTTATTTTATTTATTTAATGAAATTTACAACTGTATAAACAATACAACTAGTAAAAATGCACACATTGGAAATAATGACATGAACAGACTTGAAGAGATACTGCCCAGTGATAGCACTCCCTATTTAATTCTAGGTGAAAAGATCACGTGGCCATCTTCTTTTCAGACGCCTAAGGGGATTATCAAGAATAGAGGAAGAAGCAAGGCTGGAAACAAGAGCATTTGGATGGGACTGAAGTTTATCATGAAAAGATAGGTATCTGGCTCGGGCTAAATCAGCGACATATGGAACGTTACGGTCTTTATTTGTGACAAAATATGGGTCATTAAGGATTTTATGAAGGATTTTGGATTGTAAGGATTGGATACTATAGGAATTCGATGGTTTGGTAGAACCTCAAAACTCAACTCCGTATGTCCATAGAGGTCTTATTATGGTTAAGTAGATGAGTCTTTTGTAATTAATTGAAAGTTGAGAGCGTTAGTCTAGTAAATGTTGGAGTAGTTGGAAACGTCGAGCAGTTTCTTGTCGTTTCAATGTAGTATGCGGATTCCAAGTGAGACGTTTATCCAAGTGGAGTCCTAGGTAGCGGATTTGTTCAACAGGAACAAGTGAAATATCATTGAAGGATATTGTAGGGCAAGAAGTTGTGGGTTTACAATGAAGGGTAAAGGTAATTTGATGGGATTTATTGGAATTGATTTTTATTCTCCACTTATGACAACATTCTTCAAGGTTTGTGATATGTGATTGGAGGGTTTGGGATGCAATTAAAGGGTCATTATTAACAGATAGGATACAAGTTTCATCTGCATAGGTGGTGATGAACGTGTGGGGATGGTTTGTGATATCAGCTGTATATACTGTATAAAGGATAGGACCGAGGATGCTCTCTTGAGAAACACCAGCAGACTGGAAAAGGGATGAACATGCATTATTATGATTTATTTTGAAGTATCGATCAGTAAGGTATGAACGGATAATGAGGAAGTATGTAGGTGGTAGGAATTTACTGAGTTTATAAAGCAGTCCTAGGTGCCAGACTCAACATCAAACACCTTTTCAACGTCGAGAAAGACTCCCGTACAGTACATTTTGCACACCAATGCAGAGGAGTTGCACCACACGATGACATTGCTGGTGAGTGGAATGGGATGTGCGGAATCCAAATTGGTGATCAAGGATTATATTATTAGAATCTAGGATGGCGTACAGGCGTTTTAAAATGAGTTTTTCTAGGATTTTGCCCATGATTGGTAAAAGAGAGATAGGACGGTAAGAGGATGGGTATTCTGGTGGCTTTTTGGATCATTTTGACAATTGATAGTTTCCAAGGATCAGGGAAATATGTGGATCAGAGCACAGCATAAATAATATTAGTTTTCAAAAATTATTATTTATAATGTTTTCACTAATCTCCGTAACCTTCTACAACTATATTAGATATTGTTTTTTCTCTAAAATTCTCTGCTTTCCAACCATATACATTCTGACCGGGATTTCCAGAGATACATTTTCGACATTTTTATTTTTTTCTCCTTTATTAACTAATCAAATTCTTTCAAAAGTTATATTTAGCATTTTTTTATAACTCTGGATAATGAGAGATGATTAACTTTTTAAAATAAACCATATTAAAGGTACTTTAGAGGAAGACGTATATGAACATTGAGCATTTAAGCATGGTAAAGTGATATCAATGGGGATAAAGCCTAATTGATATTAAAGATCATTTAATTATACAATGATACATCGAGTTTAATCAAAATCGTTTGAGCCGTTTTTGAGAAAATTGTGAAAATGTGTTTCAGCGTTGATATGAAGTGGCACTTCCGGTAAGCCAATTGTAAGGAAAAAGTTGCTGTCACATCTAAGGCATATATCTATCTTAAATACATAATATCAGTTAGGTATGACTTTTCGTTTTTGAGCTAGACTGCTAACATACATACACACAGACCATTTTTTGGGACTTGGTTATATCGACTCAGGGTACCCCAAAACGTGTATTTACGTTGAAAACTCAGGTTCAAAAATTTTCTCGATCGCAATACTTACCCTTACTATATATTACATATATTACATAAGTGAAAGTAAAAAGATAATTGATCAGCAAATGGTATGGGATATAGTAAAACTTAAATTTTCAGATCACACATTTTTTTAAAAGTTAACTGACAAACATAGTACATTATTATATGATCTGAAAATTTAAGTTTTACCACATCTACCTGACTTGTCTCCAACTGAGTTTCATTTTTTCTGAGTGCTTGTTGGAGTTTAAAAAAACTAAATATTGCCAACTCTCGACGACTTGGATTCTTTGATAACACAATTTTTTTTTTTAAATCCATAATGAAAATAATTTCTCCTGAAATTTAACCTCTACAAGTTAAAGGAATGAACTATTTACCTCTACTACTCATAAGGCATATTTTTAAAAAACATCAAGTTTATTTTCTGTGTGTTAGAGTTTGCCAGAGTTAAGTGTGGTTAGTGAAGTAGAGGCTTTAATTGATTTAAAGTGAGCAAGATATCCTTAGTATTATTAAGAAGGGAAGACTCAGATGGCTCGGTCATGTTGAGAAAATGGATCTCAGTAGGCTTCCAAAAATGATATTCCATCCAGAGGAACTACTTCTTCAAGGAACAGAGGTATTCTTTCAATGGATACCAAGTCACTGCGGTTTCCATAGAAACAAAATGGCTGATAAACTCACCAAAAAAGATCTACAACTGTATTCCGTAAAGAGCTGTGTTGCGGAAAAGTAATGGAGAAAATTGTTTAATGAAGCGGATCGAGTTCCTACGAACCTACCAAGAAAGGAAGCTGTGGCAGAGTTCCGGATGGTAAGAGGCCACGACTACCTTAGGAAGCACCTGCATAGAATAGGAGGGAGTGGCAGACTCTCCACATTGCAACCTATGTAATTCGGGAGCACATATGGATGCAGCGCATTTAGGTGTATGCTCGTGCTTGTTGAACATAAGAAATACCATGCCGTCCAAATCGGAATGGTACTGGGCTGCAAGATCTGATGGCGAAAGCTGATAAAGAGAGGCATAGCTAAAAAAATAAAAAAAAGATACTCTAGGAGGAAAAGACAAAGAGGTAGATCCAGACATTGATGGTTGGATGTTCTGAAAGAAGACTTGAGGAGGCTGGGGATTGGAAATTGGAAGAACCTTGCTGCGGACTGCCAGGAATGGAGAAAAGTGCTAGGTCCAGGACCTAGGTCCTGCTTTGTGGCATGTATCTGCCTGAAAAAGTTTGAATGGTTTAACATAATATTCAGTGTAAACATATTTCACCAGTAGTTTTGTTAATTTGTAACTTTTGAAGTGTATGTTTTTCTATTTGACAGAGCTGAATATGTGATATACCTACACATATGTAACCTAGATTTTTTTTACAAGAAATCTATATTTCAGTTCATTTATCCTGTAGCTATTTTATTTCACTACAATGAAAAATATTGGCACCTAACCAAAAATTCAGACTTAAATCTGTTTAAACTAAACAGATCTACTTCATTGGCGAAGCTCTCTCCACACAGGCAAGTAAACAATTTCAATCAATGCTTTGTCACCATTCTCTTTCTACATATTTAAAAAAAAATAAGCTGTGATTAAAAAAAAATTAAGTTATAATCGATGAAGAATGATAATCATTCCCCAGGACAGGTCAGTGCTACTCCAATATAGAGTCTTAATTAAGTATTCGATAGATGAAGACAAAGTGCACACAAGATATTACATTTAGAACTATGAGAGCAATGCTCCCTTCCACAAGGTCTTTTTTAAAACAGTGAGGATACTGATTTCTCTCATGAAATATCTTAATTAAAACTGTAAAAGGCAGATTAAACTTTATACTGTATATATTTTCATTCAATAGTTTCCCTTAAATTATTTTCTTAGTCACAATGGTTCGGTAGGTTTTAATTTTGTTATAAAATGTGCTTACCTTGTTGAGTGGTAGATTTTTTGAGATTGGCAATACGAGCAGATCTTCTGGGTGGTTCAGAACGACTACGTAAAAATCTCCTGGGTGTATATTCTTCTATAAAAAAAAAAAAAATTAAAGTAGTTATAAAATCAGTCTATTATTTGAAATCCAATCTTCAAACAATTATGAGTAATAATTTTTTGGATGTCCACTTTTAAATATAAAAAGCAAAGGTTTAAGTATAATGTAAAAATGCGTTTTTATATATAAAAAAAAAAGTAAAATAAAAAACGAATAAATAATAAAAAATAAGTGATCCTTAGCTTAATATCAGTTAAAACAAGAAAGGGCTGCCTGATATCAGTATAAAGTACAGGTGGTTGGGAGTATAACTTGGCCAATTTCTGAAAGCCAAGTTAACCAAGAATGAGGAGACAGGAACAGAATTGGATGGCCTTAAATTTGCACCAAAGGTTATTAACAAAATTTATTGTTAATTACTGGACTAAGACTTCTTTATACAAGTAATAATTGGACAATTACTTCTGCATACTATATCGATAACATTAAGCAGCACAGATCAAATAATGGTGTAAGCTGCTGCACAGGTGGCTCCATCATAGCCCGAACCTCAGTAACAGGGGCCTGGAGGAAATACAAGCCACTCGATGGAATATCGATTCCCCAGGCAGCTGCACATCGGTAGTTCTAATCCGTATCTGAAGTACTAGCCATCAGTTAATGTGCCAACTTAGTGCTAAATGAGGAGCTGAAAAGTAAAAATATTTATTTTATACCAATAGCCAGGAAGAGAGATGAGGCAGTTAGTAACTATCTTACACGATCAAAAGCTGTGGAAGATTGTAATGCAACTCCCTACAACCTTGCTCAGTACAATCCGTTCCAGCACACCAGGCTGTTACCAGAAGAAGTTGGAAAGTAAATGCTCTGTGAGTATGATCATTACCTAGAGCCATTATGAGGTTAAGCTAAAACTAATGAAGAATTGGAGAAATACATGGTGTTAAGGGAATACAATGTTGACATAATAAGAAATAGTTACAATCTAAGCTATTCATTGATGATTCTATGAAAGAAAAAGAAAAATATTGCTTAAACTGGGCAGCACATACATCTTTAAGAAAAATCCTTCTTTTATTATTCTTTCTCTTATTATAATTGCAACTATATTGTAGTGCATCAAATAAATCTGTTGTCAGTATTTGGTATTTTCAACTTCCTTAATAATAGTTGAGTTGAGAGGAAGGTGACAAAACGTTAATATACAGTTTAATTAAAAAATAAATAAATAAATAAATAAAATATATATAGTACATACTTCATGTATGGATGTGCAAGAATTTGTTAAAGCCTAGGTGAGTGTTTAGAACATTAATATACTCTGAGAGTGTTTAGTTGGCAACCTGAGGGTGAACTCGTGTGACACTAAGTTGAAACTCACATTTTGTTTTTTACCTGAATATCACTGTTAGTGCAGAAGGACATATATAACAATTTTCTATGTTACTTTGAAATAAAATATGAAATTATACTTATAATCATAGAGAAATAATAATTTTTTAAGCTCTTTTTTAAAAAAAACTCAATTTTTATAAACTACTTTTTGGGCTAACAGTAGCGGTATTGAAATTAATTACAAAATATTAACAAATACGTACACATATTAAAAGATGTTATTCTGATCTTCTAAATTATTTATATGTTATTAAATATTTTGTAAGTAATATCGGAGAGTTAAGAAAAAACAAAATGTTAACTTTAACCTACTGCTCATGGCACTAAGGGAATATAATGATGGCATGATAAGAAGTAGCTACAATCAAAGCTATTCATTGATGATACTATGAAAAAGAAAAAATATTGTTAGAACTAGGCAGTATATTTTAAAGAAAAATCCTTCTTTTATTATTCTCAAGTGTAGGTGAGTGTTTGGAACATTAATATACTTTGACCGCTGTGAGTTCACCCTTAGACTAACCTCTGTAGGACTGTAGAAGAGTGTAAATAAAGACTGGTTCAGGGTTCAGTGATAATGTGACAAGGAAATCTTTGAAAGACATAGGTATATCATTTACTAAATGCAAATTTATAAATAAAATAAATCTTTTAACAATATCTTATTACATTTTCATCATTTATTAGAGAATGTTTTATCTTTTTATACATGTTGGTCTCTTTGCTGACATGATATTAACTAAATAAAATAACAAAAATATCCTACTGAGTATTTAGCAGTTTCTATGTTCACTATCAAAACTAGTGTCTAGGGAGCAAAATAATTTTGAGAAGGAGCAACCATTGGTTCTGGTTGGCATGTACCATCAATGCTCGGCCTCTCCTTCTCAGCTTATTCAACTCGTTCCCGCTCTGACATTAAAGTGGAATAGGTTTGCAAACTTACAGGAATTGAATTCAATGGAAATGTAATAAATTTATTCAAAATAAAGGAATAGATTTACATTACAATTTTTCTGAACAATATGATCATTTCTCGTGGTTCTTATTAAATATTAATCACAACAAGCAGGCCTTCAAAAAATTTAAGAAGAGCTGAAGATTTCAGAAAAAATAAAATCTGCCATATAAAGTCGTAGACAGTAATGGACGGCGATGAAAAAAAATTGTAATTAATAATTTCTGAAAACCAATATTATTTAACGGAAATCAAATGTTTTCATGGAAAATAAATGAAATTTCATTAATGTGAACTTTTAAAATTATTTTTAAGTTTAAAAGTATATAATCCATCGAATTAAGGCAACGGTATTGTTTAAAAAACTGCATTATTGTACTTGTGTGAAAAAAGAACTGAAATATAAAAATATTTCATGGATGGGTAAAACGTATGTTTATAATACATTTATAAATAATAAAAATCTTAAATGCATTTAGGTACTATAGTTTAATAACTTTATAGCCAATATCATATTTAATTAGGTATTTATTGTCAGATTATTCAAAAAATCATTATGTAACTTTGTTAATAAATTCAATTAATGAATAATTTGATGATTTCTCATTCTGAGAACTCACAACATTATTTACGTACAATTTATGTGACAACTTTTGACCTGTCGACTTATTAAAAAGATAGTACTTCAGTACCTTTTAACTAGAATTTATTCATACAATGAAAAAAATGAATAACCATCTCATGAAGAAAATAAGTGACAAAACTTCTACTTACCATCATTATTGTAATATCTAGAATTAAAAGAAGGTGGTGATGTATTTCTTTTTCTTGATGTCTGTTCATATTTCCGTCCTTAAAAAAAAAAAAAAAAAAAAAAGACATGTTTATATAGTTATCTTTTCTTTTTTATAGTTACTTTTAACTTATTTAATTATAAGTTTGAAGTTAGTTACTTTTAATTCTATAGTTACTTTACTTTATTTTATTATTTTTAAAATTTTTTTTAGCAAAAAGCATCATTTTAAAACTTTTTGTCAATAATATAAACTATACTATTAAATATTATATAAAATATAATCCTTAATAAAGAGTCAATCTCAGATTTAATTTTTCAAATTAAACCACTGTAAACCACTATGATGTATATATAAGGGAGATAGATATGAATCGGGTTCAAACAGGCTCGTAAGAATAACTTATGCAGTTACAATAAAGCAATAGAGCACTTTAGGAAACTGGAAGTTAAGTTAAAAGGAATTACAAATAACTGATCCCCATTAACTTAAAAAAAAAATATATATATATATATATATACATATCTCATGATAACAACTATTTGTAAGGTTTTTTTATTTTGTGTGAATGTTGAAACCAGTGCCGGCCTTAGTACCGGACAACCAGGGCAATTGCCCAGGAGTGGCAAACTAGAGGGGGTGCCCACCACTTCTTACTTATGAAAAAAATAAATAAAAGCGTATGAGAATAATTAATTTTAGCCTATTAATAAAGCAACTGAATTAGAGATATATTGAATGAATTATTATTCAAACATTACTTAATATAAAATAGCTTAAGAAATAAATATAATTTTTTGAGGAGAGTGACGTCATTCTCCCTAGGATACCAAATCTCTAAGGCGGCATTGGTTGATACTAAGAATTGTCAGTATGTTTCTTGGGTTGATTCTTCTTAAATACTTACACCAGGACAGAAAAGACAGGTTTTCAATCTATTCTAGCTAGAGTAACAACAAATTCAATATGTAAAGCACCACAAAATAAGTCATACTACTAAACTTAAATTGGCAAATTTAAACAAACTATAAATATATTAATATTCTATTTCTTATAAAAATATTCACACCAATAATTATCAAATAAGTTTGGATAATTTTTACACAATATTTTGTAGATACCTGCACTTTTTGAATCTTTTTTTAAAGGAGATTCTCGCACCAATGATTTTCCTCTTGGTGCATATTGGCTATCTTCCTGCCTGTACCTTGGAGAGGAATGTCTATAACCAGAGGATGCCCTGTTTGGAGTGCTTGAAGAAGCATGTATATAACCAGGAGGTGGTCTAAGTGGAGCACTCGGCCTGGAATGAATGTACCCAGGAGGTGCTCTTTTTGGAGGGCTAAATCTCTTATTTACAGCATTTTTCTCTGAAAAAAAATATACATATATATATATATATATATATATATATATATATATATATATATATATATATATATATATATATATAAGCATGTATTTCTACGATAATTATCATTTTATTTATATATATCTAAATCTACTATACAATAAATCACCAAGAAGAAAAATGTTCCCATATTTCAGTATTGTATTTGTAACAAATAAAGGTGCTAAAAACAATAGAGGAAAAATAAACTTATTTAATTGAAACTTTATTGCCAACAAGACAAATTTATTATCATTTCGATAACGTCTTGATCCTGTTCTTGGAAATGTCGGCAAGAAACGAGTCAAAACAACAGTTTTTATTCATTTCTTTATTCTTAATATCATTGAATATATTTCAAAAACTGTTCCTTCTCAACATTATGAACAACATAACAGAAAAAAAATGTTGAAATTTCGATCTATATACTTTTCATAGACCTATTTATTTTTATTTTTAAATATTAAATAAATTTATATGTTTGATAAATAATATACATAATGGGCATAATACAAATTAATATAAAGTAAAAAAAATATTAATATCAGACGTTATCGAAACTAAGTGAAACTGTGCATAGGTATTTTTTTTTTATTTAATAGGTTGAAATTCAAAAGGTTATTTTATATTTTAGATGGTTAATAACTTCCAACAAATAGGTTATCATAATCTTTATTGTCACTGGATTTAATAAGATTTGGGCAGTTATTCTTTGCTGCAATTTTGTTTTTCACATACATCACTGAAGTGAAGAGAAATAAATTAATAAATATTATGTTTTGTATTTTTTTCCAGGGATTAAAAGCATTTTAGGGAATAGTTCCCAACAACTAGCGAATCCAGGAGAGGGGCTTTGTGCCTATAGACTTTGTATTCAAAAACAACGAATAATTTAAAAAATCTTAATATTTACACACAAAAATACTTCATTTATTGCCAAAATATTTGAAGATTATTGCTGAAAGTAGTTGCTAGAGAGCTTTGATAGCTTTAAAGCTTTTTTTAAGTTGAATCTGTGGAAAAAATTATGCAAAAATATGGTGCTTTAGGTCCATAAGCGTCAATTATCGAGTAAAGGAATTATGATCCACCATTTTCAATTTTATGGCAAAATATACGAAATATAATATATCTTTAATGTATAGAATTTATCATTTTCGCAAGTGCGCTCCCCCTCCCCCTCAGAAAATTCCTGGATTCGCCACTGTTCCCACCCTCACTTAATTATACAAAAAATGAAACATTGTGTGTAAAAGAGGCATTAAATTAATTTAAATAAAAAATAGATCATAACAAAAAAGATGCTGAAGTTAAAAAGAAAGTATTGAGCCAAATTTATTGAGAAGAAGCAAAGCAAAGAGAATGTATATAAAAAAACTAATTAGTTATCACAGGAATTACCCTGCAATTAAACAACCATGAAACATTAAATTACACAAATGGAATGATGATGAGGAAGAAAACCTTGGTAAAAAATGAAATATGGGAAGAAAAACCTTAAAAACAAACTTGCATGAAAGTGCATCACAGAGTAACACACATCTTTAGTCTGTAGATGGTCTATGCTGAACTATTATATGTATTTTTTTTTAAAGAGTCATTGGTTCTGTTTTTAATTTTTTTCTTTTTCTCCTTTCACTTTTCTTTGTCCATTTTTACCTCAATATCTTGTTTCCCCTATCAGATTCACGGTGTTGATGATTTTCATTTATTCAATGATATGATTCTTAAGGGGTTTCATTTCAGTCAAGATGTTTGTAACCATTACATAACAGTCTAATAATCTAGTTATAATATAACCTTAAGTACTGGGTCTAATAGAAGTAAAATAAACTAACAACAAGGCACTTGATTATAGCACTGCATACAATTTTATTTATACTTCAGTTAATTTAGGAAAAATGGAAGTAAAAATTAAAAAAAATTATAGAATATTTATTCATGTTCTCACAGAGACCGATTTCTCTCAGATAGTCACAGAAGGAAACTACTATAAAGAATTTGTGAGGAATAAGGAGGAAAGGAGCAGTAGGTGAAGCAGTAGCAAGAAGAGGGCCTGCTCCTGGAAGGACACTGGAATGAGGATGAGCAGAATAAGAAGTTATAAACACTAGATTATAATATGAAAATCGGTTTCATTGCAGGAGTAAGAAGTTATGCAGTCATACGTAACAAAGCAGTTCTTCATATTGCCTGAATGGCAAAGAAAGGTTTAAATAAATAAAAATATATAAAAATTACATTGCAGATAATTATTATTTATTTATAATAATAAATATCCTTATTATTTATTATAATAATTGTGTTGTTTAGTCTTATTTCTTGCAGAAATTTCCAAGAACAGAGTCAAAATGAAAATAAGCTTTTCTTGAAAGTAGTAATAATTATATAGATTATTACTTTATAATATAATAATTATGTAATATATTATATATCATATAGTAACATATAAATGGGGCATGTAACTTGGAGCAATCCATCTGGAAGCCTCTACACAATGAATACCTCAATAGAAGACAAAAGACCATTTGAAAGGCCAAAAATCGGATAGATAGATCGAATAAAAAAAGATGCAATAGAACTGCATGCAGATAAGTGGAAAGAAATAGGCAGAGATGGAAAAGGAAGCAAAAGATTTACAAGATCTGTGTAATGCCAACAGAAAAAAGAAAAAAAAGGTTAGTATCATTTTTTAATTATTATCATTACATAATATTTTTTGGTATACATTATATTAGTCAAGTTTTAATATTTGAAGATCTAAGAAAATTTGTCAATTGTTCCTTTGGTTTCTCTCTAGGGCTCTGGACAGCAATACAAAAACACAGGAAACAACATTATGAAACATTCATTGTTTGAATTGGGGACTTCTGATGAAGTGTATTAGTTTTTTGTTCTTTCACCTAGTGATGTCTTGGAATCAATCAATGGCAATATTTTTTACAGATCATCTTATTGGATTCAAGGGATGATAAAATGTGAAAATTAGGGAGTGGAGGGGGGGGGGGGAAGTATTCTACAAATATAACCAACCTAGTCATCAAACGAGATTGGGAAGGTTGATATTCATTCTGTGGGTGCACCTTGAAATAAATTTCAACCTGCTCTGGCTGGGTTCAAACGAGCACTAATAGACTTGAGGTTGCTAAGGTGCCACCAACAATCTTGGCCATTATGATAAGACCATTACTAAGACACTTCCACTCTGATCGGTACAAGACAACAACTGTTTAGTAGCTGTCAGGTGTTGGTAGAAACACAAGACCAGTTCTCCCATCCAGTGACAGTACACCAGTAGTTGAGACAGCAAAACAAAAGGATTATTGAACAAAAAAACTATAATGAATGACTTTTAACATTATTACACTAATATATTTTTACTAATCTCAGGCTGCTTAGCAGTAGAAGAAGATGCATTAAGTAAGTGATCTTTTGATTATATTTTCACCTCAATCATCTCGGATAAAGTATAATTAGGAATCACCATCAGAGCCAAGTGTCCATCACTTCTAATTTATATCTCCACTACTAATAATTTGGAATGAGTGCAAATGTTGTTAATTTACTTTTTGGAAGTGGTTCATATTTTGTCTTTATAAGGAATTCAGATCTTATTTTAATTACCTTTATTTAAAGGTGGTTCAGGAAATCTAGGCAAGCTTATTCTTGATGACCGTCTGACGTTACTATAAGAATTTAATTCTGGAAAAAAAAAAATTATAACATAAATATATATATTGTTGATATTCTGAAAAATGATAAATTCAACAAATTGGGTATTTTGCCTTCTTAGATACATAACATCAATAGCTCCCAATGTTTAATAATGTTAAATATATAACTTTTATATTTGCAAACTTTTATATTTCCTCAATGTAACAATGGTATTGCAAGATGGGTGAGTATTTATTCATCCTTCACAAAAATCATTATATAATTATATAGGGCAAAATGATGTTTGCTATTTCAAAATATTAATTATAATCATTGTTTAAAAAAAAACAAAAAACCCTATACCACTACAATCCATGAAGAGTCTTGGGTTCAGTTCTTTGACTAAGTTCACGCTCAACCGCCAGATTTCCCTCCTTAATTAATTATTTAATTAAGGATTCCCACTTTAGATAGGCTTAGTAGGAGAGTCTCCTGATCCTAGGTTGTCCCAAGGCTGATGAAACAGAATAAATAATTATTTTGCCATGAGCCGGAATTCAAACCCGGGATTTTGAGCTTTGGAAGATTAGTGCTCAACCCCACTCCATATAATCATTGTAAAACAATTTTAAAATTGCAATAAAGTTTTTGTTTAAATAATATATCACCTAATTTAGTGTTATAAAACTTATAAATACAAAAAGTTTTGGCTATGTTTGGTAATACAGTTAATAATAATAATAATAAATAATATATTTATTCTGGGACGAGTCTCTTTAGAATAATACAGAACAGAAATGTGGGCTAAGAAGCCTCAGAGATACATAAAAAAAAAAAATGCTGAGTAATTAAATAGTCATAATAAAAAATTATAAGTCACTTTCTAACTTAAATCAGTTAATAAAAAATTGAAATTAAGTAAAAATAATGAAGAGCGATCTAATAATTTATATAAATATTTACAGTGGTATCTATTCACAATTTTATGGAGACTGGATGGATAAGAAATGATTGAACAGGCGGGATTTAAAGGTAGGGAGGGTATTGGATTGATGGATGTGGGAAGAGATGGAGCTCCATAGGGATGAGGATCAGATAATGAACGATCTGTCGAAAGCAGCAGCTCGGTGGACCCTTATGTATAAACCAGAAGACCTGGAACGAGTATTGCGGGAATGAACAGATGATTTGAATAGGGAGCTCGGAGATGTATGAAGGTGGGATTGGATGACTTGAAAGAGGAAGGATGTCTGGAAATACTTACGACGGTAGGAAGGATAAAGCCACTTCAACTCTACATAAAAATGGGGAACAGAGGCGCCCCTTGGGATCCCGAAGGTGAATCGTACAAAGCAATTTATCAAATGTTTTAGCTCTGCCTCAACATACCCAGAGACGTCCCCATATACTGTACAGCAATAGTGAAAGTGGGGAAAAATTAAGGAAATAACCAGGAGCCCACGGATTTCAAGGGGAAATAGGTGACAGAAGTAATTTAGACGTTTTAAGGTGGAAATGGTATGGCAGTACAAGGTTTTTGATAGAGGGGTACAATTTGATGAGATTATCATGTGGGAATAGAGTTGGAATATGAGGTACAGTTTTAAGCAGATGATTGGAGCCAATTAAGATTGCCTTTGTCTTTTCCGCATTCAACTACAACTTGTTGGCTCTCGCCCAGTCACAAATCTTATCCATGTCTTCTTGAAGTTTTTCTGTGATAATAGGTCGGATGGCGGGAAGGACAGGTATATTTGGAAATCATCTGTATAGATATGGTGTCGGGAGTGACGGATCAGGAGGGGAAGGTCCATTAATGTAAATAGCAAACAGAGAAGGAGATAGAGAGGAACCTTGAGGGACACCACAGAGGAGGAGGAGGGTCGTAGATGAAAGTTGACCTTGGACGACTACATACTGGGACCGATTTGAAAGGAAGGATTTGAACCAATGCAGGGCACTGTTGGATAGAGGAAGATTGTGCAATTTCATAAGGAGGATGTTATGGTCAACTGTGTCGAATGCTTTGGAAAAATCTAGAAGGATGAGGATGGTAAGGTTTTGGTGTTCAATGGAGTTTTGGAGGTCATGTGTTATTTTAAGGAGAGCAGATTGCGTTGAGTAGCCAGGTCGTAAGCCAGATTGGAATGGGTTGATAAGGGAACGTTCTTCTAGGAGGTCGGAAAGTTGATTTTGGACAAGGCTTTCTAACGGCTTTGAAAGGTTGGATAGGAGAGAAATAGGACGGAAATTGTGCAGTGAGGTAGGATTGGGAATTTTATTTGAAGGTCGGACTAGGGCAGTTTTCTAGGAGGATGGGAATATAGAGTTTTGCAATGAAAAGTCGTAGGTATAGTAAAGAACAGAAATAAGGAGAGGAAAGTTGGATTTTATTAGTTTTACTGGGGTATTATCAGGACCATAATCATTAGTGTGGGATTTTAGAATAGTGGAAAGTAATTCATTGTAGGTCACATGGGAGAAAAAGAACTCTTCAGGATTGAAATAGTGACGTTTAATATTGAAAGTAGGAGAATCGTGAGTGAAGGATAGGAAATGGTCATTGAGATCATCTGGAGTCATTGGGATGGGATTTAGTTTATTGGATTCTGGTAGAGATAGGTTACTGAGTATTTTTTATTTGGATTTGGAATCGGGAGCATTGGATATATAAAGTCCCATTGGAAAGAATCAAGGTCAGGTTGTAGAGATTTATAGGACACAAGGTTTAAATTATGGTATGAAACCATTTTGGGAGTAAAGGATTTCACGGGTAGGTTGTATTTAATTTGGATCAGGTCGTGTAATGAAAGAAATGGATCAGGGCATAGAGAAGAGAATAGAATTTTGATATGTGAGTCAGAGATGTAGAGTTCTAACCAAGACCATTGCGTGTGATGGATAGGGGAATAAGGAACAAGATAAAGATTAAGGGAAAACGGTAGGTCAGTTAGGGAGTTTTTTTCAGGAGATTGTGAAAGCATATTCACATTGAAATCGCCGGTGATAATAATATTGTTGTAATGGGAAACCAGGGTGACAAGGGAGGATTCAAAGTTAGGATTACCCGTTAGCTTCAATTGTGTAGTTCAGGCAGGTTTATTAATGAGCTAATGTTATCTTGTTATTATGATTGTTTCATTTATCTTAAGATAGCAACATTGATTGAATATTATGTTTTTAATAAGTTAAATTGAATTTTTCACCATTGAAACAAATATTTTAACCAAGCCCAGTGATAATATTGATCCATGTTCTAAATTTTTATTTGCATAGCATATTTTCACAAAATAAGACATATTAGTAAGGATGTTGAGGTTAGGCTTGAAAGTAGTTGGGTTGTGTGTTTGAGATTTATGCAGAATGTTTGCCCTAAAGGCACGTGGAGAGATAGACAATAATGGTAGCCAGAAGTAGAAACCATTAGTGGCTGCCAGTAAATATTTCTGTGCTTTCTCCATGTGCGGAGGTACCACAGGCAGATCTATGGAGTAGTGGCTTTCGGGCTGAAGCCCCTCCAAGATGGTAAAATATAACCCCGTTTTTATTAAAAAAATTATCTCTAAAAGTATCATTGTTTGTCTAAATTATATTTAATGGGACTTAAAGAATCATTTAAACGCCATTTCATGTAGGTACTTAGTTTCTTTCTTCTAAAATAATTATCGTAATATATTGTTAGGTTACGTTTCCTATGAAAAGTAAACAGTTTCTGAACCAATTATTTTTATTTTACACAATAATTATTTTAAATTATTACAAATTATTTCACAGGTTGGGTTGAGATAACAAACACACATTCCACAATTATACAATATAAAAGCAAAAATTAATTTTATTTAACATTTATGAATTTCCATTGGTTTTTCGGGGTCTGCTCTTGGCTCGCTTTTTAACTGTCACTATTTATATTTCACTCACCCTGTTCTGCAGTGAACCTTCCTCTGTATTGTAGTATTCAACTTCTACAATCTTCTTTTATTCTTCTATTTTTCTTTATTGACACTCACTACTTGTTAGTCACCTTCACTCTCTGTGCGTCTCGATGATCTTTCCTAGCCGGCTGGTCACTTTTTCTTCCTTTCGATCCTCTTTACTCGCCGACTGGTTACCTTCCCATTCCATCTGTCTTTCTCCGCCTCTTTGTCCATTTTTGACAGTAGTTCGTGATGTCACTGTCTTTGCACCACTATTTAAAATCACTATGTAATATTTACATTACAATATATATTAAAAAAAATGTGCTAAGGTAACGAAAAAAAAAGATGCCAAGATAACAATTACTATAATTTAGACACGTTTGGCCAAATTTTTATAGATTTAAATTTTCAATTTATAATTAGTGTTTGACTGAGTCATACTCATTTATTCATTGTTTTATTACACAATTTTCTTCAACATTTTGAGGTATTTTTTCTCATCTTAAATATTTTCTCAGGTAAAACTTTATGGTAAACAACCTACATAAAACTCAAACATATGATTTAACTACTAGAAGGCTTAATCTATCAAACTTAAATATTTATACTAACTTTTGAAATTTTGAACAAACACTTTTAGGCTGGTTGGTGGTCCAGAAGTTAGTATTAGTTCTAGACTGAGCTGTTCCTAATCTATCTGTCAGTCTTGTAATAAATTGGTCATTGAGGTTATAATAGATACAGTTAGTTCAAGAATAAATAAACTTAGGATAAAACTAGTTTATTCTTATGTAAAACAGGAACCTCCATTAATTTTATTAGTTCTGAAATTATTGAGTTTTGAAATAAGTAAGGCTAGGTTAAATCCAATGCGGTACTGATCTCTGATGAGCTAACTACCTTAAGTATTTTTTTCTTTATTTGTGTTATAACTTTTTTATTTATTATTGTTGTTATAATTACTTTTATTAATGCTGATTTTATATAACACAATAAAATTGAAAATTATTAAACAAATTTATATCAAATGGGTTTTTGTTTTATTTGTTTTTAATGTTAAATAATAATAACCACAATAGTTTATTACCTTCTCTTGGAGTAGAACGACTACGGCTATATCTTGAATTTTTGGATGATGCGACATCAGGAGTGATTACTTCCCTAGGTCCTAAAAAATTATCACTTAATCAAAGTCTAACAGCAATAGCTTATAAAATATACAAATCAGGTTTTAAAAAATTATTAAATTGTTGTCAATGGTAAAGGCATGTGTTAATGCATCAATATGAAAAATGAATAACAAAACTTAAACTTTATAACAGAACTTTAAGCTGTTATTATACTTTATTATTATAACAGAAGAAAGCGATAAAAAATGTTATGAATGCACATTCCTAAAAGTTTATAAATCAGAGGGTAAGTTCAGATCAATTGTTATATGAATAATCCATAAGTATTAAAATTTGCATCAGGAAATTTCTTCACTATGAGTCTCATATGGTCCTCTAATAACATAGTGAATCTTTTCTTTCACAGCAGTATTTTTTAAAAACATTTCAAAAACACTAAACAAAAATTCAAGATATTCTACTTCTGTGATAGCTCTTCAACTGCATTAACGTACAGAGCTACCATGAGTGGGCTTGATGATTTCATATTAATCACACATCAAATTTTGTGGCTCTATGATACTATAAAGATATCAGTATGAAATCAATTGACTGTAATTCTAACTAAATGAGGAGATAGTCAGCAGTGTGGTCAACTGTCAAATAATATATGTTGTATTACTGTTTATTTAGTTAGCCTTTATCTGGTCAGCACAATAAACAGACTAACCAAATAAAGGGTAATCAAATGAACAGCACTACAACATATAGTACTAATATTAAATATTAGATGGCATTTTTAATAGATAAATATATTTTTACTAATTCTACTTTATATGCTTCAACATTAAATTAAATTAAAGTACTATAAATAGCTTAAACATGAAAAATTTTGTAGGTGATGTGATAATTTTTTCCAGTGGTTAATAAGCACTCATACACGCACGGGTACACGCATTAAGTTGGTCGGGTGTGAATATTTAACACAACCCCGACTAACTTCTCTTTAAAGTTAAAGATGTAAGTTCAAAATTTAGAAAATAAATCAAAAGTGACTGATTTCTAATATCCACATACAGGACATGTTAATTTGCATTCAAGCCTTAAAGTATCCACAAATCATCTCAGAAGTCTAGTAAATACAATTTTCCTGGAATTGATTTCTATTAGGGCAGTGAGGAAATGGAAGTTGAACTAAGTACCACACTAGATTCTGTATGTAATTTTCTTTTCACCATAGGTCATTAAAGAAACCGACTTTTATTTGGTCATAGCCTATCAGTTAACATATAGGTCATAACATATCAGTTAACAAGTAGGTATGTGAATGCGTGTGTTGTATGAGTACTTATTAACAACTGGAAAAAATTATCATATCACCTAGAAAAATTTTGCACGTTTACACTATTTATGGTACTTTAATTTAATTTAGAGTTTAAGCCTATGATGTAGAATTAGTAAAGATATATTTATTTATAAAAAATGACATCTAATTTTTAATTAACAATTTTAAAAAAAAAAATCACAAACTTATCTAACACTTCAATTTCCATTAAAATTAATTCAATACTTGAGCTAATCTCTTTGGCAAGATTTAAGATATTCAATGATCTTTCTGTACTATCTAAAAGAAGTTAATCACCAATTCCTGAGCTATGCTTCGTAACTTTTCAAAACAGTTGTTTTCAACTTTTCAAGTGTATTAGGAAAGCGATTCTGGTTCCACACACACACAGACTGGACAGTAACCAAACTTATATATATATATATATATATATTATATATATATATATATATTATATATATATATATATATATAAAATACTTGTCATTTTCTAGTTATAATTTAAAATTTTTATCTTGAGATATATTTGAATAACTAAATTAAATAAAAGTTAAAACCCTATAGTAGTTGACAGATTATAAATGATATGAATATGAGGCCTTTAGGTACCAAATCCACTAAACCCAACGAGATTTCTTTCCTAAGAGATAAAAACAAAAAAATTCATAAATAGAGTATAATATCCCAAAGCAGTTGATGTTATTTTGATTTAATGAGTTTTGATTAAAACTGTCTGGGCAAAAGAGATAGAAGACTGTTTGCACTTTGAAGTTCACAAAATAAAATAAAAATATATGAACCTCATGGATTTATGGGTTTGATTCCAAAGACCTCAAATCTTCTCTAAAATTTGTGAAATCAAGATAATACAATACAATGAAACAATTGAAACAGTTGTATTACGTACTTAACTCCATGGGGAAGGTCCTAGGTGCAGATTCTCTTCCCTTATTTTGCTTGTGAAACTTTTGATACCTGGTTTCTTTTATTCTAATGACAAAACCATTAAATCTGGATTAAATTTAATTGACCAATTATATGATATATGAGATTATATTACATGAAATGTCAGTTTTAATAAAAAAATTAGTGAAACAAGAAGAAAATATGTTGCACTGCATTTAAAGGGGTGATTCTGAAACTATGATCAATTTAGGCTATCTAAATATTAGAAAACTGAATTCGGTCAAATTTTAATAAATATCAGCATGTTTAAATAGGGTTCTTTTTTTTTTTTTCTTTTTTTTTTCTTTAAGACTTGTCAAAGCAGATCCTATTTTGCCAATAAAATATTTTAATTGTCACTGTAAGATAAAATTAAACTGGATATTTATTTAATATTTCTGCATTTATGATTATTGAATGTAACAAACTCTCAATGAAACTAACTTCTATAAAACTTGAACTTGAAAGACTAATAGTTAAAAACTGGAGTAACAGTAGTTTTATAACAATGAAATAAGAATAAAAGACAACTTTTATTATATAAGCTCTTTTATGTTGTTTAAAAAGGATCCTTAATCATAAAACAATATACAGTCCAATAAGATTTTCCCATGCAGTCTGTACAGAATGATCTAGTACAGAAAAGGAAACTGAAGAGAGACTTTTCTATGCAGGATATTCGCTGGCAGAAGAATGACTTCCACCGGATATATCTCAGCAAAAATATGACTATGGAAATGAAAAAAGTAAAATACTGTTTCCAGAAGCCGGACAGATTAATAGGAAACGACATAATGCCTGGAATATTTTATCACTATATTGGCCTGGAGCTTTACAGCAGTTAAAATCATATAAAATTGACATTGCTGCTATCCAAGAGATGAGATGGACTGGACAGGAAAATCTGAGCAAGAAAGCCATTTGATCTACTATATCTGCGAGGATCATATACGTAACTGGATTTGTTGTTAGCAGGAGGATGGCTCAGTTGATCATTGATTTTAAACCAGTCAGCCCAAGAATATGGCTCCTTTGTCTGAAAGGCAAACACAGAAATTCTTCACTGATAAACGTGCATGCACCTACAGAGACATCGGATGATGAGGATAAGGATCACTTCTACGATATCCTTGATCAAGCTACTGAAGCGATCCCTAAATATGACATGAAAATTATAATTGGAGATCTGAATGCACAAATAGGTAGAGAATCAGTTTTTCGTTTCCATCATTGGAAAAAACAGAATCCATGAAGTTATGAATGATAACGGAGAAAGACCAGTTAGTTTTGTGGCAGCAAAGGATCTTGTGGTAGCTAGCACTCTTTTTTGTTACAAGAGGATGATATACTTTCAGATAGACCATATCCTGATAAGTAGGAAATACAGGTCTCATATACGGAATGTGTGTTTACCCCGAGGAGCAATTATTGATCCAGACAACTACCTGTTGGTGGCCTGCGTTCACACCAGAATATCACTGACAAGTTAAGAACAGGCAAATAAGTTATAAGAAACCACCCAATATAAAACGCATAAGTTAAAAGATCCTTCTATAAGCCAGTAGTTCAATAGATCCATCAAAGAGAAACTACAAACCGTAGAACCAGTTGCAAAAGTTGGCAAAAGATGGGACATATTAAGGGAAATAATGTACGATTCTGTGAGGGAGATCGCTGGACAGTAAAGTTCTGACAAAAGGGCACCGTGGTTTGATCTGGACAGTAAACTGGCAACAGATGAGAGGAAAGCTGCATACTGCATAATGATCCAAAAGAGGCACACCAGAGTATCTGCGGAAGAGTATAGAAACAAAAGAAGGCCAGAAAAAAAAAATACATCAGAGGCATAAAAGATCTTGGGAAAGAAAAGAGTTGGAGGAAATTGAGACGTTTCAGACCAAGAATGAGATCAGAAAGTTTTACATCTGGATTAATAGATCCTGCCAATCATTCAGGCCCCGATTGAACGCAAGTAAAGATATAGATGGTTCTCTAAACACTGAGAGAGAAAAAGTTATTGGACATTAGAAGAACAAGTGCCACCTAAGACCAATATCATTGGTGAAGAGTTGGAATTACCAGATAAAGAGGATATTTTAGGGACACCATAGATCAGCTGAAGGATAATAAAGCATCAGGTTTGGACGGAATTACAGCTGAGTTTTGGAAACACGGAGGAGAAGCTATCTCTAAGTATATGGAGAACCTGATCTTGGACATCTGGGTAGAGGAGTGCATTCCTGAAAAATGGTATAAAACAATTGTATGGCCCATTCACAAGAAGGGAGATCTTCTTGTGAGAACTATGATGGAATCCCCTACTTCCCTCTGTTTATAAGATATTTTCCAATATCCTTTTCCAACTTATATTACCTTTTGTTGAAAAGAAAGTAGGCCAATATCAAGCAGGCTTTATGAAAGACAAAGCTACGATGTAATGATGATGGACAGAGTGACTGAATATAATATATAGACCCACAACATCTTTGTGGATTTCCGAGCTGCCTATGACAGTGTGATTCAAGAGGAACTTTATGACGGAATGAACACTCTTGACATCTCTCCAAAGCAGGTCGGCCTTGTCAGAATGACCATGAAGGTTACTCAGTGTTTGGTAAAAGTGTCCGGAGATATATCTGAGTTTTTCCATAGCCACAAGGGACTTAGCCAAGGTGATTGCTTAGCATGTCTACTGTTTAATGTTGAGTTGGAATGTGCTATAAGAGAATTGAGAATCCAAATAGATGATTTTCAACAAATTGTGCCGAATTCTAGCCTATGCCGATGGTTTGGATGTTGTAGGATACTGCTTCCTGAATATGGAGAGCACTTTCCTAAACTTCAAAAAACAGTTGTTAAATTTTTATTACAGGCGAACCCGTTCAAATAATTATATGTTCTGCAGTCCTAAAAGAGGAGAATATCTAGGAGGGACAGTAAAAATTGGTGACCTCAACTTCGAATGTGTCATTTATTTACCTTGAGAAACTGTTGAACTCAACAAATAATATGCAACCAGAGATTAGCGGCAGATTATGGAAGCTAATAGATGCTATTATGGGCTATAGAGGCACCTAAAAAGCAAATCTCTCTAGGACCACCACAAGATACTTAATGTTGGGATCTTGTATGTATCTATAAGACTCTGATCAGACCCATCTTCACCTATTCATCTCAGTATTGGACGATGACGAAAGCACTAGAAGCAGCTCTATTGAGATTTGAAAAAAGATTTTGAGAAGGAATATGAGGCCTATGTGTATCAGTCTATGGAGAGTCTAACAGTCTATGGAGATCAAGGAAAAATGGTGAGCTTATGAATCTCTACAATGACCTTGATATCGTCCATTTAATAAAGATGGTCAGGGCATGTTGCACGCATGAATAGTAATGAAGTCTCCAAATTGTTCCTAGATGAAAAAATATTTGGACCAAGAAGAATTGGAAAACTTCACATGCGTTGGGTGGATTGCATAGTAGTAGATACTCAGAAGCTGCTGGAAATAAGAAATTGGAAATCAGCAGCACGAAACAGAGAAGACTGGTGGCTCCAACTGAGGGAAGCCTTGACTCTCCAATGAGTTGTAGAGCTGTTGAAGAAGAAGGAAGTACTGTTTCCAGGCTTATAGTTTCGTTTATTTTAGCTTCTGTATTTATTTTGCGTTTATTTTAGCTGAAGTAATTTTTCTATTTACTGTTATTTTTCACCATAGTTCACTTCTGTTAATTATTTTATTCACATATTTTTAAATTTTATCCACTAAAAATTATTTTACCTCTAGTGTCAATTCATCATATTTTGTATATTTTTCTCTCATTTCTGCGACATCTAGTGTCTTGACCTTTTTTTTTTTTTTCCTCCTTCCTTGCATTTTTGCCATACGGGGTTTCAGCAGTGCGTCAATACATTGGGAATACGTACCGCTACAGCTGCCAATACTCTTAATAATAATACTCTTTATTTTATTTTATTGTCACTGCGGCGCGGCCCGGTGCACGGGTATGCGCCTTACTGATGGGACTGCACCTTAGTCGCCAGCTGGTGCCCCGCATCTTGCCCTCCTAGGTAGGTTCCTCCAACAGTTTAATGCTGCCTCTCCGGGTCATCTTCCTCCTGACCTGCTCGTGGAAATCCTCTCCTTATTGTGAAGTGCGTAGGTTCCACCTTTCGTCTCCATTTTCCCAAGAACTCCACGAAGTGTGGTTATTTCTCCTCTTCTATCAGTCGAGGAAGATCCTCAACGTCTAGGGCGTACAGTCCCATCCTCCGCAACAATATGCCTCTGGCTTGCTCCATCGCGGTGCATGATATAACCACATGCTCAGCCATATCAGGGGCACCGCAGTCGGGACATGAGGGATCGACGTTCTTCCCATGCTTCCTGAGTTGGTGTCTAAACCCCCCATGTCCCGTCAGCATCTGTGAGGTCCAGTAGTCCGACTCAACTCAACGTGCCTTCAATCTGGAATGAACAGCGGGGAAGTACTTTCTCAAGGTGGCTCCATTCTTACTTGCAATCCACCGTCCATTCCACTCCTCTAGTGTCGCCTCTCGGACTATGTCACTCCATCTTCCTGGATCCTCACGGACCCTCCCCTGAAGCCCCTCTGGGAGTGCCTCCAGTCCCTGCATCTTTAGGTCAATCCTCCAAGCATCCTCCTGAAGGACGAGGTCCAGGGGCTATTCCCAGGCCAGCACTTGCACCGCTTCGTCGGACACGGTTCTGTACGTCCTAGTCATCCTCATCAGGGCAAGCCATTGAATGGTGGCCATCTTCTTCTGGACCGGATTCAGGCGACGGCTCCACGCTGGGGATCCCAAACATAGATCTCTTAAAGATTAATATCTAATCTCAATCCTTTTGAAACTTGGGAAAAGAATAGTTTAATAACGAATTCCTAATTTTCTTGAATACTACAAGATCCTCTCCAATCTAGTTTTCAACTTGGCTTCGTCCCACAATATTCTCTGGTAAAAATTAATAATGAGATACATGCCGCAGTAGACAAAAAAAAAATAACTGTACTAATATTCCTCAACTTCTCTAAATCTCTTTATTCCTTGGGCCAGTCTACCTTTTTTTCAAATTAAAATCACTATCCCTTCAAATGAAATTCCATTATTAGCTTCCTACACCTACATGATGGTGACTACTAAATATATTTATCCTTTTCTCCTTATGAGTAATCAAAAGCATTTTCCTATATTTAGATAGACTTAAATGGATCAGTACCTGTGATATCTTTAATGAATTTAAGTTAAACACAATGAAAACTCGGGTAATTATGATTGGTTCCTACTCCCTCCTCAGATCCATTGCCACCTTTCCAAAAAAACACACAAAAAAAAAACATATCTCCTGAAGGTCAATAGGCACACTTACGTTATTTCACTGTTCTTGTCATCTTATACACCATACATAAGTTCTTTGTTTTCTCATTCATTTTCTCTCATCTAGACTATGGTTGTATGGTATGTGGAGGCCTCTCATTTGTACACAAGGGAAGATTAAAGTGAAATTTTTTTTGGTCCTCCTTTTTAGGCTATACTGGGGTTTCCTGTACCAGTAGAAGGGGTGAGGTATTAATGCCAAAGTTAAAAGTCCCCCTTGGCACCGGAACACGAACTCAGTATTGTTTTATCAAATTATCTGGGTTGCTAGGCAATGCTGTGCACATGCGTTAGCCCGCTCGACCCCCCCCTCCCCCACACCCTTACCCAATGATTAAAGTGAACCATGAACTGCTCTATAAAATTTGTTTTTGGTACCTCAAGGCAAACTCATGGTGTTCCACCTTCATGACGAGTTAAAATGGCTTTCCCCCCCCTCCCTTCTCATTAACAATATTTCCTAGGATCATTCAGTATTTACCATAAATACAAAGCAAAGCATCTTTGTATGAAAGAATAAAGAAATAATAATTGTTTATTGTTAGGTATATGTTGACCTTCTGAGATAAAAGACCTCTTGCAGCGGCAGAACGTCCTATTGAGAGGATCTAGGGCTTAACCAAGTCTTACACAAGGCAGTGTAGGTCTTAACCAGTAAGATACCTCTCACCCACCCTCTGAAAGAAGACACAATCAAATTTATACTAAAGAGAAGAGAAGTCAAAGCTTTTCGACTTTGAGAATATCCAAGATCGACAAAGAATCTACCTAATCAAAGAAGATAATAAGGGAGGACTCATTAGAGGACTAACACTAAGAAAATATTTCTCTGCCGTCAATGTTAGGCTGATGGCGAATTGGGTACTCCTTATTTGGGGATTATGAATTGATTACTAGAAGTCTCAGATCAGATGGAAAATGAGTCAACATGGTAAAGATGTGAACCCTCAATAGCCCAGTTGTAGAACATGAGGTCATATCCTGCACAACACTTGAGGCTCTGCGAGCAAGGTTGCACAATAAAACAAAGGTATATAGAATCAGAGGATGAATCTCCTGAGCTTGTGAAGGAAGAGAACCATACGGAAAGAAGTATCATGTGTGCAGTAAAGAGATAACACACTTTACAAGAAGGGGATCCATGCTTGGGAGGCTACTGACAGGGATGGAGATAAAAATACTGTGATAATTCAAAAGATAAGATACAAAATAAAGCAACGCATTAATATGAAAAAGACATTAGTATAATGGACTAGAATCCACAAGTTACGTGATATATGCACTTCTGTTTGGTATACTGTGCACAACAGATTGATTATCTTTTTTATTGTAAAATAAGAAATATTAATATTAAAGTCTGAAATTTATTGTCAGGAGTAGGACATGCTTATGCCATGTACAGCTCAAAGAGTACTAAGGGAGATTATGGAGATTCTGGTGTCAATATTAAGGACACATATTGGCTGAAACTGTAATTCTGGAGTTTATGGGAATCATTCAGCACCATATACATGGAACCTGATAAGGTTTTATTATTTCATTTTGATCTTAATTCAATAGTTTACATAATTTAAATTCACTAGATATTTTAATTACTTACTTAGGATCATCTCTACTATAGTTTAGTCGCAAAGGTTTCCTTATAGGACGGAAAGAGCTAGTATAACCAATAGGTTCTATCCAGGTATTATTACGAGAGCCCATATTAATTCTAGTTATCCTTTCCTGTAAAAAAAAAATAATTAATTATACTAATTTAAATAATTACTACTTAAAATTAATTATTATACAATAATTATAAAAATTATAGCCTTAACAAAGAGGCTAAGTTGGTAACTAACTTTTAGGTTGGATAAGTCATATTATAAATATTTTTTCCCAATAGATTAATAGAACAGACTTCGACAATTTTTTCTAAACTCGGTGGTCAGGTTTCTTACAGTCTCACAATTCTCTAATGGTTAAATCAGGTATCTTTCATGAAGAAAAGGAGAACATAAGCACTTCAGTATGATTTGGTTGATATATAGATCTACTAATGGATTATTTATCCTTATTTAGCTGTAGGCTTTAAGAGGGAGGCTTCATGAATACTTAAAAAGGACCTACCCAATTTTTATGAAGAACATGTTTGTTATAGGCCTACTTTAAAATCGGTAGTGTCATTCCTTACATTGGCTTCGTAAATGAAAAAAATCTGTGCAGAATTCCTTCTTAAGGTTTGCTCAAAGCTTAATTTAACTTCAATTAAATCATAATATATATTTATCAATTATCCCATGAGTATTGTTTCTACGGGAACCTGTACACTTCTATTTCTATTCAAACTTATGTGACACAAAGTAGAAACTTATATTTTGTTTTTTCCATAACTCTCCATTATTATTTACAAAAGTATATGTAAATTAGAAGATTATCAAATCATCTTTCAATATATATATTTGTATGTTATAGCGGAGAATGAGGAAAAACCAAATGTGAGTTTCAAGTCGAGATGCCAACTAATCATAGTCTACCTATAGTAAAATTTACATAATTTATTTTTAAGTATGGAACATTGAATTTTAAAAACTTTAAGTAAAATATGAAAAAATGCAATTAGAAGCAATTCAGTGTTCAACTACTTGTATGTAGTTAATTTCCATTAACTAAATATTTATTCATAACCAATAAATTTTGAAGAAAATAAAAATGTGACAAGTAATATTCGACAGAATAATCAATGCTCAGGTCTAGTTGAGAGTTCTACAATCTGAAAACTATTTCTTAAATTTGAATAAAATAGAGCAAAACATAATTTAAGTAAGTTATAAATTTAAAATGATTAAGATATCAAACTGACAATGCCTTGGTCTGTTATGAGCAAGCAGAAGCAGTTTTGAGATAAGATGTTTATCTGTGGCTGTTTCTCTGAAGGGAATTTATCAGAAACAGTAAAAAATAAATTACTTTTGTTGTAGCAGCAATTTTATAATTCATGCTCAAGTTTTAAATAATGTGCTGTGGTCTGTAGGAACTTTGTGCTTACCAACAAAGAGTTCATACATTAAAATTCTGAGTGCTATACTGTTTTTCTTTGACGTTCTGATTCAACTATCTCACAATTATTCAACTAATTCAAATATCTTATCAAAAAGAAGATAAAATAAATATAATAATTGATATGTCCACCAAGAAGTAAAAATTAGTAAAGACATCAGTCAATCATATAAATCCTGAACGACTAAATGGACAAAGGCACTTGTTTATTCATTTGTGATTGGTCCACGTGAATAAAACGTATATCTTATTATAAGCAGGCAACTGTGTTGTCTAAGGACCATCTCTCAAATACTAAAATTCAAAATGAAGAATATACATGCAAAGCAAATTTATAATGGTTTCTTACCTTGGAAATTTAAAATATTCTCATGAATATAACTAAACAGGCAGCAAATATCTTCATATTCTTGTTAGAATAGTCAGGTAACCAGGAGAATAACTTTCCCTACCGGTCTAATTAGTGCAAACCCACAAAAACAAAAAGCTGCAAATATTCATTACTTGTAATTTTATTGAGTTGTAATAAATTATACGGCTGAACATTTGACCAAATTTTATAAAATATTTTGAATTAAATAAATAACTACTAGAAACTCAAAGTATATAGTCTTCTATCACAATATTTCCTTTAAAAGGATATATAGATTATAATGATTCTGTTGCTGCTAAAATAAAACAAATCAGGGGTCTGCATCTGGTTAGTAAGTCAATCATGTCACCTAATGAAAAAATAGAGGTAATTTTTATTTCTGCTTTCAAAGAGTTTTAGCTCAGTAAATTTACAATTTTGAGACAGATATTCGGGTTTAACAACCCAAACGAGTAAGATATGTTTTAATAATGCAGCCAGTAAAAATGATATAAAAAAAAAGTTTGATAAAGAAGCTTCTCAATAAAAAAAAAATATAATAAATCATTATAAAGGACTCTTTAAATACACTCACCTTTAGTTTTGGAGGGTTACACAAATTTATAAAACTGTGAATCATTAACAATACTCTTTTTTGTAAGAATCATACACATGAATAAAAATTAAAAAATCCAGAGCAATTGAACTAAGTTTTCTGTTGGTTTACATAAACAGAAATATTCTATAAGGGTGTGTCCAATATTTGACCATTTAATAAGGATACCTTTAATACAAATGAATGAATGAAAGCCATGATAGATATTGACAGTAAATATATGAAAAAATAACATTTCATACGAGATTAGTTGAGAAAAATCTAGAGGATAAAAATTATAGCATAATGTTCATTCTATAATAGCTAATTATTTTTTATTTAACAACTCACTTTTAATATTAACTGATCAATCCAAGAATATTAAATAGGACAATATTTTAAAGCAATAATTTATTTCTTGTTTTTCAATTATATATAAATAAAAATATCTGAGTCAGTATCAATTAGTTATATTATATATATATATATATATATATATATATATATATATATATATATATATATATATATATATATATATTATATATATATATATATATATATATATCGCTACCAATGAAGTAATGTATGTATCAATATATACACATATATTACTACATTGATAGTCAGATATTTTTATTAATATTAAGGAAAATTGAATAAATAGTTACAAGATGAAATAACTTGTGCGATTTGCTGACTTTTTAGTATTTTATATTATCGATTTGTTAATTGTTAAAGAGTTTAAGGAATGACTCTAGTTACTTCCAGGATTTTTTTAATAATATGGTTTAAACAATTAAAAAAATATTGTTTATGTAATTCCAACAAAATTAATATTATTATTTTTTGCTATAGCACTGGATATGGACAGCGTATTATAAATATATTTAAACAATTAAAAGAAAATTGTTTATGTAACTCCAACAACATTAATATTGTTATTGTTTGCAACAGCACTGGTTATTGGCAGCATATTATAAATATATTTAAATAAATGATCTAATTTTACATTATCTTTCTCTTATCAAATATAATTATGAAATACAAACCAACGAAAAGAATTGTACACAACTCAAAATACAAGGTCACATATAATGCCAAAAAGAAATAAACAAGATATAAGAGCTCAAGATAACTACAGTACTAACAATTCGCAATAGCAGTACAAATTCTGACATACAAAGGTTCTTTAATAATCCATTAACACAATTAAAAACTGAACGAAAAACTGTCACCGTAAGCTAACAGAAACTCAAATAAAAGAATTAAAAAAAAACTTACAATGGCAGCTTGATCGTGGGGCAGAAGCAATGTCAGTGACTCACAAACACATTGGGATCTAGAGTGGGGATAAAAGAGGGGGAAACCAGAAGACTACCATAGAACAACACACACCTAGAAAAGAAATGCTTTATTGCATAAAAAAACTTGACCAAGAAGAAAGAATATTTCAAGTCGGAACCATTACACCTCTCTATAGGTTCAGAATGCATCATTATAAAGAGTAATTATTGATTCCTCTAAATCATAAATGTTATGGAATGGATTATTTATATACAATCCATAAGTGTATATAATATATTATAAGGGATTCATTAATACCATACCTATACAAGTAAACTGTAATGCAGAATATGTAAATTTGTTATTTTCTTGAATGAATACTACATTTCTATGTGAATTTAATACTTACCACACTCTTCAACTAGCCAGTTTTGGCAATGACAGCTTAGACAAAATATATATATATTTTTTTAGAACCTTTATAGTTATTTCCATGAATAATTTATTCTTTTATTGAAAATAATAATTATAATACTATTAGATATAATTTCCACATTACTTCCAAGTACTGTGCTTCAATATCTGCTAGCAATCTGAAATATTATTATTTTTTATTTAAAGTTCTTTTCTCAGTTTAGTATATAAAACAATAGTAAACAAACTTTAGACTAATATATAAAATAATAATAACTTTTAGATAATATTTTTGTCATGTAAACAATATTAATTTACATAACTATATTTAGCAAACAAACAACAGAGCCAAATGCACAGACTTGGAAAACAATTAATATCCCAATATGTCCACAGGCAAAACAGGATGGTTGAAATGGCAAAAGATCAAAGAGCTCCGTAAAGCCAATGGAAAAAAAGAATATATTTATTAAAAGATGCAACTAAAAAATAAATAAAGACTTTATTATAAAAATAAAATAGATGATTTGACTTGACCAAGTCCCTTGTTAGATTGAATATAAACTCTTGTTGAAATTTAATAAAAAGACAATTGTTTACACCAGCATTACATCTGAACACTATTTCATTGGTTGTTGCGTCAATCTTATCCAAACCATTGGGGCAACTTTTTGGCTCTTAGTATATACACGCTGAAACTGGGGATCCTCCAGATTAATTTGTCAATGTAAGCATAATTAACAAAATAATAATATATTGGTCATTAGCTAAATTAAATTTATAGCAGTATAACATCAAGTATACACTTTTCATAAGCATACACTGTGTCGAAATACTGTTTTGCTCAAATTCCAATTACCTCTGAATTACAGCATTACCAAAAATTTCTAGATGTTTTTTCGATGAAAAAAATTGTTGAATCGTATGATAAGGAATAATGCTAATAATAAAATTAATTCACCAAGACTTTTAACTACAGATATAAAATAAACAAACAACCAGAGAGCTAAATATGGCATCTTGAAAAACAAAAGATCAAAGAGCTTCGTAAAGGCAATAGAAAAATAAATAATATATGTATAAAGTAAAAAAATATATAAATGAATACTTTATAAATAAGATTGTATAAATAAAATAGCAGAGCTGCTTTGTCCACTTTTTTTTTTTGTCGGATTTAAGGCGAACTCTTCTTGAAAACAAAGAAAAATGTTTTTAAAACCAATAGTAAGTCTGGATACTGAGTCTTAACCACATCACCTTCATTTTGATGATAATTTAAAATATGGGTTAAAATAGTGACAAAAAATAAATTAATAAACATAAAAATTACTATAAATCGTGAGCTCTATTATGGCTACCACTCAATAGTTGAAACTAGAAATAAATGTTTTAAGTGGTTGTTTGTAGCACAAAAGATGTAAGTTTTTCAATATTATATCAATAAAACAAGAATAGATGTAATTTATTTTACTAAATACAATTTTACTGATTAATGAAGATGTACTTTTTGGCTGTAATAAATAAAGTTTCCAATGAATAACTTCTTATTGTCCCATTATTTTAACAGCTCAGAATCTGAAAGAAAATTAATTTCTTATAAAATAAATCAATTTGTACCATATTTTCATTTTTAAAACAGAAAATTATCCGTCTTAAGGTTATATTAGTTTGCAAGGTAAGTGGTACAGAAAATTTATTTTTAAGACTTGGAACTTTGAATGATCAATCTCAGAATAGATTTTAATTGAGTAGAAGAACTAACAAATGATTATAATTTAAAATAAAAGATTTGTTCTAGTTATTAATTTTTAAATAATTTGAAAATTATCATAGAATTCATTCATATTTGTCATTAGCTTCCTAGCCCCCCCTCCTCAAAAAATGAAATCATATGAGATACTATAACATAGAATAAAAACTGTTATTAGAAAACAAACTTGTAATAAAGAAATTCCTGAGGAGTAGGAAAAAAAAAATATTAGAAAACAAAATGTTTTAAATAAAATATTTTTAAAAAAAAATGGAAGAAGTATTCATGTGTTAAATAGAATGAAAAAATTACTAAGCTTTCTCAAATGTTTTTTATTTAAAATGAATACAGCACTATTGTAATATTTTTGCCCTGTATTCCGCATAACACTTAACAGTTAAGTTTTATGGCACCATATGAAAGAAAAATGAAGTAACAATTTTGGATACATCGGTAACAAGTAGGAAATTAGAAACAACTAAGATTTTCATGAGATTAAAAAATATATATGACAGTGGATGGAGTGAACTTCCAAATAGTTGAGATTGTAACATAATTATTTTAAATTAAAACAAGAGAGAGAGTAGTGATTTGTATTAAAATAATTTTGTAATTTCACCTTATGCCATATAAGAAGCGGCCAATTTGACCATTCATGTTTGTATAACCCACTAGAGTTGTTAATTTTTTACATAAATGCCATCATTATCTTTAAATTTTTCATGAATATTTTCCATTGCAGTGCAGATGAAAAGATGTTCAGCTTACATTTCTTCACTTGTACAATGTATACCATTGGGATCGTCCGCTGATAAATACCGATATGATAAATATACGTACAGATCTAATTGTGACTAGTTAACATCCCTACAGCTAGTCACAAACTTATGTCAGAGATTCATCAGAAGTCATCCAGTATCCATTGATTAGTGAAATTTCCCACTTTATTGATTTGTCTGCATACTCCTTGATTGAGTCAGTTTTATTTCAGACTATTTCTTTTATTACCCTTTTTGTTATATGGGAAGACAAAAGAGTATCAGGCTGATTCATAATTATTCTTTGTGGAGAAGGTTCATTTTCAAAGTTAGAAACAGTCTTTTTTTATTTATTATTTGGCAAAGAAGAAAGAAATAACAGGATAATTATGGTAAACTCCCAGTCTCCAGGTGATTTCATGCTAGTTGTATCATTCCTCTATCAATTACAATGTCACGATCAAACTCACTTGACTAACTCAGACCATTGAAAGCAAAAAAAAGTGAGTAATAAGCTAGGTTGATAAGAAAGAATTAATTAGAGCAAGTTTCTGAGGAGGAAACAGTATCAGTTTAATGCTATTGTCTATGTAAATCAAGATTAAAATAACTCTTGAGAGTAAACAAAGCATTATTTATGGTTTATATTTACTCTGAAATATCCTAAATACCAATAGATATAGAAAATAGAATTTGGAGACAAATAGTTTAATTTTAATATAAAATATTATACTAGTGCGTTAATTTTGTCCATAAGCATAAATATAGAAGGGAACTGGTTTGGATATAAAAAAAAAGTAGGTGTTTTGGGTTGAGAACTAAAAAAAAATTGAATCTGGTGCGGCGTGCGCATCACACAGCTTTTATTTACCATATTTAGAATAGACAGGTATTTTCATATACAGGGAAGTCAACATGAAAAAGACAGTATAACTTCATTTAAAACAATCAATTGCCATGTTTTTCCCACCCATCGAATCGGTTAAATTTATACATTTGCATCACTTTCCATTTCCTTTTACGATTGTATATACCATCAAACAATATTAATGGTTATGGGGAAAAATAGATCTTTTGGAAAATTCTGAGTTTTATCAGAAACATTTATCACGAAACTCGTCGAAGAAATATTGTATATTACTAGATCAATATTAAAAGATTCTCAACATTTCATGTGAAAACCTTTTTAAGAAGTTATAGATATAAAAGTTACTCTAACAATATAAAAGCTCTGTACAGATGGGTATCGGGTATCTGTAAAGGGAGAGCATCGGCCTAAGGTTGGCCGCTCTGGGCTGTTTCCATATAGCTTCCAAACCTTATTTCTCCTTTAGTTACCAATCAATTTTCTTCATTCATCATATTTAACCATTTTTATATCAGTTTACAATGTCGTATGATTAATTATTTCAAATAACAAAAAATATAGGTACCTTAGAGGAAGAAATTTGAAAATTCAGCATTTAAACCCTATTAGAGAACATCAATGAGAATATTAATTATATTTTAAAAAAATGCTTAATTAAAACGCTAAAATGTAGCACTTTTGGTAAGCTGATTTTGACGAAAAAGTTGCTGTAGGATCCAAGGCATGTACAAACCTTAAATACTCAATTTCAGTTGCGTATGACTTTTCATTTTTGAGCTAGACTGTTCACTCACACAGACCATTTCACGGGACCTCTAAACGTGTATTTCCGTTGAAACTCTTGTTATTTCTTAGATGTAAATGTACTCAACCTGCATCACAACTTAAATTAAAATTTATAAAACTTTTGTTGATTATTGTTCTTTACAAATGTGAAATATGGCCACTTAGCTTAAGAGAAGAACAAGGCTTAAATGTTTTTGCAAATAAAATAATGCATAAAGTATTTGGACGGAATGACGAGTCAAACAGTAAATTTAGATATCAATTAAATGCTCAATATCTTGAAATGTACCTGGTTAATATGATTGAGGTGATCTGGTTGCAGTGGAAAAATGGGATGTAAAATGAATGGGCTTAGTAATGAACAAATGTTGAAAAAGTTAATAAGCATTAAGCTGATTGGTGAATGTCTGAGCGGTAGACCGAAATGAAGGTGGGATGATTATGTTAAAGCTGATCTTGCAGAGTAGAGATAGAACAGCGTTCAGTGGATGGAAATATATATACAGTAACTATTGGTACAGACATCGAGCGTTCAGATTTTTTTATTATTATTACAAAACCAATGAAAAATATAATTTGTAAGACAATGATTCATCTTAAATCATTTTCGTTTAATCAGAAGTATATTATACTAAATTACTTCAACATAATTTAGAGATATTTTGAGCATAACAATAAATTTGGTGAAAAATAAATCTTTAAAGTAAAATAATATCAATGCATTTATACACTAAATGCTCATTTTCCTTTCTCATTAAGTTTTAACATAAAAACTTATTTAAAATTTACAAACATAAATAATCTTTACAAATAGACAGTATTTACACTTAATTTACAACTATAATACAATTATTATTCAGACACTTCCCTAACGGCTTGCCAAATTCTTTCCCTTTAATAATAATTTTTATTGGAATTAAATCATTTGAAAAAATTGTTACGAGGCCCTTCTTTTGATGGTAACTTTTCCCCTTATCAGCTGACTGATGTAGATTCTAATTTTTGTGTTGTCAATAGTTTTCTTGACGGAGATCTGAAAAAAAAAAAAATCATTCCCCATTAATTTATAAATCAGAAAAATTAAATCCCAAAGAAAATTTTTTAACAAAATGAATTTCTAATAGCATTTCAAAATTTAAGTTAACAATTAATAAGGCTTACAGACTGCTATATAGGATATATCGATCTATTTGTCACTCTATACATCTTAAGTTCAGAACTTTAGTATTCAAAAAGAACAGTATAATACCTTAAAAGATCATTGGCTGGTGATGAGCAAACTCTTCTTTTCATGCCCAAAGGTTGTTGTCCGACGAGTGAACTCGTCATTGCACTTGCATTACAAAAAAATAGCCGGTGACATGGCGTAGTTTATGTTTAAAATTACCATTCAACAAAGTGAGTTAATGAGAGGTCCTTAATACATTAGCTGCTGACCATGATATATCTTAAATGTCTTTTCTGACAATATTCATCCCCGATGACTGACACTAGTTATGAAGTTCCTAACGGCAATGGACGTTGGAGACGTATATCAGTTTTGAGGTATACCGCTTTCGTTTGACAACAAAGGTGAACTAAATTCTCTATTCAGTGTCTTTATCTTGTGTCCTCATTAATGACCAGCAATCGTAGGAGTGAATTTTGACGTCCGATGTAAAGTTTGTTTATTACATATAATTATAATTTTCATGACATAATTTATACATTATTTGTGTAATACTTTTTCAATGTCAAGATAAAAATGGAATATAAAAAATCGAAGTTTTATAAGAGGTACCATATTGTGGCAATGCAAGAAAAATATAAATATTTGGTTATTCACTATTACATTGAAATTTATTTTTAGAAAAGGAAAAATGAAAGTGAAGTATGAAGTTGCTAACTGCTTGTGATATTGGTTGAAGTATCATTGATGGTACCATCACAGTCCTCACAACTACTAACTAGTGACTTTCCGTGTTTTCTTATTTGCCTCCTAACTTCCTTGGGTCTTTCTCAGTTCTGTACAGTATTGTCTGCACTGCCTTTGCTGTTTTCTTCCCTCATCTGAAGGCTTAGTAAAAGAATGGATACCATGCATCAAACATGGTGACGGTGGTCGGCAGAGTTGTGAGTTCATCAGCGAGAACTGATTAGAACATTGTAATTGATATGTTTTTTGTTTTTTTTTATGTTAAAGATGATCCAAGAATTGACCACTGCCATTCCAAACCTTATATCAATCTGCATGCATGTGTAATGTCCTGTCACGGCAGGAGAGAGAAACATTTTATTTTCATAAAATATAAAGGATTGCTGCCCAATTATATTGGGTTGCTCTATATACACAGCATACTTTTCTATCCTTAGGACAATATATGAACTTATATATAAATATACAGAAGTATTAGTTAATATTAGTAAAATGGATATATATATATATATATATATATATATATATATATATATATATATATATATACATTTTTATTATTTTATTTTATTTGTTCCTTTTTTTTTTTCCTTTTTCCTTTCTTTCATTGTTCATGCTTTTTTTTTTTTTTGCTTTTTTTTTGAGGATCAGTTTGGTAGGGTATCGCTCCCCAGTGTCCTACAGCTTTATATCAGATATAATGATTATTTACGTTTGTATCTTTACATCTATTCAACTCCCATTCAAATATTTAAAAAAATGACCGTTTTAGAGACTTCATAAGATAAGCAAAATTCGAACGAACAAAGGAGGTTGAAACAGTAACAGGCAGGTGGAAACAGAATACATGAGTGTTAAGTCGGGTATAAGTTGAGCTGCAGCTTGGTAAGCAGAGGTCATGGAACAATAATACAAGAATACAGATATAGGAATTCATGATTGAGGACGAATTATAAGTCTCAGTCCTATACAACTGCGAATGTTTTAAGTTGGGTTTTCTGACATTTTCTAATGAGTGAGATAAGTAAAATTTTTATTGATTTGTTACTAAGTTCAGAATCAGATTATGATGATGTTGAAGATGGAATAATTATTTCATTGCTCTATGGAAAAGATCCAAAAAGCAGTTACTTAAATAAGAGAAAATTCTATTGAGAATCCAACTACTTTTCAGGAAAGTATGTTATATATATAAATTAAAAAGGCTTGTTTTGGCCCTATAGTCTATAGTGACTCACATTTTCCGCCTGCCATTTCGAAAGAAAAGACTGGATGGTAATGAAATGTATATAAAACACTCCAGAATTTGATTGCAAGGTTGTATACAAATTTTAAAGCAATCAGTGAAGAACTTTCAAAGATCAGCTGTATAGAACAAACTGACTTTTACATTTTTTTTATATACTCTGTTTCCAAAATTTTCTTATTGACAACACTAAAGCTCGTCAAGCTACTAAACAAAAACTGAAAAAAAAAAATTGGTTGAGAAACAGAAGAGAAAAAGAGACTGAACTGTTATTCCTTTGCCTATTTATATAATGATTATCCATTTATTATAAATTGCAATAAAAACTATGAATATTTCTTAATAAATATAAAAAACATTTAAAATTAAATCCTTTGTTAAAATAACTTACTGCTTCTGATCCAATAGCTGAAATGGTGGCAGGAAACTTAGGAAGGTCTTTTCCTTCAACAAATACTGTTTGCCCACGGTGGAACCTGAAATATCAATTAGTGCAGTCAGTGATTGTAGTTGAATTATTATTAAAAAACTAAACTGTTTAAAGAGCTTAATAATTTCAAGTGTCATGAGAATAAGATATTGCTTAAGTATATAGCCCCATGCTATATGAGTCCAACATTTTTTTTCTACTAAATTTTCACAAATAGATCAGAATTTTCTGTATTACAAATTATTATACAATTAAACAGGTGCAACTGGCAAACAAATATCCATATACACCATTGTGTCCAGATACCTTATTACGACTTTAGGTGCTAAGTCCAATATAAAGATTGCTTATTGTATTTTTGCTAATATTAATCTCATTAAGATAGTTATTAGAGTTTAGATAATATTGTTATTATTATTATTAAATGGCACTACATCTCAATTATTCGAGACTTGGCCAGCTCCAGCATGGATCTCCAGTTCTCCCGGTTAGTTGCTGCAGCCTTCCAATTTCTGACACCAAGTAGTCTACATGTCTCAGCAGCCACACAGCCTTGCCAGCGCAAACATGGTCTTCCCACTCGTCTGTTTCCAAACACAGGCTCATTCATAGATCTCTGTGGGGGTGCATTCATATCCATACGCGCGACATGTCCTGCCCAGCGTAGTCTTGCCAGTACGATGAATTGGCTCACATTCAGGTCATTAAATAATGTCTTTATTTCTAAATTAGTTCTCCTCCTCCAATTCTGTGGTGTTTCCGGGACCCCTCCAAATATGCGTCGTATAATCCTCCTTTCAAATCTGAGCAGGGATTTCTCAACTGCTTCAGTTAAGGTCCAATTCTCACAGCCATATGTGAGCACTGGTCTAATAAAAGTTTTATATATTCTTATTTTGGCCTGTCTTGACAACATTCTACTGCGAAGATGTCTCTGGAGGGAGAAATAGCAATGATTAGCCACTGCGATCGTCCTGTCTATCTCACAATCAATGTTATTTAGTGCATTTACCAAGATATACGAATTCGTCAACATTCTCGATTCCACGCTGTTCCACCCATGCTTGGTTTTCTCTTGTTAGAGGTGAGGATAGGGTGGACATTTTGGACACGTTAATAATAAGACCGATTTTGGCTGCCGACTCTTCCAGGCTTGTAAAAGCTTCTTCTAGATAATATTAAATGCTGAAAATTAGTGTATACCCAATTCTAATTCAATGATTATATTCTCCATCAAACCAAACATTTTAAATCACTGTGTCCATTGTCAAGATTCTTAATCCTTTAAAATATAAAATAACATTTGTTTCAAATTCAATTGTTTTTAATTATATATAAATCTTTTCTGTGTTTGAAAATTAACCTAACAAAAAAAAAAGAAGTAAAAACTATTACTTTGTTATTAATTATTATGGAAGAACTTTAGTCCTTGTAACATTACTCTAAAATTAGAACCAATTTTAGTTTTTAATTTCCAGAAGCAATTTTAGGCTTCATGTGGCTAAGAAATTATAAATTAAAATTCATTATTTAATGTGCAAAATAGAAAACAATAGCACAAAATAGGAGTGAAGCAAATAGTAGTCTAATAAATACATTTTTCCTGAAGAGGCTAACAAACAAATTTTCTTCATACAATTACTTACCATTTTCTATCATAGAGGAGTTTTCCATCTTCAATTCTTATATCTGGGGAACTGGTTGAGTCAGGAATTATAGGACCCAATGATTGCAGACCATTAGCTGCAAAACATAGAACCAATTTCAGAAAAACATAAAACTTAATATTTTAAAAGATCCAATATATAATGCAATCTTGCAAAAACCAGTTTTGAGTATCGAACATATAAATGAGAAGCACATTTAAAATATATAAATAAAACATTTATAAATGCAACATTTAAATAAAAATTGTTTAAAAAATACACTAAAATAATATATCTTACATGCATAATAGGCATACATCCACAATATAAAAAAAAAAATGTTGAATTGCTTATTTAGGCAAATTTAAAATTTGTACATTTTAAGGAGTATAAAATGAACATATAGATTTAACGCAAAAAGTCATAAGTGACATTTCATGGTATTAAATCATTGAGACCATTGATGATTTTTTCTTTTGTGAAATCTGAACATTTTGTACTTTTTGTGGCGATATTTGAAATATAAAAGCTTTGTACCATTTTGGTGAACTTACTGTGTTTTTTCTTTTTCTCTTGACAAATATGGTCAAAATTCACCTTTCATTAACAAAAATGTTCTTAAAAGTTCAGCTCCATCAAAAATGTATTTACAAGATGAGGTCATTATCTATGGGGCACCGATTTCAACCAAATTTATTTGGTGATACTACATTGAAAAATTACAAGGCCCATCATTCATTCCAATGGGCCTTTGGAGAGGAAAAAAAATACTCTATTTATTTAAAAAATGTATGTTATTTCTTTTTGCCTTTGCTTTGCCTCAATTTCTAGATTATTTTATGCCAACCATTTTTTTTTTTTTTTTCAGGATAGGAAAAAATATTGGTGATAGTATTAAATGTGTTATAGTGTATCATCAATTAAAAAAACCTAAAGACCCTTCCTGTGAAGTAGGCAACTAAATTTTTGTTATGAAAAACAAGTTATATTGCTTTTTAGTGTCCTTTAAAATTCTCAACATTGCTTTTTCTTCAAGTTGAGAAAACTTAAGCATCTGTGCTTGTGAAAGGAAATGTTATGATTTTATCATGATATGGTTTTCAGAAACCTATTGAAGAAAAACAACGTGTTAAACCATTTAACAGCTTCAAAATGTTTTATGTTAGATGGTATATTATTGTTGTTACCCTCCGTATCCTTGAAATTTGCCTCACTTTCCATTATTATTAAGATACTACTTAAAATTGAATATGAAGATCAATAGGATTAGAAATAAAAGTTATGTCATTGTGTAAATTATGTAATATATTTAATAAGACAAAACATAATGATCCTGTAATGAATTGACAAATGGTTTGGTTTGGATATCAAGACTACACTATATATAAATATTTAAAAAAATAATAAAATAATACTAACCTGGTTTTCTGACAGAGGAACCTGGCTTGACACCTCTTGCGATGGCTTTTAAATCTGCTTCAATTTCTTTTTCATCCAAAAGAAAATTAATATTTGTAGGGAGAGAAGCTAGCTTGCCCCTGCGCTTTTCAGGAATAGGTGCAGGGTCATTTGGCCTTCTTCTAAGTTTTCTAGTCATGGCAGGCTTGGATTCGGTAGAATCACCTGATAAAATAAATTCATTTGAGTCATAATTTATATGAATATTTGAACAGAACCCTGTCATTCTCATTCACAGTAATTAAAATCCTAGTAGTCTATATATAATATATAAGAATTGAACCTGTAAGTTATTAATAACAATTAGTGTATTTTTAAAATGCAATTAAGCTGATAAGCACTGAACAGACATTGCAATAGATCAGTAACAATTAAATTATAGGGATGGAATCATCATTCATTGGTTCATCTAAAGCAAATAATCAAAAGTCTAAATCATAAAGACTGAATAATGGAATAGAATTGATAAAAAATAGTGAAGCTGAAGTGGAGAATATATTAAATTTATTTTACAATAAATCAAATGCATTTCAAATTTTACCAAATTTAAAATATTTTTAATTGTGAGTTAATGGTTGACTGTCGTTAATAATGAAGAGAAGGATGGTTGGGGTGGTCAGTCAGAAATAAGAAGGAAAAAATAAATAATAATATTTTTATTTTTGCCTTCTTATTTTTGACTGATCACTCCAACAATCCTTCTTTTCATTAAAATATTTTTATTCAACTACTTGTTATCATATCCAATAATGGATCTGTCAAGACAGTTAATGGATAACAGATATCACTTACTTTTCCTACTAATGAACCTTTTTAAATTAACTAAAATGTTATGCCATGGTAACATTTCTTGATGAGTACCATTTATAACACACTAAAAATGACAAGCCAGTAACTGATACTGGTTTCTGGCTTTTATAAATTGGCTGGTCAGGGAGGTCAAAAGTGGATGTTGTGGAAAACCACAACACGTAGTTGTATAACCATTGGTTTATTAACATTACTTTCTTTTCAAGCACTGGACCCAAAGACCTACACTGTTTATATATATATGTACATGTATATGTACATATGCTTTCCTTTGAAAAAGTATACACCCAAGTAAAATTATTTTCATATTTTGGAAACTTATATTTTGGAATATATTTAACGAAACATATTACTCTTTATAGTGGTATGAAAGATTTGTGAAAAATTGATTTTGTCAAATTATTAGTTTTTACTAGAGTTTCTGTTCAACAGATGAGCAAAAGCAAGAACTCAAAAATTGTATGACGCTTTAAAGTGTGGATTTCTTTTAACAATGAAAAATTCAATTTTGGTTTTTAATCAACCCCAGCGGCCTCCTGAGAATACTTTTTGCCCATAGCATCAAAGCGTTCTCTGCAGTTTTATCGAAAGGTTGTGTGATTCTTTTTTAAATTCCTTGAAATTTTGGATCACAGGCTTGTGAAGTATAGCTTCTAGAGAGATAGTGAGTTAAATAGTGATAAAAAAGTGACGCATTTTTTTTTTTTTAAAGTTAGTGAATTACTAAGATGGATAGAAGAAAACTATAGAAGAGAGCAAAGAAATTACCATAACCATTTCTATCAAATTTTGTCAGCTTTAATTTTACTTATTGGAGTGCTACCAATGGGTAGTTTCTCTTCATGTTGTACATGTCATGTTACTTGTTCATATTTACTTCTTGTATTTATTATTTAATACAGTTGTAAATTTCTTTAATAAAAAAAAAATTACTTAGTTCATTATTATCGCTAAAGTGTGTAGTTTCACTAATATAAGAAAAAAAATTGAAAAAAACTGAAGTTTTTTTTTAATTGTAAATTCAAATTTTATACTTGAAATTCACAGGTATAGAGTAACTTATCATTATTTCATGTCCCAAGACAGTAAATACTATAAATTTAAATGGTTGGTAGCTTTCTATACCTATAAGACTTCTCTATATATAAGTTTTCTACCTATATAGGATCTCTATATTTTCATGGCCACCATTTTGTATTACAGTGGCTATATGCTGGCAGCTGAGCATTTTTCTTGTGGACATGATCAATTTTTAAGGACAAACCTTAGTATGAAATAAGGCACCTTTTTTCCCAAAGGCTCTCGAACTAATACATTTGGAGTCCGAGTCCCCAAAAAGATTGTACATATGGTTGTATAACCATGAGCGAAGCTCAATGCCGGATAAAATCACAGGGCAAACTTGAACAAAGAAATCCTGAGGCTGCAACTCTTATTAATTTTTCCATAGAGAGCGTAGTATGGGGAATAAAGACCAATCCTGGTGGCACAAGTTACAATAGATATATGTAGGTACTGGCCTATGGTCCATATGGTAGCAAAGATGTTTCTTGCACTTATTATTGGGGTGTAGGTAGAGTTGGAACAAGGGACCAGTAAAAGAGGACTCCATATCAATCAGAGGAAAACAGAGTATATGAAGAACACACAAAATTCTCCACCGAGACCCCAATCAATAGACACAATATCATTAAGCATACTTTGCCTGTAAGTTACTTACTTACTCACTCACTATACAGCTCTACAGCCCAGGGTGGGCCTTGGCATACTGAATTATAGTATGCCAATCATCTCTATTGCTATCAAATTTCCTTCCAATTTCTCACACCCAGTGTTCTAAGGTCGCTCTCAACAACTTGAAGCCATCTTTTCCTTGGTCTTTCCTTTCTTTTTGTGTCATACATTGTAGAGAACAATGCCCTATAAGGCATCCTGCTGTAGTCCATTCTACCCACGTAGCCTAACCATTCCATATGGAAAGTTTTAACGAAATGAACTATGTTGCTGCTATTAAATGAATTCATATAGCTCCGCATTTTTTCTATACCTCCACACACCCTCTTTACAAACAGCTCCATAAGTTCTTCTCAATATTTTTGTTTCAAAAATATGCAGCAAACTAATTATGCTTGTACAAAGGGTCAATGTCTCCGCTGCATAAGTCACAATAGGTCTTACTAAAGTCTCATATTGTCTTATCGTTTCTTGTGACAAAAGCGATGATCGAAAACATTTTAGGTTGGCATAGTAGCCCGGTTTCCAGCCATGATCCTCTTGTACACCTCAGCATCAATTTTATTTTCAGAATTCACTTCCACCCCAGGTACATGAATTTATTGACACACTTGAAGGTTGAGACCCCATATTGCAATGCTCTGTGGACCAGCCTCATTGTTGGCTCTGACATACATGAATTTTGTCTTATTTTGATTAATTTCCAGCACAACATTTTCACTATTCAACATTCGGCTTTCAATATTGCAAATATTTCCTTTATTAACCTCAAATTTCTGGTAATTAGGCATATATCGTCTGCTTAAGCACATATTTGCACCATTCTGTTAAGTATGCAACCAGGTGAATCCAGTTTTTTCAACACATTATTAAGTACAATATTAAATAATGTGACAGACAAAGTCTGTAAGTAAGATCTTTAAATACCTTGGATTCCATGCTAAAAAAAAAAAAAAAAAAAAAAAAAAAAAAAAAAAAAAAAAAAAAAAAAAAAAAAGCAGAAAAAGCAGATGGAAAGATGAGAGTGGGAAATCAGAAAAACGATGTATTTATTGAGAACATTTTATGACCAGTCTGATATTGTGGCCATAATTAAAAAGGGAAGGTTGAGGTGGCTCGGTCATGTGGAGCATACGGGAAGCAATCGCCCCCCAAAACAATTAATGCATGATAACCTAGGAGGGGCCCCAAGAGGTGGACATCCTAGAATGAGGTGGTTGGACGATGTTGAGGCAGATCTACTGCAGCTAGAAGTTAGACGATGTAGAGCTGTTGCTACTGACCGACCAGTCTGGCAGGCTATCTATGAGGAGGTCCATGCCCTAGGTGGCAGTAGTGCTAATAATAATAATTAGGAACAACAAAATTAAACTCTTTTTTTTTCATAACTTTAGAATATATTAATCCTTTCTGAATATGGTTTTCCAGTAAATTACAAGTGTTTTTTAGGGCTGCGATTTCTTATAATTTTATATCAGCTATCCACTTCTGATACCAAGCATCATATATAAAGTTGAATCCCCTACAGTTTCAGCAACGAATAAATTTTAAATGGATTGATGGAGATAAAAAAATCATAAAATTTCAACAATAGAGCTTAAATAATTGCTATGGACTAGGTAATGGCTAAAATTAAAAATAGGTCCAGACGGAAACCCTTTGAAGTTCTCAAAGACTGGCTGTCATATAGCAACCTTTCTGGTAGGGGATACATGACACGGTTTACATCAAATTAAGTAAATTTCTCTACTCAAGTTTATGAATGACTATTTTTAGTCTTTCATACAGGTCCTTACAAGTACTTATATGGATATAGTACATAATGTGGACTGAATGTTAATAATAAGAGATTACAAGCACACAGAAGATAAACAAATCAAGTGAATTGATTAAGGTAAATACTAATCAAATAAAATTTAAATTTGTACATACCAGATAATTCCATTGAGACTCTTTCAGCCTCAATGATTTTTCTCTTCTCTTCCATGTCTTGAATTAAATTTTCTTTTAATTCTACAACCTTTTCCTCTAGCTCTTTAGTAGCAGCTTTCTTTTCTGCAATGAAATCCTTCTCTGTAATGTCTATCTGGTGTTCTCTCCAAATCTGGTTAAGCCTTAATCTAGAGGAGAAATTAACAGAACATGAAATATATATCAAGTATCAATAGTCAACTTCGTTGATGTTATTAACTTACATCTGTAAAATTAGTCATTGGTTCTTATATCAATTTGAGTTAAAAACTGTTGGAAAATATTTAATGTAGGGGTACAAAAATGTTTTAAGTGAATATCAATTTATGTATGGATCATTCTCCCGCTTCGTACAATATTCGAGATTCAAAGTAGACAAATAAGTAAAGTGTAAACATTACTTTTTTCATAATTCACTTCATGATAGGATTCTAATGATACCTACTCAAGACCCTACTGATTGAATTTCAATCGTGAAGGTGAGGGAAATAGAATGTTAGTCAGGAAAATAAATAGAAGACGCTCAAACTCAACATACATCAATCAATCAGATTTGACCAAAATACACTATCCACCAACAGTTCTAAAACAGAAAACACTGAAAAATATAAAAATTATCAAAAAATGTATATAGACGCATTTAAAGATAAAAACAAAGTTTCAGTCGGGATATATGATGTCCAACATAACCAGAATACATCCATAAACTTGCCTACAAGGTTTAGCATATACAGTGCTGAATTGTACAGTGTCGTTGAAGCTTTCAAAATAGCCAAACGAAAATAAATGAATTAAAAAGTCGTAATTCTAACAGATCAGCTTCCGTATGCAATTCATTCAAAAACATACATCGACAACATATTTCATCGTGCCTAATAAATAATATAATAGAAGAAGTTTATCGTTCAACAAATAACAAATTTAAGGTAGGCATTTTTCTAACAACTAAAGATTTTTAATGTCTTTATTGACTTGGGCTCTACGTCAATTAACCACCCCAAGAATATCAGCTGCTGATGGCTCCTTGATTTCACTTCTAGGTGGACTGACTGATTTTTCTCTAATTTGGTATGTCTTTTTGCCTTGGTCACATTTTTTACAAAGCCATACCTTTTTTTGAGATTTTAATATCTCGACCTCTTTATCGCCCAGATTGCAGCATTTATTGCAACTTATATTAAATTCGTCCTCCCTAGAGATGGCACTATCACAAATAGAGCACAGAACCAAACCATTTTTTGTAATAATATAATATTTACTCATGCTAGATGACTGTTTGTCAATAGAGGCGTGCTGTTGGTCCTTAATACTCAGAAGCTTAGAACGATTAATTAATAGCACTCCACAGCTAGTGAAACACGACCTTTTTCTTCAATAATTTAATAAGCGGTAAAAAAAAAAAAAAAAAAATGAAGGACGTAAAAAAACTTGGTTAACCGTGAAAATAGATGAATATATATATATATATATATATATATATATATATATATATATATATATATATATATATATATATATATAAATTAAAAAGAAATAATGAAGGATACGAATGTTAGAGAGCAAAAACTGTAGGAATGAAGTGAACTGCTTTCCGCCTCAGTTCACATTCATATTATCGTATCAGTAAAAAAAAAGTTAAATAACGGCTGAAATAGAAAACTTATTTCTTGTCGAACAACTTGAAATTCGTGTTCAGCATACAAACATAATGTAGGCCATTAAAAACAATTATACCCAAATTTTCCACTTCAAGCCCTTTTTCAATTTACTTGACTGAACTATATCGGGGCCAATTATTAAACTTTATACTTTAGACTTACAATAAATGTTTCTCATGCAACAAGAGGACTATCCACAATAGATACATATTTACATTTTGTTGTCATCTTCCAATCTCAATCTTTTCTTAACTTTTAACCACCCCACAATGAGGGACACTTTTTATTTTATCTCAAAATAAAACACTGACTCAAATGTTTTATCTACTTTAAGCAATTTATTCCACAAGTTGTTTTAATTATGTTATTGTTTCAGCAAAGATTCATGTTAGATTTTTGTCCATTAACATACAAAATGTTGATGCTTTTACATACTTATTATCTTTTATTACTATGCTTATTTAATTATGTGGTAATAAAATTATTGTTTTTTCATTTGTATATACTTTTTATTATTTTAATTTGATTCATGTTTTCAACCATAATACAGTATATATGTATTTTAGAACGTCATTAAGACACGGTTCCCAAACGATTGCTAGAAGATCGGCCTGTTGGAAAACTTGGAAGAGGAAGACCACGCTTGAGATGGCTGGACCAGGTAGAGGACAGCCTGAAAGGGATGGGAATTCGAAGATGGAGAACGCTCGCTCGTGATAGAGAGTGGCGAAGGATCATAAGAGAGGCCCAGGTTTTTACAGGACCGTAGCACCAAGAATAAATAAATAAAATAACCTCATTAGCCGTGTATGTTTGGTTATTTTCATTCTTAAGTTTAAACAATAAAAAAAAATCTGGTGTAAACTCACACAACTTTACTACCTATTTCAGAAAAGTTTTTATATCTTTACATATTTTCATGAAGAAACAAAAAAAAAAATTGATTTAGATTTATTTTCCTGAAAATTGATCAAAGAAAAGATTTGAGTACGATTTATTTGATAAACTAAAGCAATGTAAACAAGCAATGGATTAAGGTAGATCAGTGTAAAAATTTCAATACTCTCTAATATTGCTTATCAAAAACTTTTTGCCATAGCTTTATTTTGTCAAACAATAATTTCTGTTAAAAGTAGAGAAAATAGTGAAGCTTGCGTGATGCGGACAATAGATTTTCTTATTTTCACTTAATCATCTTTTTTCTTCTATTCACCCCTTTCTGACACCAGAATATGATCCCGTAATCTTCCATTGGAAATTTAATAGCTGTAACTTCGTTAATAGTTGTCCAAAATGAACTATTTTTATAGTTTTGAAGGGAATTCCATTACCTTTCAAAAATTCGGAAATTTGACCCGATCGCAATACTTCCCTTACCTAGTATAGGTAGGAAAGTAAAAAAAAACTGAAATCATTACATAAATAGGCAAACACAAAACAGTTTAGCCCCTTTTTATACTATATTATTCAACAACGGATTTTCTTCCTTCTTTTTTCGTTTAATAGCTATTGATGAGCTTGCGTGTTATCAATAAATAAAAATATGAAATAGTTTGTAAATAAATATATAAATGGTAGTTTGTTCAAAACTATCTCCGAAAGTTCTTCACTGATTTCTTTGAAATTTAATTCAATTTATTATAGTCTTAATCTGCTTTTAATTAACTCTCTAAGTTATTGTGGTTAAGCTACATCCTTTGGAAAACAAGTTTTGGAAATGTGAGTTTTTATCAGAAAAGGTATAAGTGTAGTTAGTTCTCATTCTCGTTTCATTATCATCAAGCCTTTCCTTTCCAAATGGCAGCCGAAAAACGTGATTCGCTTTAGACTGTAGTGTCAATATGGCTTTAACGATTTTAATGAAACTTGGCTAGTCTTCCCCTTGAAACATTTATAATTTATGTATATAACATACTTTCCCGAAAACAAGATGCATAAACATTTATCATAAATTCAGTATTTTATTTACGAATAACTCAAAAAGTACACAATTTTTTATAGATAATAACAATATTTATTTGAAAGCTTTTCATGAAAATTCAATTTCATTTATTTTAGTTTTTGATAAATCGAAAACTTTACATTTATTGATATAATTGGGACTATTATTTGAAGAAATAAATTAATAAATAAGAATTAAATTTAAAAATAAATTCTACAGTTATACTCATTCTTAACTTAAATACTGCACAAGCATTTGTTAATGGAACAAGAATGAGAGTAAAGTACTCTCAGTAAGCTACTTTAAATAAAAGAATTTTAATTCCAACAATTAATTCAATAATTTCTCACACAATACTTCCATTCGAATTTCAAAGAACAACGTTCTTATTAATAACGCCATTTGCCATGACCATAATCAAATCGCAGGGTCAAAGTTTTGGAAAAAATCGTGTATTATTGCGACGTCCAGTAATTTCGCATGGACAACTTTAGGTGTCAGCAAGTAGAGCACGTTCATTTCAAATTTTGAAGTTTATATTTCCAATGGCAAAGGGCAAGGCCTATGTACCAAAGAATAACAGAACATTCAAAAAGAACATTGTTTACAGAGAAGATCTGCATAAAAATAGATTTAAACTCAGTTGAAATTGCTAATTTAAATTTATTTTTTACTTGCTTAATCATAACATTGTTTTATTGTGATGATAACACACATAAATTAAAATTTTGAATGAGTGTATTTTGTATTACTTATAAATAATTTGAATTAGTTTAAGCTCGATTTTTAATTGAAATTGAAATTTTAGTCATATTAATAAATAAGGATTTTTGAATCGTGATTTGCTCTTTATTTATTAAAATTATTTTTTATTTAATTATGTTTTCCTCAAATTTTTAATGGCTATAGTCGAATTTCGACCACTGAGCGAACACTAGTTAGAATAAATGCACTAACCAACAGCTGACTGACATGCTTAAGAAAATTTCTGTGAACTTTTATGAGTAAAAACTTAAATAAAAATGATATTGTATTTTTCTTGTATTTATATTATAGAACTACTTCTCGCATTAACCAGGCACATTTAAAATCCATGTAACAGATTTGTACATCATAGATTATTCTTATTCAATATCCAGTTGAGGAGCAATTGTTTTACGAAGCAGAAGGAATGAGAACTAAATACACTTATACCTTTCCTGATAAAAACTCACATTTCCAAAACTTGTTTTCCAAAGGATCTAGCTTAAACACAATAACTTAGAGAGTTAGTTAAAAGCAGATTAAGACTATAATAAATTAAAAAAAAAAAAATGTGCTGTGTGCGCATAACACAACATATTACTTACCAATCTTAGAGTAGAAAGGTATTTTCATATACAGGAAAGTCAAAGTGAAAACAACAGTATAACTTCATTTAAAATAATTAATTACCAAGTTTTTCCAACCTATCGAATCTTTTAAATTTATACGTTCGCATCACTTTTCATTTCTTTTTACGTCTTAGTATATTATGAAACAATACTGATGATTATGGGGATAATAATCTTTTGGAAAATTCTGAGTTTTATCAGAAACATTTATCACAAAACTCGTCAAAAAATAACATGAAGTTAGAAAATATTGTATATTATTAGGTTTATATTAGTAGATTCTCAACATCCCATGTGAAAACCTTTATAGAAAGTTATGGATAAGTGATACATAAAAGTTAACTAACAATATACAACAATTAGTCCTGTTCAGACAGGTATTGGGTATCTGTAAAGGGAGAGCATCAAAAAAGTTTGGATGCTCTTGGCTTTTTCTGTATAGTTTCCAATCCTTATCTCTCCTTTAGTTACCATCCAGATATCTGTCCTTCCATAATAAACTTCATAACCATCCCAACCCTCTTGTTTCAAACCTTGCTTCCTATTCAATACCTGATAACCCTCCGAGGCGTCTGAAAAGAAGATGGCCACGTGATCTCCTAATATAGACATATTATTAAAGTGCTACCAATGGGTAGTTTCTCAACGTGTGTTTCATGTCATTATATCCATGTGCAAATTTACTAGATGTATTTTTTGTATACAGTTGTAAACATCATAAAAATAAATAAAAAAATAAAATAAAAGGTATTTAATCCCAGTTAGAGAACATCAATGAGAATGAGACCTACAATATATTACAAGCCACTTAATTTAACATTGATATAATAAATTAAACCAAAATCATTAGAGCTGTTTTAGAGAAAATTATAAAAATGTGTAAAATCGATGATATTAAGTGGCACTCTGGCTAGCCAATGTTTGGACAAAAGTTGCTGTAACATCCCAAGCTTGTACAAACATTACAATTTCAGTTGTGTAAGACTTTTCATTTTTTAAGCTAGACTGTTCACACTAACACACCATTTTGTGGGATATTGAATATTGAATGTTGGTTATTTGGACCCAGGGGACTTCAAAACATGTATTTCGTTGAAAACTCAAATTCGAAATTTTCATGATTTCATCTTCCCTTACAATATATTACATAGATAGGTAAGTGAAAGTAAAAACCGAGTTATCCCTTTTGATTATGAGATGCCTCACTCGTAAACATTTCTTTAAAATCATGCAATAATTAAATTTGAGTAAATTTTTAATTCAAGCATACCTTTCTTTGTACTGTAGTTCCAGTTTCTTAACTTTCCTCAAATAATCGGGGTAAGTTCCATCAATTAGCTGCTGTAATTGTGATTTGAAGTTGTTCAGCTTCTCAAGATAAATCCTAGAAAAACAATAGATAACTTCATAAATTATCTTGAAATTATCAAGTGATATTTTTGTGAAAATGAGGTTTTTTTTTCCTGTTGACATGTACCTGTACTGAATCTATGCTTTAATATAAACAAAACTGTAATAATTACTAATAACTTCATAATTTATCAACATTGAACTGTAGAAATGGTTCAGCCACAGAAAACTGATCTTTGCAAAAATGAAACTCAATCCCTATTCTATGAAATTATCAAAAAATGATCTGATTCCAATATTTATCCACAGTGAGTAGTTTAAATTACTTCTTTTCAATAAAGTAACAAGTATGACAAGCTCACTAAAATATAACAAATTTCCTTTATCCATAAAAGGCGAATCTGAAGATTTAATATTTCAGGCACATCTTAATACTTTCAATGCTTTGAAACCATAGAAAAATCTTCAGTCAGAACTTTAATATACACTGACAGGCAAAAAATTCCACCCACTTGGTTTTTCCATGTTTTCATATAAAAATATTTCTGTAAAGTTGTATTTATATATAATGCATGGTATTTGTAGATAATATTTAGTATTTATGGAATTTTATAATCTTTTTTACATTTAATAATCAAAATGTGATTGGGTAAGAGAGATTAGAGAAAAAAAAATTGAAAAACGAACCATTATTATTCTAAAAGAAATTAATTACATCATCGTTTAGTAGCACGTGTTTCCTCCTCTTGCCTTCACTGCTTCTTGAAGACGCCTCGGCACATTTTCCAACAGTCGGGAAATGTCCCTTTGCTGGAGGATAGCCCATTCCTCCCGAAGAGCCCATTCAAGGTCCTGTAGTGTATCAGGAAGTGTTGCACGCGCTCTTATTCGTCTTCCGAGGTTATCCCATAAATGTTCAATGGGGTTCAAATCTGTAGAACGTGCTGGCCAGGATAAAACCTCAATATTGTTCTGTTGAAGGAATGTCTGCACTATGCGGGCGACATGTGGGCGTGCATTATTGTGCATGAGAATAGAACGATCACTGATTTCGTTGAAGATAGGCAACACATGAGGTTCCAAAATCTCATCTACAAAGCGAATGGCCGTCAAAGACCCTCCACGAACAACAACCAATTCTGTGCGGCGCTCCATTGAAATCCCAGTCCACACCATTGAGGAACCACGTTGGAAAGGTTGGCTCTGGGAAAAATTACAGGCTGCATATCTTTCGTTTCTTCTTCTCCATACCCTTTCACGCCCGTCTGGAGATCGAAGAGCGAATCTTGACTCATCTGTAAAAAGTACAGCACTCCATTTGCCCATAGTCCAATGACTGTGTTCTCGAGCAAAAGCCAGCCGTGTTACTCTGTGAGTTCTGGTCAACTCTGGTCCTCTTACTGGACGAAAAGCCATTAATCCATGCTCATTTAATCTTCTCTGAGCGGTACGTTCAGAAATTTGCACAGCTCGAACTTCTTCGAGCTGATGAATCGCTTAAACAACGGTAAGGTGCCGGTTTCGTAAAATTCTTAAAGTCAAAAACCGGTCATGCCATGGTTCTGTTACCCTAGGCCGTCCAGAACCGGGCCTTCTATTGTAAAAACCAGTTTCCCGAAAACGTCTGACGGCGTCTCGTAAAGTTTCATATGGAACTCCGATGGCATTAGCTGCATATCTAATGGAACGTCCATCATCAATAAGTGCCACACCACGTGCAACATCCTCAGCACTAAGAGGCATTTTTAAACTTAATATTGAAAAAATTAAAAGCCGGAGACTAAGAAACGTGCTGCAAGAAACGGCACTTAACTAATGATACTGAATAAACATGTTGATTCCATAGAAAGTAAACATTGGAATCTAGAATCATTTCATTGAATTAAGGATTAAGGGTTATTGTCCTCTATATTAACATTCCTAATTGAAAACAAACAAAAAGATTACCTATTTATTCATTAAAAACAATAGACCAATAAAAATCAGAAATATTTTTAGATGAAAACATGAAAAAATCAAGTGGGTGGAATTTTTTGCCTGTCAGTGTATATATATTTTTTTCTGATTTGGGGAAGCACCTAGACCTCATGGAGGCCTATTGTGCGCCGTCCTAAACTCAATTAAAACAGGGCAGATGCGTTTGCGAACTTGTTACAACTAATAGAATCTATTAGTTCCCAGCGCTTAGGGTCAGTGATACAATCACATCTAAAGTGAAAGTATTGCATCCTAGCCAAATGATCACATCTACAAATAAAGTGATGGGCTGTTTCATCCTCCAAGCCACACAGCCTGCAGGTGGAAGTCTCACTAACGGCCAAATTAAAGAAGTGCTTATTGAGTGGACAATGACCAGTGTACAGTCCTGTCACACACCTAATGGTGCTCCTGACCATTAGAAGAAGTGATTTACTTCTCTTCTGACAGGGAGTAATCCTAGTAGTGACTAGGAACAACTACTTAGAATAAGTTTGTTTACTAGTCTATTCCAAATGTAGCCTAAATTTATCACCAACAATTGTCTTTTAGCGTGGCCAAGGCTTATCCCACAGATGGGCTCTGGTGCTATTGGCACTTGTGCAGAGCTCTTCCTAGCAAAGGCAATCGGCTTTCTCATTTCCTGGAATGGCTGAGTGCCCAGGCACCCATTCTATCCTCATCTTGTTGGCACTATGGAGAAGGTTAAGATTGCCTTTACATTTGTTTACCAACTTGAAGTAGCATAACTATTCAGAGCCCCAACTGCTGCTTGACTATCCGTATATATAATATATATATTTTTTTGGTACTTTGTGCCTAGCGGGCCGGATTGAAACCTCACTTCTTAGCTATCTTTTTTTTTTTTTTTTTTTTTTTTTTTTTTTTTTTTTTTTTTTTTTTTTTTTTTTTTTTGTCCTCCCCTTCCTTGCCGTTAAGGCTATATACGGGGTTTTCCCGGGCCAGAGGGTGTGGGCGGGGATTTAAAAGACCCCCTTGGCACCGGGACGCGAACTCGTGTCTATTTTTATATCATTGTCAGATATCAGGTTGCCGGGCAATGGCGGTGCAGTGCACACACCTTAGCCCATTCGGCTACCCCGCCCACTCTTCTTAGCTACCTTATCATAGTTATTGCATTGTTTAGTTTTCAGTTATTCCCCCTTATTACGTTCACTTATTAAATTCTTTACTTTTGGCCCGTTTGTGTTTATTTTTCATTTTTTTTTAGTTTTTGGCCCGTTTGTGTTTATTTTACTTTTTTTTTTTAGTTTGCGTCCCCTTTGTGTTTATTTTTCATTTTTTTCCCGTTTATTTTTGTCATATTATGGATCTTTTTAGAATATGGGATTTGCCGCCTTCAGAAGAACAGGCAATTCAATATTTTCAAAATGTTGGGGTACTTGCCAACGTGAAATTGTGTGAACGAGGTCATCGAATGAAGTTAACCAGGAAGGTCAAATGGAGATGCTTTCATAGGACTTATGACACAAAACTTTCAATAAGGGAAGGACCATGGTTAGAGGGCTCGAGGATTTCGTTTTCACAGCTTTAAAATTGATTTTTGTGTGGTCCCATAGCTTGACAACGATGAAGTGGGGCAAAGAGCAGCTGAAACTATCCTATGGAGCTATGGTAACGTGGAAGAAATGTCTAAGAGAGGTTTGTGCTCATGACATGTAATACAGGCCAAGAAAAAAAATTTGAGGACCTGGCAAAGTGGTTGAAGCAGACGAAAGTCTTTTTTCTAAATGAAAAAATCATGTGGGGAGAGTTTTACCTCAGCAGTGGATGTTTGGTGGAGTTTGCCGAGAAACAGATGAATGTTTTATCTTTTTATAAAACAGATTTTATGTTTTATATTTTTTTCTTTTCTATGTAAATATGTTCTTTTAAATGTGTTTTTTTATTATTTCATTTTGATGTTTTATATGTACATATCTTCTTAAAGTGTTTTTTTATTATTTCATTAATATATGTGTCGTCAAATAAAAGTATTTTTTTTGTTATTACATTTGTTTTTGTATCTGTTTACACTTTCAATAATACGAATTTAATACAATAATACGAAGATATGAAGTAGGAGAAGGCTTATCACTGCGTTAGAGGAGTTATCAGTGTTCAGGTTATAAACATTGGCAGATAGCAGTCAGTAGCGGCCCCCTAGACAAAAAGTACCTTTTTTTTCGGTTGGCGCTACAGACCTTGTAGATCTTTGACCACAAGCAGGGTCTTCTAGAGCACATCCCGATTCCTGGTATAAGTACATGGGGGTAGGGTCATCAGTCCTATGCTCGGTCGGTGTGAGTTGCCTCTAGTAGGCTGATGGGCTCACAAACCTGGGTGAAGGGGAGTTGTCTCGGGCAGCGTGGCTTTCCCTAGTGGACGGTCAGCCAAATCAGACTGTCACCCATCCAAGTGCTAACCACGCTAGGTGTTGCTTAACTTGGTTATCTATTGCAAGTGCCTTAGCCTGCACTGCTACCCCCGCCCCATATATATAAATATATATTGCTATATTTTAGATTGGCCCCAAAGGGATCGGCTATGGAGCTACGGGTGGTCTGCCGCTGCACTATGGATACCATAGTTCGTAGCATGGAAGAGAGTAAGATGGGAAGACAAAGGTTGATTAGAAATAGCGACTGCTTGAGTACGTTGAGAGAGGAAAGATTGAAACCAAAGGATAGAGCTGTTGGAAAAGGATAACGATTTTAATTTAGAGAAAAGGATGGAATGGTTAATGGTATCAAAGGCTTTGGAAAAGTCTAGGAGTACAAGGAGAGTTAGTTTTTTGTCATCTATGGCGGACTGAACATCACTAAAGACTTTGATTAGGGTGGATTGTGTGGAGTAACCTGGTCAAAAACCAGATTGGTAGAGGTCAAGTTGATTGAAATGTTCGAAGAAGTTGGAAACTTGGGATTGCGCTATTCGTTAGAGAAGAAGAAGGATTAGAACAGTGGCTTATATCCAAGAGGTTGGAAATACTAAGTTCTGAAGGGAGAAATTATAGACGAAAAGGAGAACAGGAAGGATTTCAGGCATACACAATTTGACTGGAATACCATCTGGACCAATAGAATTGGAATATGATTTCATGATGGCGGATATGAGGTCTGTGGGAGAAATATCTGAAAAATAAAAGTCGACACGTTAAACAATATTCCAGAAGTAAAGAAGGAAGAGGTTACAGCACGAGTAGAAGAGGAAGCTGATATAAAAAATGAATTTAAATCAGGTGAGACTGGGAAGATTGCTAAGGAAGGTGATCTGGAAGATTCACAGATTGAGGGTTTATGAAGGAGTAGCCATTTGGATTTGTATTCAGGAAAGGGCAGGTTTTGCTGGTGGCATGGACATCGAAACACCGTTAAGTGACATCAATGGGGGACAAGACCTGATTGATATTAAAGACCACTTAATTATACAATGATACACCAAGTTAAATCAAAATCGTTAGAACCTTTTTTAAGAAAATTGTAAAGATGTGTCTCACCGTTGATATAAAGTGGCACTTCCGGTTTGCTGATTTTAAGGAAAAAGTTGCTGTCACGTCTAAGGCATATACCTATCGTAAATAGGTAATATCAGTTTCGTTTTTGAGCTAGACTTCTAACATACACACACAGATCATTTTGCGGGACTTGATTATTTGGATTCAGGGTACCTCAAAACATGTATTTCCGTGGAAAACTCAGGATCGAAAATTTTCACGATTGCAATACTTTCCCTAACTATATATTACATATATAGGTAAGTGAAAACAAAAAGAGTTATAGAAGTCAGACAGGAATTTCAGGACAAGTTGAAATGCGCTAACTACAGAGGAATAGCGCTGCTTCACTGAATAACGTTATGATCCATTAAGAACCAAAGCCTTCTCCATTATCCTGCTCCACTCTGCTTTATCCATAGTATTGGTGCGCCATCGTCTGACACTTAACTATTGTGAGTTTTCTTTCACATTATCCAGCTATCGTTTGCAATGCTGACCTCTCCTTTGTAAACTTCCAGGATGACCATACAACATTTGTCAGGGAAATCTTGATGTAGGCATCTTTTGCACATGTTCAAGCCAGCCCAGTCTTTTTTTCTTATGAACTTGCACTATATACACTTTAGGATATAGCAATATAGCTTTTTTAGCTCAAAGTTTGTCCTTATTCCATTTCCATCATCCTCTTGAATGGACCCAAATATCTTCTGCAGTACCCTTTTTTCCCATTTTCTAAGCCTGTTCTTACTAGCCGAAGTCATCACTCAGGTTTCAGTACTATACTATATGATATAGTGGGCCTCATTACGATTTTTTAAATCATCAGCTTAGCGCTTCTGGAGCGGTTTTTGAATGTTCAGAGCCTTCCACGTGGCATAAAGACTCTTATTTTCCAGCAGCTATACATGCCCTTCCTCATTAATTAATAACCAGGTCAAGTTCCTTGGCTAATATTTAAAACTTTTCTAGTGCTCCTGCTCATTCCTGTAGCGATCTTGCAGAGATTAGGACATCATAGGCATATGCCATATGCTGGGTTAAACTGTCAAACCTTGAGCTTTGTTGCAGATCCGGATACCTCACTTTCCAAGGAACATTCTTAAGCACCGGATATTTCCAATATTGTACTTAATGACCTTCTAGACTCTGTTATCCCTTCTTTCCATAAAAAAATATGTCGATGACCTCCTCCTTTTTCTTAATCCTGACAGCATCCCTCAAATTCTTTCCTCATTCAACTCTTACCACCTCCTCCCTCCCCCCCGTCTTCGTTTTACAATAGAGAAAGAAGTTGACAATTCACTCCCCTTCTTAGACCTCCTAATAATAAAAAACACTGACGGCTATATTTCTATTGACTGGTATACTAAACCCACGTATTCAGGCAGACTACTTAACTTTAATTCTCAACACCCATATCACCAAAAAATCAATACCACCAAAAACCTTATTCACTGATCTCTCTTTTTATCTCATCCACAATATCACCAAGCCAACACTCAGCGTGTGAAAAATATACTCCTTTCTTAAACTCTTAAACAGCTATACAACCAAAAAGAGTAGAGCCTCCCCTTCTTCCAACTCCCCACAATCACCTACCACTCCTTTCATATAAAAATCTCTCTCCTATATTCCTATTCTCTCAGATAATATACAAAAATTTCTTAAATCGACTATAACCAACTTACGTCTTGGCCTTATATAAGTCCTATAACAAAGTTTCTTTCCTTTTCACCAACTTGAAGGATCCCATACTTATACAACACCGATCTAATGTAGTTTACTGGATACCTTGCTCTACTCCTGATTGTAATAGCTCCTATATTGGCGAAAACAAAAACCATTTTAAAACCCGCATTTCCCAACACAAAACATCCATAACTGCCCATAAACCCTTCCACCTCCTTACTATCAGAACATGCCTTAACCCTCAAACATTCACTTGGTTTGATTTTAAAACCTCTATTCTTGCCACGGTCCCTAACTATGAAAAAAGACTCATTTCTGAATCCATCCACATTCACATGGAACAGAATCCTGTTAATCATAAAGTAGATAAAAACTACATTTCTTTAACATATAGGCACATTTTAAATCTTATAAGAGAAAAATAACCTATTTATTACATCTTATTATTTTTTATCTATTTTCAATTTTTATTGACATATTCAATTTAATCGTTCATTTTTTTAAAGTATTTCCGCTTTGTGTGATCTCTCTTTTATTTTTAATTTTATATTTACATTCTACATCAATGTATGATCATCCGTTTTTACTTTGTATTCATTTTACTTTTTAACCATTATGTCTCAATATTATCTAATATTTAAATGTAATTTTCTTACATATGTACAACTAAGTATAATTATAATTATTCATATTTGTTTCTTCTCTATACTTCTAAATTAGTTCTGCAATGTATGGTCTTTTATTTTTATATTTATATTTTACTTCTATGTAGGTTTTACTTCTTTCATTTTAATTTTTATTCACATTGTACTCCTATCTATAATTTCTTAATTCAATTTTATATGTATATGTATATATTTATAATTTATTATTTCATAGATACAGTATTTTTCCTTGTATCCATCCATATCTTCAAATTTTAGATACTGTAATTTTCCAGGTTTTGTTTGACTACTTACCCCCTCACCATTTCCCAAACAGGTCAGCAAATTTCCCCAATACTTACTCTGGTTATCCAGTTCTAAAAGAAACTCCTTGCTGAACACACCTGTCTCTATTTTTATTCTTCTAATTTTATTTACATATTTTTTGTTTTTCTTCTTCTTTCTCCACATCCATCTATGTCCATTATTTCATATTATATCCTTTTTCCTTTTCTTGCAATCTCTCCTGTAGATCTGTAGGAATATATTCACAATTGCATATATTATATTTAATATTATACAATAACAATTGTTACCATCTATTTACTTCAGTTCAGGATCTTGTTATTTATCTTACTCTGTTTATACAACTTATTGTTCTTAATATTTTAATGTACTTATTGTTTATAATTTTAATAAGTTTATTCACATTGTTTATAATTTTTTATCTAAATATGATGTAACCTCCACAATTCTCTATATCTTTTTGTATCTTGTCCGTTTTAGCACTGAAGAAGACCTGCAAAGTTGGGTCGAAACGTTGGCTTTTAATAAAATAGTCTTGCCACTATTTAGTCTATTTATGAGCACCACCCCAGACAATCTCCTTCCTTAATAATACAACGGTAAACTATTTAGTACTCAACAAAAAAATTATAGTTTTTATTAATCTCTTTTTCTTTTTAACAAAAGAAAGAAGTTCAATAGATATTTCAAGTGGAAGCAAATTGTGGAATAGGAGTACTGGAAGCGGATAAACTGGTATTGTGTTTGGATGGGGGAGAGCCGGGAATATCTAGGAGTTTGCCTGGTACCCCACTTGAACTAGCAATACTACTGCCCAATTTAGGTGATGAAACTGGGGTACAGATAGGATATTAATAAATACTTATTAATCCCATGTATGGTGTTTTTAAGAATCGATAAGGCCTTATAATGTTATTCTTTATATAATTTATAAAGAAGCTCATTTTCAAGTTATCTATAACAACAAGTCAAAGAGCAAAGTAGCTCAAAACGTTGTTATGACGTAAATAAAGAGTAACCTCATAAGGTCTTATCAATCCTTGAAAACACCATACATGAGTACATTAAGTGCTCTTGAAAAACTTATTACTGAAAGAACTTAATATACTTAATGATCCATAAAGCATATTGTAACTTTATATCGATGTTATAACAATGTAAAAACAAGAATATACATACTGTTCTTTTATATCAGTAACTTCTATAGATGGTTCCAATTTTCTATTTTCAGTTTCACTGGCTTCTTCGGTATCTGTTAATTTAATTTAACAATTATTAAATGAAAACAATTAAAGATTACATCCTGAAAAATATTTGTTTTAGTTCAAATTAACATATATTAAATTTATTATGAACACAAAAAATTAATATATATGGCGATAACACCAATTTTACGATATAAATTTGTAATAAACCTAAGTTATTTATTTTTTAAATTTATTGAGATTAAAGATTACAAAAAAATAAGTAACACTAATAAATAATCATTTCGATTAGAGTAAAATATTCTTGCTTAAGCTGTCATAATGTCATACCTTATAAGCCTACAAAAAAATAAAAATAAATAAACCAGAACTTCAACATTTATAACATTAAAAAAAAAGAGGTATGAGCAGCAGAGTTCCGTCACTAAGGTTCTATTTTTCATTTATTTTTAATAAAAAAAAAAGAAGATTGAATTGTTTCATTGGCGTTAAATAGAGAAATAAAAGCTTGTTCCAAGGTTTGATAAGTTACCAATCTAGTAAAACTCTAAAGATTAGAGTGAATTGGTTTTAAAGTAACAACAAACAGCAATCTTATAGTGGAGAGCAAATGGCTGTGAGGTAGCAGTCACTGAATTGCTGTTGTACACATCAATGACAGCAACTTCTACTAAACTGCAATCTTATAATTAGAGACACTCACACATAATTAAGGATTGAAAACATTGACATTAAATTATACCTAAAATCTAGTCTACGAATAGTTCTTTACCATACAGATCATTGAAAAAAACATTAAATTAAATTAGAATCAAATTAGTGGGATGTCTACATAGAAAATAATCTTAAATACCTTCATCAGATTCATCTTGATCAGCGTCTCCATCTTCATCTAAATCATCGTTATCTTCTTCGAAATCATACTCATCATTACCATAGTTAGAGGAATAATGGGGGCTGTTAATGGAAGTCATATTTCTTAAATTCATTGACACCGATTAAACCTTGCTTCTTGGGAAAATTGAAATGTTGTTTACCTATCTGTTGGTAAGCAATCAGTATCATCGATTACTCGATTAATTCAGTTCAATCGATTTATATACAACTATCATTTATATACTCATTTGTAAATCAAGAGGATCATTCAAAATAAGATAAAAAACAATTAATTCTTATTTAATGATTTTAATTTGTAATAGTTAATTTACTTTTACATGATTAGCAGTTATAAATCTAGAAAATTTGCTAAAAGAATACTGTTTTTTTGTGGTTAAGATGTTAAAAGGAAAATTAAGTAAATATAAAAGTTTGGAAAATTTGATATAATTTAATTAATTATTTTGTTTTAGCAGCTTGTTATTCCACTTCGAGCATTGATTACTGCCTGAAATACACGAGGCATACTTCTCATTAGCATTTTGATGCTATTTTTGCCGGAGAAGCTCAAAGAGAAGCGGTTCTCTGCCACGGCCTAAGTTGACGATTTGGCAGCCATGGTGGCCTCGAATAGCATAGCCGGTCTGAAAGCAGAGGCTGAACGATGCGCCAGTTTGGTAGGAAGGTGGTGCTAGAGGAAGAAGTTAAAGATGGCTGCAACAAAGACCCAGGCAATTCTCTTGAGGGGTACGACTGACAGGGTACATCATATTATTTTGAGCATAGATAAAGAAAGGATACGTCCAAGTGAAGTTGTAACCTACCTTGGCATTAAAATTGGTAGGAAGTTCAACGTGACTCCTCACCTGGACTATTTGAGAACTAGAGTCACAGTGGCCCTTAATGGACCCAGTCGTGTCGGAGGCGCCTTCTGGGGACTCAGATACCCAGCTACAATGACTATATACAAAGGAGTAGTTTTGGGTATTCTGAGATATGCGTCCCCAGCCTGAAACCTAAACCTCTCGCACCGACAGAAGAGTAGGGTAGCATCGATTCAGAGATTGGCGTTACTTCGGGTTACTAGAGCCTATAGAACGATATCTTATGAGGCAGTGCAAGTACTGGCAGGGGGGACCCCTCTCGATCTCCTCCTCCGAGAAGACTATTACCTCTTTAAAATGAAAAGAGAAGGTTCGACGGATCTACCGGAACATCTAAAGATGAGAATGGAAGAAGACCCAAGAAGATGAAAAAGAATTATCAAGGAGGACATAATTGACCAATGGAACCGGCGATGGATGGCAACTCCGAAGGGAGTTAACCTAAGAAATTACTTCCCTACGGCCAAGTCACGATTAGATGCAAGATGGGTCCTCCCGGATTACTGGATGTCTCAACTCCTCACGGTACATGGGGTCTTCCGAGCGAAGCTCGTTAAACACGGGAAGAATATTGATCCGCTATTCCCCAACTGCAACGTTCTGGAGACCGCCTAACATGTGATAGTCGAATGTACTGCCTACGAAGCACTAAGAGCCAAGCTCCTGAGAGAGACGGGGACATATACACTGACAGAGAGCATGTTCCCCCAGCTAATGAGCATAGAGAATTGCCCACATTATAGGGAATTCGTATACGGGTGGAAAGATGCTGTAGGCCCTACACGTTTTAATCTGGGAAGAAGAGAAGGAAGTTAAGACAAGCAGCTGCTTCGAGGGCCGGCTTCAGGTGGAAGAATGGAAAAAAGAAAAGCGTGGGCTTGTGCACACCACCAAGTCTACACCTCATAAATAATAATGTTAACAAAATTTTAATTAAAAAGACCTATACTGCCTATACAGTGGCATACGCATACTGCGTAATACCCCACTGCGGCTGCAACCCGTATTACGCAGATCCCAACCCGTATGCCTGTAAGTCAAGGCAGAGAGAAAGAAGAAAAAAAGTTTCTCCATATGTGGTCCATGTTCTTCAAATTCCTCAGATTGAGTTACTCTACCCAGCGTTCCATTACTTCTTTGAGGTTGATGAGAATATTTGCTGTCCTTTTTCTCTTCATATGAGTTTGAGGGGTTCTATAGAAAAGTTGTTGGTTTTCTTGAAAGTTGTGTTCTATTTTTCTTTCCATTTTCTTTGCTTGTTTTACTGCTTCTTTATTTATTATTATTATAGTTATTAGTAGTTATTTACAAGCATAGTTTTCTTGGTGAGTTCTGCATCTTAAGTACTTCTTTCAGGAAACATTCTCTTTCAACCAAGCTGTTCTTTAAGTCCTTTGGCTCACCCTAGACGATCCATAAACCATTTTGGCAGATTCCAGGAGTATTAGCTTCATCCCGCTCAATGAAGTTTCAATATAGTCCCGTTGACAAGCCCCACTACAAGCGCATTCTTCCATTTCTATAATCGAACTCAATATTGGGGTCTTTCAGCTTGTAGTTACTCATCTTGTAAGTCGATTTGAACTTATTTATTTCACTCCTACACATTTCAGACTTTTACTTAAAACAAAACCATTCTACACCTGCAACATTATTCTTTTATCCTTCTTCCAGCTAGACCTAGAACATTAAAGATAATTGTACTGGGAGTTTTGAATAGGTGTTAGGTTGAAGTACAAAAATGATTATACTATACAACCCTCTCACCCCAATGAGATAAATATGCCTCATTCCAGATTTTTCCCCTGACTCAGTATTTCTTGCTAAGCTATTAATTCATGTAATCTCCTGCAAAAATGAATCACGACATCCAAGGAATGAATCGGAAAGTGAAATGTGGATTGAAATATTGCAATTTTTATAGATATTTTATGTTTTTGTCCCCGACCTGTGGCCATCGGTCGTTGCGTCTCAGTCGCCCAACCCATACGACGGCCTTGCATTTCTTCAATGCATTGAACCCAATGATGTTATATTATCCTTCATCTCCCAATATTTTCTAAAGGTCACCGATCGCTTATAGCCAGATTGATAATATTCATACAAATTCCCGCATTCTTGAGTAAAGTAGCTGGAGAAAAATACAAGTAAGGTCAGCTAACTCCCATCAAACCAACGTAAAAAAATTTTCTCGATCGCAATACTTACCCTTACTATATACTAAATATATACGTAAGTTAAAGTAAAAATAGTCATAAAATAGCTACAAATACGTAATATATTTCTGAAAAATTAATTTACATTGAGGGATTAGTTGTTAATATTTCAACGCTTCGTTAATTCTTATTACAAATTACAAAAAAATATTACTCTTTCTAAAAGAAATTAAATAAAACAAAAAAATTGCCCCACATATGTTAAACCTCTAGCGGAAACTCACAAGATATGAAACATTTCAGAAATCTACGCCATTGCCATTACCATGATTTCAGTTTTAAGTCTCACCATAGTAACCTATTTTGAAAGATAACTTGTTAGTGTTTTGTTATCTAGGCTATGATATAATCCATACTGGGTTAAGTTCATTATGGAAGAACAACTTGAAACAAATAATTTATCATCTGCATCAGTTGAAAGTTTTTCCTCTTCCACCAGTGAAAGTTTGCAGCGATCTGGAGAGATTGTGATTTGTCCAGAAGATGAGAAATCATACTCTCTATCAAAAAAATTTATAGAAGAATTGGAAAAGAAGAAAGAGGAAGTTGAAACTTACAATGAAAGAGAAAAAAATTTAACTGTAGCATCTAACATCCTTTTTGAAAAATCAGAATCAATAAAGGATGTTAAGAAAAGGACTGGGGGAAAAAATACTCAACAGAGAAGTCTTTTCTATCCATTTTGTCATTTAGCAGTGAGAGTAGACAATGCCCCTGTTCTGAAACCTCATACAAGAGAATTTGCAACAAAAAATTTTAACAGCAGTCATATAACATCTCCATTTGTAAGATTTATATTTACATAAAAACTTATTGCAATATGAATGTACATTAAAATTTAGAAAATGAAGAGTACCCAAATTTTCTATTTAGGTACTTTTTCACACCCTTAAATGGCTTGTTTAATAAAATTTACAATTTTCCATCTACAGTTTTCATTTTAAAAAATCACTCAACTTCACCTAAATTTATTTTAATTTATTATGCAAATTCTATTTTTTTTTTTTTTTTTTTTTTTTATTTATTTTTTTTTTTTGAATTCCACACTGCCAATTTTGATATTAACATCAAAGTATAAAAATGTTAATCTCAAACTGCTTAACAAGGAGTTTCTTATAAAGAAATTCCAAGGGGATTGATTCATATGTTTTGTCAATACCAATTAAAAGGATTTATATAATATTTATTTTGTTTTTGTTTTTATTTCCAGGAGTTTATCTTAGCCTGGTAATATTACGGACTTCAGGAACTATAATAGAGCATTATATCATGGCCTTTTAGTCATTCTATTTAGTTCAAGTATTTTTATCTTTAAATTGATGTCTTTCTCTTCAGTCATTCATTAAGTTGAACGAATATTCATTACATTATTTACTGCTGGTACAGTGTTTATAAATTCCCTGAGATCATGGTTGAAGCTTGTCAGTCTTTTATTTATTCCCATTAGTTGAAGAAGGACCACCAAATCACTGAGATTCACTCTATCCAGTCCCAAGGTCACCAAAACTACCAGGTTCGCTCACCCCAGAAATGCATGGTGGGGGAACTTGGAATGTGGCGTGAGGACTAGACCGCCAGAACTACCTATTACTCTTTTAAGCCTATCAATGAAGTTTTATTTCAGTATTATTGTGCTTTTTTTTTTCTTGTTTAATTTGTTGAAAAGAATACTTTTCTGCATTTTTGACATTTGATTGAAGATCATTTCAATAGATAAATAAATAAATACGACTAGCAATCTAGAATAAAATGCTATGGAAATTACAGGCTAGACCTGAAACGAAAAGAACAAAATTGATATTAATATTATTTTTAAATTATTTATTTCAAAGCCATATACTGTAAAAAATCTACAAATATATTACATAAACAGATGAAATGAAGATCTATACTTATTTAGAGAAACAAAACAACATTATAGCACAATTTTTGTTTAATTTTGTTTGTTGAAATTGCGATTTTTTCTTTTAATGATATATATGAAAATGATTGTAAGAATTTGCAGTCCAAATTTCTTTTAATAAAAATTTTTAAAAATAAACAAATTTTTACTGCAAATCCTTATATTTCTTTTCATCCCTATAGTTTTAAATTACATATTATAAATATTTTATATTACACCAATTAAGAAAACCTAAAGGACCTCTTACTCGGTCAATATTGAGTTTCGTCAATATATTGACTGTAAGGTCTATATTGAGTAATATTAAACCATATATACGGAACTTGGAAATCACTGGGTGATACCTAATTTCTGGTGCGCCTCTTGGCAATATGTTTGAACAGGGAGATGATACTTTGTTTTAATTTTTTTTGGAGTGGAGAAGGAAGAGAAGTTAACCTCCTCCCCTCCCCTCCGATTTATTTTAAAGATTAAATGGCAATATGTTTGGGTAGGTGGGTGATACTTTATTATACTTTAATTTTTTTTTTTGTGAGTGGGAGGGGTGTTTAACGCCCCTCCAAATTTTTTTTTCAAGATAAAATGACAATATGTGGATAGATGGGTGATACTTTATTTAACTTTTTTTTGAGAGAGAGAGAGGGATTAACATTAGGATTACTTATGACATTAAAATGTCAAATTTACAAACATTCATAGAAACTTAATTTTGGATTAAATACTTTTTAAAAAAAAAATAGTTCTATCATTTCACATTATGTTTTATATTTATTTCAAATACTCAAAAACAAATGTGACATTTTGCATTTCTGAAAAAAAACAAAAACAACCATACATCAACTTGTAAAAGTGCATTTTATTTGTTTTACCATAAACAAAAAAGTAAATGAACCTTTCTCTCACTTTTAAATTTATTAATATTTATAAATTAATATTCTATTCTACCTTATAATATTGATTTCATGTAGAAAAGTAAATAATGATCTTAAAACATCCAGAAACAAGGGCCGGAGGGCTATTACTAGTTATTTGAGATGTAAAGTTTTTACAAGCATAGGACCTAATAATAAAAATTAATATGAATTCACATTATCTTTATAAATTGCCCTTAAGATTCCATATATAAAGATCATAGCCATTTTTAAAAGTCAAATTTCTTATTTGAGATTGTTGAAAAGTATGAATGGTTTCCAAAATTTTTCTGTATTCTATTTGTCACATCTTTTTTATGTCTCTGTTTGTTTAAAATTATTATTATCTTTAATTTATTTAATTAATAATAAACAGAGATTCTGAGTAATTCAAATTAAATAGTAAGACAATTCATTCTGATATTTATAAACTTTTCTTCTATTTGTATGCAGAATGATGTTATGTGAGAGAGACTATGCTCCAGCTTATGTAAGAACAAGACAGGAAAATAATTTGTGATTAATTTTATGTATTTATTTTGTTTCAGTATCGGTAATTCATAAATAATTTAGGAAGATAAATTAATATAATTTTTGTTAGACTATTAATGATATATTTGTTTTTAGAAATTGATGAGATTTATTGGTTATAATCCAGAAGTGGTTGTTAAAAATTTAACTAAGGCATTAGAATTTGCAATTCTTCTGACTACTGGAAACTTGGTTTTAATATATGATTATAATAGTGAAACACATCATGAGCTTCAAGGTCATGTAAGTTTTCAAATATTTTAGTTCTTTGATAGGTTTCTGATAGTGATGATAATTATAAATAAATTTTAGAGAAATCGAATAGTTTCTACTTCTACTGATGCCAAAGGGAACTGGATAGCATCCTCTGACATAGGCCCTGATAGCAGTGTTATCATTTGGGATGCTATAAGATGGTAAAAGTATTTTCAGTATCTCGATTTTTTTATTTTTTGTCGTTTATAGCCCATCATTTTCCCTTTGTTTGAGAAACTGTTATATATGTTGTTTATTAATCAGAATGTTAAGTATTATTATTATTAATTAGAATATTAAGTATTAATTTAACCATGACATTTTAGTCATATGTTGCTTGGTATATATATACCAATTTTTTTTTCATAAGGTTTGCATGTCTATGAGATACACACAGAGTAACTCATATTAAGCTCATATACCACAATTACCTACTAGTACTGATTGGGAGAAGAATGTTGGTGGGGCTATTTATTCTGTTTGCTAACTAAAGGCTGTCTTTCTTTTCTATAAAAAATAATGTGTTATATTTTATTTTCTTCTACATCGTACCTGGCCATTTCTGGCATATGGGTTTGTTATACCCCAGGTTTGTTATACCTGGCCAGAAATGGCCAGGTACGATGTAGAAGAAAATAAAATATAACACATTATTTTTTATAGAAAAGAAAGACAGCCTTTAGTTAGCAAACAGAATAAATAGCCCCACCAACATTCTTCTCCCAATCAGTACTAGTAGGTAATTGTGGTATATGAGCTTAATATGAGTTACTCTGTGTGTATCTCATAGACATGCAAACCTTATGAAAAAAAAATTGGTATATATATACCAAGCAACAGTTAAACAAGCTATTATAGCCAGAGTGGGAAGGTCCAGATTCATTTATAGTGTCCTTTACAAAATAAATTTCAACCAACCCATGTTAGAATTAAACCACTACCGCTTCTGACTCGAGATTCCTAAAGTCACACCTTAACACACTAGGCCACTAAGGCCTCTAAATAGGTCTGGTTGTTGATTGGACATTAATAGATGGATTGATCATTTTAAGTTGATTTGGTAATGAGAGACATGGGCTACAGAAAGAATTCCTGGAACAAATTTCAGACATTTGTTTATGAGTTTGGCCAATATTATAAAAATTTTATCTAGCATCCAATAAGCCTGAGAGATCTCCATTTAATATATCATATATCCTCCAGCTCCTTGGCTTACCCCTGCTTTGAGGGAGTGTATGAGAGAAAGAGATGCTGCAAGGCGACGGTTTAAACGAACTCGACTTCCTGATGATTTTCTCTCCTACAAACAGCTTCGAAATAGCACTCAATCAGCAGTACGCCGTGCTAAATCCCGTTACTACCATCATTCCCTATCCAACTCTCCCAATTCCAAGGCTACGTGGGCTATTCTTAGAAAACTGACCATTGGTAATACACCCCAGTCTCAGTCCAATTCCGTTTCTGCTGATAACCTCAACGCTCACTTTGTCTCCTGTCCTCTTGCATCCACATCTCCCACGTCCAGTCTGGCTCCTATGTTCTCTTCCTTTAATCCTGATCACTTCTTTCTTTCCCATATTACACCAGATGAGCTCCTTAAATCCATTCAGAAGTCCCATACCAATGATTACGGTCCCGACAACATCCCAGTCAGACTGATTAAAGCCGCATTGCCATCCATTCTTCCGATCCTTTATCATATATACAATTATTCTCTTCAAAATGCTACCTTCCCTACATCCTGGAAAACCGCCCTAGTACGCCCATTGAAGAAGACTTCAAACCCATCAGTTCCTAATGATTTCCGACCGATTTCCCTCCTTTCAAACCTCTCAAAACCATTAGAGCGGTTAGTCCAATCCCAGCTATCCCATTTTTTAGAGGACAATAATCTCCTAAATCCCTACCAGTCTGGATTCAGGCCTGGTTATTCTACTCAGTCTGCCCTAATCAAAATTTCCCAAGACCTTCACACAGCCATAGATCAGCAGAAACTAACCATCCTTATTCTCCTAGACTTCTCCAAAGCTTTTGATTCAGTAGACCACAACATCCTCCTAACCAAACTTAAAAATATCTCTTTTTCTTCTAGTTCCCTTAATTGGTTCCAATCCTTCCTAACCGGTCGCTCCCAGTACGTTGTAATTCCTAATAACCCACCATCAGAATCTCTACCTCTGACCAGAGGCGTCCCACAAGGTTCTTCCTTATCCCCCACCCTTTTCTCCATCTATATAAATGACCTCCCATCCTCTATCCTGCACTGTCATTACCACCTGTATGCCGACGACATTCAAATTTACCTCTCCTTTAATCCGACAGATATCTCAGATGCCACTCAAAAACTTCAGGAAGATATTGACAGAATAAGTGCTTGGGCAAACCTCAATAGGCTCACTCTGAACGCCGAGAAGACAAAAGCCATCTTGATCGGATCCCCTTCACTCCTCAAATCCTCCCCAGTATCTCCCAATCTCTTCCTGAACAACTCACCTATCTTATTCTACACCACCGTTAAAAACCTAGGTGTTACTTTCGATCAATCCCTATCCTGGAAACCTCACATCTCCCAAATTTCCCGTCGCACTATCTCCACCCTAAAACAGTTCAATCGTCTACGATATCTCCTTCCATATAAGTCCCGTCAACTCCTAGTTTCCTCCCTTGTTTTCCCCCACTTCGACTACGGCTGTATGGTGTACGGTGGACTCCCGGGAGATTCCGAGGCCAAACTTAAACGCCTAATGAATTGCGCACTACGATTTGTTTTCGGAATCTCAAGGGATACGCATATTACCCAGTATTACACTGAGTTGAGGTGGCTCTACCCATCCTATCGCCGTCAGTACTTCCTAGCCACCTTTCTGTACCAAATTATTAGAACCCATCGACCCTCCTACATTTTTCACAGCTTACAATTCAAATATTCCATCCAATCCCGTCCCACCAGATCTCGTACTTCCGACCTCTATCCTCCTCCTCACCGAACTGCTGCGTTTGACAAATCCTTTGCAATACAAGCCGCCTCCCTCTGGAATTCCATCCCACCTGATATTCGACACGCTCAATCAGTTTCCTCGTTTAAACCACTCCTCTTTAAGCACCTACTCCTTTCTCAATCCGAATGATTGTGAAATATATCTTAGAGAAATATCTGAGCACCACCAGAGACTACCTCAATTTATTAAGGTTATTTTAGTTTCTCATACATATGTACAATTTACTTGTTCTTTTTTTTCTCTTTTCTGTATTTTTATTGTAAGTCAACTTTCATTGTAAATATACAATTCAATTGTAGCCACACAGACATATAATCTGTATTCATATTTTGTTCTTAAGGGACAACAGTCCCAGAATAATAAAACATTTTTTTCATTTTCATTTTCATTTCATTTTCATCATAGGTGGGAAACCTTTTTTAACATTTAAGGCCACATTAAGGCTAGGGAGTGGTAATGGATGCTGCTATAATTGTTCATATTTCACTATTGTAATTTTTATTTGTATAAGCAAATGCTCAAGCACAATATATATACACTGACAGGCAAAAAATTCCACCCACTTGATTTTTTCATGTTTTCATCTAAAAATATTTCTGCTTTGGATTGGTCTATTGTTTTTAATGAATAAATAGGTAATCTTTTTGTTTGTTTTCAATTAGGAATGTTAATATAGAGGACGATAACCCTTAATCCTTAATTCTATGAAATGATTCTAAATTCCAATATTTACTTTCTATGGAATCAAAATGTTTTTTCAGTATCATTAGTTCAGTGCTGTTTCTTGCAGCACATTTCTTAGTCTCCAGTATTTAATTTTTTCAATATTAAGTTTAAAAATGCCTCTTAGTGCTGAGGATGTTGCGCGTGGTGTGGCACTTATTGATGATGGACGTTCCATTAGATATGCAGCTAATGCCATCAGAGTTCCATATGAAACTTCACGAGATGCCATCAGGCGTTTTCGGGAAACTGGTTCTTACAATAGAAAGCCCGGTTCTGGAAGCCCCGGTGTAGGGTAACAGAACCACGGGATGACCGGTTTTTTACTTTAAGAATTTTACGAAACCGGCATCTTACCGTTGTTCAAGCTATTCATCAGCTCGAAGAAGTTCGAGGTGTGCAAATTTCTGAACGTACCACTCGGAGAAGATTAAATGAGTATGGGTTAATGGCTTTTCGTCCAGTAAGAGGATCAGAGTTGACCAGAACTCACAGAGTAACACGGCTGGCTTTTGCTCAAGGACACAGCCATTGGACTATGGACGAATGGAGTGTTGTACTTTTTACAAATGAGTCCAGATTCTCTCTTCGATCTCCAGACGGGCCTGAAAGGGTGTGGAGAAGAAGAAACGAAAGATATGCAGCCTGTAATTTTTCCCAGAGCCAACCTTTCCAACGTGGTTCCTCAATGGTGTGGACTGGGATTTCAATGGAGCGCCGCACAGAATTGGTTGTTGTTCGTGGAGGGTCTTTGACGGCCATTCGCTTTGTAGATGAGATTTTGGAACCTCATGTGTTGCCTATCTTCAACGAAATCAGTGATCGTTCTATTCTCATGCACAATAATGCACGCCCACATGTCGCCCGCATAGTGCAGACGTTTCTTCAACAGAACAATATTGAGGTTTTATCCTGGCCAGCACATTCTCCAGATTTGAACTCCATTGAGCATTTATGGGATAACCTCGGAAAACGAATAAGAGCGCGTGCAACACTTCCTGATACCTTGAAACGCCTCTTCGGGAGGAATGGGCTGTCCTCCAGCAAAGGGACATTTTCCGACTGGTAGAAAGTATGCCGAGGCGTCTTCAGGCAGTAGTGAAGGCAAGAGGAGGAAACACGTGCTACTAAACGATGATGTAATTAATTTCTTTTAGAATAATAATGGTTCGTTTTTCAATTTTTTTTTCTCAAATCATTCTTACCCAATCACATTTTGATTATTAAAGGTAAAAAAGATTATAAAATTCCATAAATACTAAGTATTATCTACAAATACCATGTATTATATACAAATACAACTTTACAGAGATATTTTTAGATGAAAACATGGAAAAATCAAGTGGGTGGAATTTTTTGCCTGTCAGTGTATATATTTTATTTAATATACATTTTTTTTTACTCATCAACACAGACTATGAAGATCTTTCGTCACTGGGTGTGGTCATCTTAATAACATTTATTGATCATGCTATGAAGGCGAAAAGGTCAGTAGTTAAGATGGAACATGTAGCTCCAAATGATTCTTCAGAAATCTTCTACACAACAGCAAATGCCACAATACTTGGCAAGAGACCAAAAGATGGACAGATAAGGCCAACAAAGACTCACATTTTTTAAATAATGCATAATCTTGATCATTTCTAATATTATAAAGTAATGAGACATTTCAGAGAATATTTTAGTATGATGAACATGGATGTATTACTCTCTGATGTATTACATCTGAAGAGCCATTATAACCTGTTTTTTTTTTGTTTTTTTTTTTTACAATTTTTAAAGAAAAGGGTTGAATTTTATTTTATTAGTTTTTAATAAAATTAGCTAATAATAATTTCTAAAACACTCTAAAACAATAGTGTGGCAAGTCATAAATTTCTTTATTGAACTCACGGGTTCTGTAGATGATAAAACATGGTTTGTAGGTTGATAGTATTTATCTTCATCCAGATTATCAATATCTAAAGAGAAAGAATTTATTTATTAATATTTTATTTGTTTTTAATTTTTTTTTTCCTAGTAGCTATTAGTACCATTTCTGGAAATTGGTAATCAGGTTTTTCATTAAAAATAATTGAAATTTCTTTGGAATGTGTTTGAGTATTGACTAAAAAACAGGAGGACTGAGAGTCAGTTATTCAAGTTACAAGAGTGTAACGCATGAGAGAATGGAAAACATTAAAAGAAGATTTTCTTGCCAATGCGAGAATAATAAACTGTCATTCAAAGCATGAAGAAATTCATATTACTTTGCTATAGAAAACCAGTAAAGAAAACCAAAAAAGAAACTTTGACCTTTAAAACAAATATTATAAAATTTATTAACTTTAAAAATAAAGTTGATCCCCCGGTCAACTGTTAATAAAATTGCAGTGGAAAAAGTTTGAATATAAGTGATCAAAAGCAATTAAATTCATGCACCCTTTGAAGCACAGGCGGATTTACGGGGGGAGGAGGGAGCTTTCGGGCTGAAGCCCCTCCCCCAAAATGGTAAGATGTAACCATGTTTTATGGTAAAAAATATTAAAAATTAAATTATTTTTGCCCATTTAATCACTTATAATAGGACTTCAAGAATCACTTAAACACCATATCATATTGATAGCTAGATCATTCTTTCTGTTTTTCCAAAATAATTACCGTTATATATATGAAAAAAAAAACTTCCGGGCTGAAGCCCCCCAAAATTAAATCCTGGATCCGCTAGTGCTTTGAAGCCTTAGTTAACTTAGATTAATAGAAATTTCCATTCAAACTAAATACTGTGATATATTTATCTGACTTGGGATACTTCTAATAATGGTTGAAGGGGAATTCATCAAGTAGCAGATGCGTAATATTGCATAATAAATTTGATTTATGGTATGCTAATTATAAAAATAAGTATATTTTAATCTTTCTTTTAAACATTAAGTAAAAATGACAATGATATAGACATGAAACCTTTTGTTAAAAGTTTTCCAGTTCATGTTATATGGGAGTTTAATAAGACTGGATGCCATTTTGTGAAGCTAAGCCCATGTGCTAAATACCTTGTAACCATTGTAAAAAAAATAAATAAACCAAATATCCTAATGATCAGCATTTGGGAATGGGTTCATGGTGAAGAATGTCCAGATGGTAAGATATGTTTCAAATTAAAATGAATATGGAATTCTATGCACTATGAGGATGTACATGTGCCATGATCTTTATTTATAATCTTCTAATTTTTTTTTTTTTTCATAATTCATTGGATACTTTATGCTCAGTATCAGTAGAAATAAACACTGATGAGTTTGGGTCTTTTAAAAAAGTTGATTTTTGTTATGAGAAGTGTGAATTTCTGGTCGTGACAACTGAAAAACGTGTTATTTTTTTAACATTTGAGGAGGTAATATCCTGATTGTATTTGTTTATTGGTGTCCATAACTTAAGTAAGTTTATAGTGATATAAATTACAAATATGTTTATCTTTTTTTTTTCAGGTTGATTCTAAGAAGATGTTAACATTTCATTACCCTACAGGCTTGCCACAAAAAAATAGGAAACAAATAGGATTATTTAATGACAGTGTTTTTATTAGATACTCTCACATGGCAATTACTGGCACAACTACTGGTACCTAAAAGTTATTTAGCAAATATTTAGGGTAATGAAAAACAGTATGGAAAGAACTTGTTTTGTAAATAATAGAACCATGTGGAGGCTAAAGTATGATATTAACAATTCAGGGCTATTTAGATTAATAAATCCACTGAATAACATTTATAAATTATTAGTTTTGTGGACTTAAGGAATAATAGATTTTTCTTTCTGTTAAGGTTCGATTAATTGAAGTTAATGATGAAATAAAAGCTGATCAAATTCGCACATATTGCTTGTAGTGTTTTTACTTATACCTGTTATCATTTTTCCTCTGAAACATTGCAATTTGAGACACTCCCAGTACTGAATACAAACAACTGAAATCAATAATATATATTTTAAATTAAAAAAAAAATTATAATAATTTTATTTTATTACAGTAATAAAAAAATTTAATTGAGCCATCTTTTAACAGGCCAAGCAGTGATTTGGAGTGATATGTCATGGAACTTTTTTGACAAAGAACCAGTTAGGAAAGCATGCAACAAAAAAAATGCATTTTTAAATGTGCAACTGGACAGATATTCAATAGAACAGATATTTTCCATAGATGAGTATGATTTATAATATATTTTATTAATGATCGCATGGTTTTCCAAACAAGTGCATTTATTTCCACCTTGGTCAGATTAATTAAGTTAGTGCAGTGGTTAGTATATTTAATTTAGTGGAAAAATGATATACTAATTAGGATTATTAATGTCTGTGAAAACATCTAAAGAAAAACCTCTAAAATCATGAACATAGGTTTAAAACAAAGATTCAAATAATATATTGAACTATATTTTTGAGAAAATTATTTGGATTGTGACTTTGAGGACAACCTATAACAATGAACTTTATTTAACTTGGTTTCATTAAACCTTCAACCAGCTTAAGCAGTGGAGAAAGTGTAGTTGATCTGTTACTTCTATAGTATAAGCTGATTTGACCCAATATTGGTCCTTAGAAATATGAGGGTAGTAAATTTTAATAGTAATCATCTTATCATAAATATTTCTATTATTTCTTAATATGGATCCCTTTTTTGACTCTCAGGATTGACAGGCTTTGACCAATTTTTGGCTCTCAGCAGAGAGGGATTTTGATGGATGAAATATCAATGAAAAGGGATTTTCATATATAATGGGCAAATCTTAGTTTTGATTCTAAAATTTTTACTAGGCTTTAATAAAAGTAGGATGTTCTAAATAAACAGGAAAATTAGAAAATTACCCACTATTTAATAAATTTTGAAAATAATTCATAAACAGTTCTTAAGCTGGAACTTTTGTATTACTTCTCGCAACTATCAGTTTTTCAATTCATTGCAAGTTTATTAAGCAGGACAACAGACATGTAGAGTAGTAAAGGTTGAGACTGAGTATGAAGATCACGAAGGTTTAAAATATCACAGAATTTTGAACAGCAAATTAGAATAAAACTTATTTGACTCGAACAATGAACTTAAAGTGTCAAGCTACTTATTTTTGGTTGGATTTTCGATAATTCTTTCTTTAGCTGTTTAAGATTTTACCAATAAATACTGTAAATTCCTGCAACTATTTGCAGGTCCTTTGTGTCTTCTCTGGTTGAAGTGCTTTTTAACCCAGTAATTTCATGCAAATAAAACTTGCTGATTATGCATAACAAAAGTTCTTGTTGAAAATACCAATAGATTATTTAGGGTGTTTTTCAAATAATTTAAATGAAATAAAGAGTAGATAGAGGTCAGCAAACAGAGTAAGTAGTATTACTTCAAATACTGACAAATTTAATTAAATTAACAAAAAAATTATGTCTATGCACTAAGAATTATGTGAAAACCATGAATACTCTTCCAAGACTATCACGAAACATATCTTTCCCTTCATTGAGTGATACTTCTGGATTAGTTTGGATTTCAAACAGAGAAGTATTAAAAAAATTACCAAATTTTAAGCTTAGAACAATTTTTAAGAAGTAACATTTTTCTTTCTAACAAGAAATAGTTATTTTTTACTGTTTTATTTCATTCCCAAATAATCTGATTTTTTAAAATTTTTTTTATAGTCAAGTGGTTACATTAAACTCTAAAGGAATGATATTCTTTTATAACCAAAGACTCTGTGTATTGCATGTAATTAAGGCATTAAGAGGTTGCAATCCTGCAGTTAACATCAGTTTCCATTTAAAAAAGAGAAGTATAGAAGGTTCTTCCTTATTGGTTGGCGAATCTTCAAAAAATAAGAAAAAAAGTGAGTTTCTTAATTAAATTTAGCACCATTCACTTTAACTAAATTAATGAATTTTTGATTCTTTTTAACCCCTTAACAATGGGAGGAAAGCAAATAGAGATGGCAAATAGTTTTCTGTGACAAACTACTTTTCTGGTGATTAACTAAACAAATTTGGATTTTATTTATATATTTATTTGTTTGTTTTGTAAATGCTATTCTGTATTATTACTTTATAATTGACAAAAACACATATAAATATATATATATACATATATATATATATATATATATATATATATATATATATATATATATATATATGTATATATATATATATATATATATATATATATTTTTTTTTTTTTTTCGGCTTGTAGATCTTTAGCCACCTGAATCAGCCTTCTCTCCTTCTGCCCCAGAAGCTCAGTGTATCTTTTTTGATCTTATCTATCCACCTAATTTTTGGCCTCTCTCACGGTCTCTTGCCTGCTACTATAGTATTCATTGTTGTGTAGAGGATTCTTAATGAATTACTTCAAGCTACATACCCTGCCCATTTTAATCTCCTTGCATTCATATATACGAAATATTGAATGACCCATTTCTTCCAGTTCTTTATTGTCCCTCCTCCATGTGATAAATTTCAGATCCCAGATAGCTCCAGTTATCATGCGAACTAAGAGAACTTTTAGACTGAAGTCAATAGACAATAGTCTAAAACCATAAACAATAACTGCTATAGTGGACATAGGACACATCCCTAGTCCCCCACCACACCTTCCAGATGTCCTGTTATTTAAAGTTTTTAGCTAATAAGAGCCTTTTTTTATTACTTAAAAAAAAAATTCAATCTTTTATACCTTATCTATCACTTTCATTCTATTGTAGCACAAATTTTCATGATTTTTTTCCATGTGAATACCCAATTGAAAGTGATCAATGTAAGGTAATCTTAAATTATATTGACGTTCTTTTTTCCTTGCCTTCTGGAGACATAGGATTTCACAGTAGCAGCATACTAAGAGAGAAAAAAGAACTGAAAGTAGTATTTAAAAGCAGAAAGAAATGGAGAATTTATAAAGTTAAAAATTTACATAAATTAAGTGAATATTATTGAATAAAAATTTTCCTGAAAATTGAATCTAAAAATTCTTATATTCTTTTATGCATGAATTCTTAAGTAAATGCGTGAACAAATATAAAAATTAAAATTTATTCTTGGATTAAGGGAAAGTCTTGAAAAAACAGTTCATCTTTCTTCCTGATAGAAATGCTGCTAATAATCATTTTTAAAAATCCTTCCTGCAATCACTTGCTATTAAAAAGGAAACTCCCTTCTTCATAAATCACAATATTATGAACAGATAGAAGGAAAAGGATATATATATATCATTAACAACCTTATTAGATCGTATTTTCCTTGTCAAGCCTAAGTTTGAGATATTTAATCTCAAATTTATTAATCTTGAAATTTTAGTATTTGATATACCTATTTACTAATATTAAATCCTCTCCATCCATGGTCACAAACTTAATTCCGTATTTCTTGTTAAAAATGGACCACCATTTGTAGCTATTCGCTTTTCATTCATTTCAAAATAGCGTTTATGCAATAAAAGTTTTATATAAAACAGTGTTTTGACTCTTTTCTGGTCTCTAGCTTAAAATTTGCAAATAAATTTCCTTTTAAACTTATCTCAGCAACTTATTGAATCACTTGCTAATGTGTGGTTGTTAGTTATCAATAATTAATTCCCTTTAGAAAAGCCTCTTGTGCACCAAGTGTGATTGAATAGAGTAAGAAGAGCACACGAGCTGGTCTTAATAGATTTTTTAAGGTATACTTATGAATTTCATCTACTCCCGATGATGAAGCTTGAATATTCATATTTGAAAAATTAAATCACTCAGCCCACTTTTTGATGATTCTTTCAGTTCTTGATATAATTATGTTTTTCTTCATTATCTTGCTGCCAATTAGTTGTAGATTTTCTGAAAAAATTTGAAAACTTAATTTATCTGAAGTAGTAGTTTTGAACCTTATCCTAGTTCACTTTAATTAATAAGAATACCAGATCTTTTTTGTTTCTTTTTGGTGTGTTGGGAAGAGGTGGGGAGGAAGGTGTCTTATCAAACATGAATACAAGTTTATTTATTGCTTTTTTTTTTTTTTTAAATAAGTGAAACAATCTTTTAAAGTTGAATTTTGGATATATTACATTGAAACTAGTGAAATTAATAGAATTATTTTAAAACTTAAATTTTAGGAAACTTGTCTCACATTAAAAATAAATTTTTTTTTTTTTTTTTTTCCTTATGCCAGTTATTGGTCATTTGGCCATCCGACATCTTGCTGCCCAGTATAATTTAGACTTTCTTATATGTATATTCGGAAATATTTTGTCTCTTATGTCCCTCAAGGCAGGACATGCGTCTAGATGGTCTGCATCCATTGTTCCTAGATGACACAATTTACAGGTAGGATCCTCAGCGACGCCTATCTTGTAGATATGACTCTGCAGATAGTCGTGACCAGTAGCCAGGCGGAAGCAGGCAACTGCATCTCTCAGCTGGGATTGGGTTATCCTTCAACCACTCGTAACGCTTCCCTTCCACTTTGCCGAAATGTACTTTTCTTATTTCCTCCTTCACTACCTACTTCACCATTCGCCGTATTGAGTCATAAGGTTTTGGATGTATCGGCTGAGGCAAATCTGTTCCTCGCTTGGCAAGAATATCAGCCTCAACGTTTCCCGGAATCCCACAATGGCTGGGGATCCACTGTAGGACCACATTGGTGCCTCGGTGTGTCAGGTTAGAGAGGAGGGATTTACATTCCAATATAGCACTCGATAAACCTTCATTCGTGCTTGTGACAGCGAGGATGGCTGCTTGGGAGTCGATGAAGAGAACAGCGCTCTGATCCCGCCTTCCAGGCAATGTTCTTAAGGCTATGAGGATCGCCGCTATCTCACCGTCGAAATTTGTTCCATCTTTTCCCACCGCAGCGCTGATTTGGAATTCCTTTGAGTAAACCCCTGCTCCAGCATTTTTAACGGCTGATTCAGCTGATCCGTCGGTATAGATATGGAGCCAATCTTGAGAAGGGTACTTTTGAGCTATGGTTTCTAATGCTAATGCTTTTAGCTCGTATTCAGGTGTTTTTTTCTTATCCACCTTATGAAGGAGTTGCAGTTCTGCATTGAATGAGTGATTGTGAATTGGTAACTGTGGATGTATAAATGGTTCCCTTTCTTCGCAGTCAAGCCCTCTTTCTTCAAGTAGTGCCATCACCTTCAGCATGAAGGATTTTTGTGTCTTGAGCCGCTGAGAGGGGATTTTGTATTTTTTCCAAAACTCTTGGTCTATTCTTTTCATTCGCTCGTGAAGGCACATTGCAGCTCGCTCACGCCGTTTCGATAGAGGTTCTACTGTGGTCTGCAATTCCATAGCTACAACAGGGGTTGAGCGCGGTGCACCCAAAATCAAACGCAGAGCTTTGTTCTGCTGTTCGTCTAATCTTTTCAGGGATGCATCAGCCGCAGTACAGATGACTTCAGAACCGTATTCCAGTACTGGGCGTACATAGGTTTTATATGCATTAGACCCATCACATCCTGGGTGGCCCCCCCCATGTCTTTTCTCCAAGGCGTTTCAGAAGTTTTAGCCTGTTTTCTCCCTTTTCCATCATCTCTTCAATTTGTCTGTTCCAGATCATTTTTGTATCTAACCTAACTCCCAGATATATGCCTGCATAGGTTCTTGGTAAGGGAACATTATTGTAGATGATTTCCAGCTCGCACCCTTTTGTTGATAAGATGAACAGTTGGAATTCAGTTTTCTGCGTATTTACTTCCATTTCATTACACTTGGCCCAGGTAAAAAGTCTTGCCATTGCCTCATTAATTGCTGCTTCGAGTGCTGTTATGTTGCTACTAGTCGCATATACTAGTAGATCATCAGCGTACAGTAGAGCAGATATTCCGGGTATTCTCTCGAGTACAGCCATTAAGTCATCAATCATTATATTAAAGAGTGTGAGGCTTAAAACAGATCCTTGTGGAACTCCTTGACTAAAAGTTCTGAAGCCTGAACACCAGCCATTGTATCTTACTCTGAGAAACCTCTGGGCCAAGAAGGAACGTATGGCTCGGTACATTTTTCCGCTGATGTTCATTTTGAGGAGTTTATTCAGAAGTACTTTCCGGCAGACTCTGTCAAAAGCAGCTTTAAAATCAACATATACTGCAAGAGTATGTTGTTTGCGTTGGAATCCGTCTTTTACATCCTCACTAAAACGAGCCACCTGCTCAGTTGTACATCGGTGCTTCCGGAAACCTGCTTGCTTTGATGACATCTTGTTTTCTCTATCAAGATATATCTGCAACCGAGCTAGGACCATTCTCTCGTAGATCTTAGAAAAAACACTTGTGAGCGATATAGGTCGGTAGTTAGATGGGCAAGAAGAACATTTACCTTTCTTGAGAATTGGGACAACCTCAGCCTTCCTCCAAGCACTAGGATATTTCGACCTCCACACAGCATTGAGAAAATCTAGCACAATGGGCTTGGCTTTTGCATCCAGGTGAATAAGAAACTCTGGTAATATGTCATCAGGGCCACCGCTTTTTCCCTTCTTTGTTTGTGCCAGTGCAAGTTCAAGCTCTTCCTTACTGAAGTCGTCTTCAAAGAGTTGGGTTTCAGAGGAATTCAGACATAGGATTTATGGTTTGGTATTAATTTTCTTATTTCCTACTGCTGGCTTATAATTAGAGGCCTTTGCAAAGAATTTACAAAAGTTTCTTGCTATGGCAAGTCTGGTATATATCTCTTTGTTATTGAACTTCAGAGGGTTGTTCCTTGGGTCTTTGCTGCCATTTAGTTTTGAGATGAATCTATGTGCTTTTACTCCATCTCTTCGAAAGTCCAGGTTGGCCAAATATTCTCTGAAAGCTTTTCTTTTGGCTTGAATTATATTGTACTTAAGGGTTGCTGTAAGTTGTTTTAGCCTTACTATATCTTCCGGTTTCTTTGACATTTATCTTTTCTTGCTGCATCTCTACTATCTTTTAGTTTCTGTAGTTTGTCACTCCAAAATGGGGAGTATCTCTTCATAAATCCTCGAGGAATGGACTGCTTTGCACACTCGAGAATTGCCGCTTGAAGTCGGGCGCAGCTTATATCTACATTTTCCGTAATGGTTTTATCCGTAATGGCTGTGTGAGTGAGCTGAGAGAATTTATTCCAATTGGCTTTTTTCAAATTCCATCGCAGCATTCGAGGCACTGAATCATTATAAGAATTTAAGTTGCCATTAAGATAGGCAAGCATTATCCTGTGACCAAATGCTCCAGGTGGAGAGGCAACTGTGTGGGAGATCAGCGGAGCTATTCGTGGGTGCACCAATAATAGGTCAGGGTGGGAACTATTACCTTTGTAGTCCATAAAAGTGGGCCTTGAATTTTCGTTTTCCACAAATTCAATCATATTTGTATCGATAAATTCTTCCAGAGTTTTCCCCGCTGAATTTGAGTTTGTGTAACCCCAGCGCCTGGAGTGCGCGTTGAAGTCTCCATACACAAGGGATTTGTCCGTCAAAGAATCCTCCAGCCAACCCAAATTCGGTTTATTATTAGGGGGGTTATAGATGACAAATATTTGGTGGTGGAAATTGTTTGACCACAGATTGATTTCCACTCCTTCCAATTTATCATTTGCATCCATTTCCTTTTTAACTTGAAACTTGACCGTGAAGGAAGACCTTACACCAACAAGTATTCCTGATGCTATCTGCCTAGCTCTTGGCAGTGAGTAAATTTGGAAATCTGGATACCTGAAGTATTCAAGACAATCAGTAGCAGCGCCTGCCTCAACAATGCAAAATAGATCAATTTTATTTGAGGATATAAAATGCTTCAATTCTGTGTACTTTTCACTGGTGAAACCACCCACATTCCAAAAAAGAGTCTTTAAGATAAAGTTGTTATGGCCTTGAGAAAGGCCGTTTGCGTTGGCCAGGCTTTGTGCTGGCCGCGCCATAAGTCGCTATTGGTGACACTGGGTGTCTGGCGACTAAGTGATCGTTTGGTTGGTTATCCAGGGGCACGACGAGGACGAGATCACACCACCTCCTACATTAAAAATAATAAGATAGATGATTTGGAAAAATTACACAAGGAAATAAAATGTTGGAAAAAAAAAGAAGAGATTTTTGATACCCGAGATTTTGTTGCAAGTATGTTTTTATTTTTTTATGTTTATCATTTAATTTCAGAATGTAAAATTTGTGTTACTAATAATCAACTATTAATCTTAATTGATTAAATAGTTTCGATTGATATTCATGATAACATTTTATTATAGCTTTTTAGAATATGAGGCAATTATTTTTAAAACTAGCTCAATCAGTTTTCTGAAATTGTAAAGGAGACAAAATGTTGTTTTATCAGTCTTCGTCTCTGACAGTAATCAAGTCATGTAATGTGCATAATACCTACTACTGTTAATCCAATATTTATGACATTTTCAGTAATTGTGTGGGTTTGTTACTATCTACATGGTTTTGTATCTTGTATGTGTACTACTGTCATACCATATGAGAGTTGGAAAATATCCTATAGGCATTACCTGAATATAATCATGACTCCTGGTCTTCAGCCAGACCAATTAAATTCCTTTCCGGGCTTGGTCAGTACTGTCAGTCTTCAGCTGTCATTTGGCCAGTTTTGCCAGCTGTCAGCAATATTTATGCCAATACATATCCAGGCTTCAGCTGGCCCTCGATCAGTGCAGTTCTTTTCTCTTTTTCTCATAACACAATATTTCTATTATTTCAAGACAAACTAGAAAATCATCAGGATAAAATCTAATCATGTAAATAACATTAATTAAAAACTTTTTTTTTTTTACTTACCTGTATAGGTAATATATAATAAGGTATTGCGATCGTGAACATTTTTGAATCTGAGTTTTCAACAGAAATATACATTTTGAGGTCACCTGAGTCCAAATAACAACCGCAATATGGTGGGTGTGTTTGTGTGCGTGCGTGTGTGTGAACAGTCTAGCTCAAAAACAAAAAATTGTACAAAACTGAAATTAAATATTTATGATAGATATATACTTGGGATGTTATTGTAGCAACGTTTTCCTAAAAATTGGCTAACTGTACTACAATATCGCTGAAACATTTTTACAATTTTCTCAAAAACAGCTCTAACAATTTTATTTGACTCGGTGTATCATTGTACAATTAAATGGTCTTTAATATTAGTTAGGTCTTATCCTCATTGATGTCGCTTAATAGGGCTTAAGTACCGAATGTTCAAAATTTCTTTCTCTAAAATACCTCTATTTTGGTTTATTTTAAATAATTAACTATTTCAAACTGTAATCTTATTAAAGAAATAGTTAAATATAAAATATGAAAGAACCTGAGATATAAATACAATAACATTAATCTGTATTATTCACTCAAAGAATAAGAGGAGTGTCATAATTAAAATTTATTGAACTATTTAGAGAAAAGAATTAAAATTTAAAATGTATGAGTCTGTAAATATATACCCTCCTGTTAAAACTAAATGAGCAATGTTGTCACTCGTAAGGCTGTCCCACAACATAGAATCAATAAAAGCATGAAACCATCTAAGGTAAGGAATACAAACATCATTTTTCAAGGCCCAGTTAACACACAGCTTATGGCTATGTTCTAGAACTCTGATAGCTTAACTGTAGACAATCACAGAATGGAATTTTACTACTAAGGAGAATGCTAATATAGGAGGGATAGTAGAAGCTGGTTCATTCAGTGAAAATATCTAATTCCATCAATTACCGGAATACCAAACATATAAACTGCAGAGATCCAGACAGGTTGCTTCGGGAATAATTGCTGCTGCAAATTGAAAAAAAATGTATTTTATTTAATTTTTATTGAAAAGCTTATATATATATATATATATATATATATATATATATATATATATATATATATATATATATATTATATATATATATATATATATATATAAATATATATATATATATATATATATATAAATATAAAAGAAATATTCAAAAAAAGTTTTAAATAAATTGATAATTGTTTTTTAAACTTTAATTTCGAAATCTTTCTGTAAAACTCCAGGCACACCACAAGTATCGCAAATTTTATTTTGTGTGTCGTAATTAAATTTAGTTTCAAATAGGGCCAAAATGAACATGTGTGGAATAACTCAATATTTGATTTTTTAATCGTATATTTTAAATTTTGTCTTCAAAACTCTCAAGAAACCTCAAGCATGGCAGAATGGTACAGAACACAATCACGGAAATAGCATAGACCTCCAATTAAATAAATTTTCAGGCAGTTTTTTATTCTTTATTCTTTTACTACTATGTATTGCTATGTAAAAATTGGTTTAAAATGGAATTGATTCACTTTATATTTGTCTTGAAAATTACATTTTATCGCCGGTATCCTGTAGGATACATTTCCTGATCGTGCTGATGGTATGAGCAAACTTGTTCAGATAATTTTATAAGTAATTTATAATGTAATTATATTATTTATAAAGTTAAAAAAACAACAATTTCAATAACTATAATGATTTAAAAAATTGTAGAAATGTATTTATTAATTAATAATAATTTCAAAAAATTAACTTAAACCCATTAAATTTAAACCCAATTTGTTTTATTTCAAATCATAATTTATTGTTTCTTTTTGTTAGTTTTATGTTATTTATTTACTTTTAAACTTTTATGGTGTGTTCTAAACTTTATTAGATGTTTTTGTTTTCTTTAACATAGCAAATATTTTGTTTTTGTATCATTATTGTATTAAGTATATTTTAGTTAGTATCAATATACAATAAGTTTAGCATCAATATTATTTTATCAAATTTAAAAAATATTCATTTTCTTGTCAGAAAACAAAATTAACTGTAAATTAAACCCCCTCCAGTCTTTTCCTAATCATGAGAATAAAAACTTAGTCAGTGATTTCAAAATAACCCTAACGTATCTAAACAATAACTCCTTGAACTTAATGACTGATTACCCTATAAGTAAAATTGATCTTGTAATCCCATAGATATTGAAATGCTTTTGTTAAATTAGTCAGCTATGCAACAAAAACTTTTTTTAAACGGAACATTGAATGAATTGCGAATCAATTACGGAATAAACAAGGAAGTATTAAAGTAAGCTTGGTCATTTCAATCAGTATCTGCCTTGGCACCCCCTGTCAATGACATCATATCCCTCCGCTCCTAAAAATATTAAATTCGTTTCTTAAGCTGTTTTATATTATATAGTATTTGAATTTTATTTCATTCAATATTTCTCTGATACAGTTACTTTATTAATAGGCTAAAATTAATTATATAACACTTTCAGTATTTTTTTTTTTTTAATTTCTAACAAGTGATGAGTGCCCCTGATGATTGGTGACCCCAGGGCAATTGCCTCGGTCATCCCATCCTAAAGCTGGCACTGATTTTAATAATATTTCGTTAATGAAAATAGAGATACTCCTATTTTGTAAAAAATTAGTATCAATACATTGGGTTAAACGAGGATTTTTTAAAATTATTATTTATGTTTTATTATCTAGCCACAACTACTGGAGATATTGTATATGTGAATTTCAGCCATGACGCAGTTAAATTTATTCTAAGAAATCAATTAAAAGGAGTCACATGTATGGATACCCATCCTAATCGGTAATTTGGTTTGACGTATGTATCTGTTTTGGTTTTATTTTATTACCATTATTCCAAATATCTAATGGATTTCAGTGATATTTTGTGTCTTGGAACTGATTGTGGAAAATTGCTCCAGTATGATTTTACTAAAAAAGAGGTAATTATGTGCAAAAATTTACCTCTGGAAGATGTTGTTGCTAAAGAATTAGGTACAATTACTGAAGATGATACAGAAATAAATTACATTATGGGCTATGTCACAGACTTGAAGTATGAACAAGGTGGTAAGTTTATAACTCCTTATATATGTTCATCTTTAATATTCTTTCATCTAATGAAATTTCAAAAAAGGAATGAATCTACTATCATACTCTTAACGGTTTTTAGTTTTTAACAATGAATTAATTTATTCTATAGTGTGAAAAATGAAAAAAAAAATTGGGAATACATAAAATTTAATAAAATATTTTGAGCTCAAATTGTTTCAAAACATTCCCAGGCTTTCACAGACTGGTTCTGCCATTTGTTCGAAAAATCATTGCTACCAACAAACGGTCTGATTTACACATTTAATACAATACAATATACAATTAATCGGTATATTGAGTTCTTTTTTCCCAAAATTTGGGATCTCACTGAGTAATTTGAAATATCACCTTGAAAATCAGGTTGAGTCATTCACTCACAAATTTCTTATATAACTACAAACAAACATTTTAAACACATTTATTACTATATTTTTCTGTCTTTTGTTATCAAATTCTTTAAAAACATTCAAGGGACCTCGTTGATTAATTTGATACACCAGGCTTGCAATTAAGATGAGTCTTTTGTTGAAAACATTGTTAAATAGCTATAAATGGGCAGGCTGAACATGTTATACTTCTTGTGACTTGCTGCAGTTGGATAATTAATAGATAGTGCCCCAACTATAATGCAAATCATTATATATTAAACAATACTACCTGTTAATATTTTAGGCCATCGTCTTGCTTGTGGAATGAAATCTGGGGATGTGTGGCTTCTGAATGAAACTGATTTTAATACAATAGTGAGAATACCAAGGACAACATTTCCTATAGTTAAGATTGTATTCTCTAGAATGAATGAATATTTTGCATACTATGTAAGTGGAATTATTTATAAAATCTTTAAAGTAACATTACTATTAATTTCTTTTTTTTTTTATTATTATTTTTTATAAGCACTTTATAAATATTCTTATTAATTAATAAGAACATTCTAAATTTTAAATATATTCTATATACATATTTTTTCTTTTTAAATTAAATGTTAAATAAATATTTAACTAATATAAAAATTTGTAGGATACCTATGCTCATCTTATATTAATGAATAATAAAAATGATCTACCAGATTACATTGGAAAAATTAGACCGCATTCAAAACCTATTGCTGACATTGCTTTTTCATCAAAAGATGATGTATACTATTTGTACACCCTCGGGTTGGATCGTTATTTCGTGGAATATGTCGTAAGCGAATGGTAAATGAATTATTATATGCTTTATTGGGTATGATATTTGCAAAATCCCATAATTTTTGTTTGTTTTTTATTATATTAATTTTTATTTTAAAATTAGTAGTAGCTCCAAAAAATGATGAAGATGATGAATTAATAATATAATTAAAGTTCTCGCAGATTATATATTTTTGGCGTTGCTATCTTTGATAGTGACGTGAGACCACTATTAACTTCCTCTGCTTGTTAAGCTTGCGCCCTTTAATACTGTTGGGGTCCATACTTATCCCTTGGACCAAACCTCAGCAGTTACTCTCTCGAGTGAGGGCAGCGTCGCGCTGACAAGCGGACCTCCTTTCTTCCTTCATTCGTGATGGCGAACCAGAATGAGAACCTTCCTATGGAGATTCCAGAGCCTGAGGCCTCCGAAGATAAAAGTGGGAAGAGGATTCACGAAACTGACAGCGAAGGCCTTGGATCGGATATTGAAGGCTACGCCCCAGTAGCCAAACGACACACGTTTCCCGCCCGTACCGTCCCGGAAAAGCCTTCCCAGATCCCAATTGCCAACAAGTTTTCCGTGTTGAGAGTGAATCTACCGGAGAAAAACAGACCGCCGCCAATCATCATAGCACCTCCGATAGCCCAGGCAGCGCTGAAAAATATACTGATCGAGAATAATATAACATTATTCTCTATCAATTCATCATCAAAAGAAACTCGGCTGTATGTCAACTCCGAGAATGACCACTTTCAAGCCACTTTACTGTTGCGCCAGGACAATAGGGTACAATTCCACAGTTTTGCTCCCAGAGGCACTAAGCGATCTCGAAAATATGTGCTTCACGGATTCGATATTGATTTCCCCGTCGAGGAGATAGTCGAGGAGTTAAAAACCAGATTACCAGGATTCAGACTCGCCCGAAGACTCACAAAGAGATACAACCCGAATGAACCACCAAAACCTATCGAGCTGATCCAGATAATTACAGACGACTCGGTCAAGCTGACAGACATTGCTAAACTTTATCATATATCGCAGTGTAAATTTCGTGTGAGCATCTTTAAAGAAGATGGGGTCCCAGCACAGTGCCGAAATTGTCAAGAATACGGACACACTATGAAATATTGTGGCCGAACATGTGCGTGCCCCTGGTGTGGAGGTGTCCATACCCTTGAACAGTGCCCGAAGACAGTAACTCCCTGGTGTAAAAACTGTAAAGGTGCCCACCCCACCTCCTCCAAAGAATGCTTGAAGAGACAGGAGTTGGTGAAGAAAATTAGGGAAATCACCAAAGGAACACCGACGAAAACGAATACCAGCAAACAGAGTAAGTGGGTCCAGGAGGGCCTGGCATACAGCACAGCAAGCGGAGGAGCGCCGGTCCAATCAGAAGGAACCTCTCCCCACCACCAGTCTCATCCCCACCACCAGCACGCCACCCAGTTCAAGGAACAGACTGCACCAACGCAATCGCCTCAGCCTTCAACAAGTACCGATGCCTCCCTGACGTCTCTAGTGATGACGATGCTGACAAGAATGGACAAGCTGATGGATATAGTTGCCCGCATGCTAGATGCTATGACGAAGAAGCATCATGATTAATCATCTCGTCATGAATTTCAACACCAGAGGCCTCTTCCAGAAGCAGGCTGAAATCGAGCTCCTTCTTCAGCAGCATAGACCTTCAGTGGTGGCGTTGCCAGACACCATGCTTCACCCCTCGACTCGTCCATACTTCCAGGGGTACACTATATACCGAGAGGTGTGTGCACCAGGGTCTCGAGAGGGAGTAGCCATCCTGGTCAGAAAAGATGTACCTTCGAGATCCGTCCCGAACCCAGTGGAACCAACCGAGGGAACTCACTTACTCACAGTTGACGTGCGACTTAAGAGTCGGTTCACATTCACTTGTGTCTATAGGAGACCCAGGGCTGGACTGACATCTGTTAAGCTGCTGCTACAACATGCCCAGGGGACGGGTCGGCATGTAGTCCTTGGGGACTTCAATGCTCGACACACTTCCTGGCTGTGTGGTAGCGACAATCCACTGGGGAAGTACATTACCAAGACTAGGTTGGCCGTCTTTCACCCAGGTGTACACACTTTCCGGCATTCAGCCCGACCTGATTGGACATCAACGCTGGACCTGCTATTAACCAGGGATCAGCACATCATTACGGATTGCCAAGCGCTTCCGTATGGACCGTCGGATCACCGGCCTGTGCTCTACACGATCGAGGGCACACCCGCCAAACCACCGGCGAGTAAATACTTACTCCACAAGGCCGACTGGAAAGGATACAGGTCTAGCGTTGAATCCACTTTACCGGCGGTAACGCCGTGCCAGACAGTAGAAGAGGTAAACGAGGCGGTGGATGTCATCACCACCACTATCCAGGATTCAGCCAACCTGAACATCCCTAGGTTCGCTCCGCAGCCCAACGCCATCAGGAGACCACCACGTCACATCCTCGCCCTGATCAGTCAGAGGAACAACCTGAGGAACATCTTTCAGCGCACGCGTGACTACAGCTTGAAACCGGCCATCAATGCGATGACCCGGCAGATAGCCAGCCTCATGCGAGACTGGAAGACCTCACTCTGGCATGACCAGCTCCGGAGGACTCATAATGACCACCGCCAGTTCTGGAGACTGGTCCGAACGTTCGTTAACAAGAAGAGGACTGTCCACCTGACGTCGGGGAATGAGCTGCTGACACCTAAGGAACAGGCTGAACTCCTGGCCAAAAGCTATGAAGCGAGGGATGCTGAGCGGACGAGAAATGCACCACCAATGCCGGAAGGACCACTGCCCAGTCCCAACGAAGAACCCGTCTTCTCTACCTTCAACCAGCTGGAGTCGACGCTACGACGCACCAAAGGAAACAAAGCGTCTGGACTGGATGAGATTCCGTACGTACTGTTGAAGATGCTCCCTAGGAAGGGTAAAGCCTTTCTACTGAACATATTCAACTCATGTCTTCGAATCTCATACTTTCCTACCGCATGGAAACAAGCGATCGTTGTACCGTTACTCAAGCCGGCGAAGAACGGGGACTCAGCTGAGCACTATCGTCCGATCAGCCTCCTCTCGCACATCAGCAAGATTTTCGAGAGGCTAATCCACCATCAGCTTATGAAGCACTGCTGGAAAGAGAGCATCATACCACCAGAGCAGACTGGTTTCCAGAGAGGGGTCGCGTGTGAACACCACCTAGCTAAACTTCAGGCCCACACAATAGATGAAATGAGTCTCAACAGAGCTACGGCGCTCATCTCTTTGGACTGCAGTCAGGCCTTTGACTGCGTGTCACACACGCATCTACTTCGCCGTCTGGAAGAGTTCAGGTTTCCTACCACTCTATGCCGACTGACCCGAAGCTACCTCAGCGGAAGATCTCTCGTCGTACGAGTTGGTACAGACTACTCAAACCCAGTCGATACCACCTGCGGAGTACCTCAAGGGTCTGTGTTGGGGCCAATACTGTTCGTCGTTTTCACGGCGCCAGTGGTGGCACTCAAGCATCCAAAGGCGGTGGTAGCAGCCTATGCGGACGACATTGGCATATATGCTTCCAGCATCAACGCGGAGACTGCACTCACTCTGGCACAGAATGCTTCAGCCACAATTGTTGAAGAGCTAGAAGAGATCGGTATCAGAGTGAATCCTGCGAAGACTGATGCTATTGTCATGTCGTTTCAGAAGGGAAAGAAGCATCTACCCACACAATTCACCGTTGGAGGAGTTTATCATAAAATTTCTACCTCGATTGTCTACCTCGGCGTCACACTAGATAGACATTTGACCTTCTCCAATCACGTTAGGCAGAGGATCAAGCTGGCACGAAAGAAGTCGCACCGGCTCTACCACCTACTGATGTCGCCGCAGCTCTCGCTGAGACTCAAGCTCCAAATTTATAAAGCTGTTATAAGACCAACACTGCTCCACGGGGCCCCTCTCCTGCGATACCTATATAAATCCACGCTTACGATTCTACAGGGCTTCCAGAACTCTATCCTTCGGCGAATTGTCCGTGGCACCACCCTACAAAGGGCTAAGAATCAAACAATACGCGAGGAGCTCCAGCTCCCCTCGGTACCTGAGTTCATAGGCCGGAGGCACATAAAATTTTTTGATGGGCTGAAGGCCTGTGCAAACCCACTGTTCAATGAGATCTCACCACCACCCAGACCTGGGAGGTGGCAAGGTAAACTCCCTTTGGTGGACATACTCGCCGAAGGATGTGGTCTGGTCTCTGCGGTCCAAACTCATTAATTTGTATATATTGTAAATAATAAAACATTAGCAGAACGGTCCTTCCCCGTTCAATGTCAAAGTCACAAGGCCTTCTGCCACATATGTAACCTTTAGCTATCCCCAATCCTTAAAATGCCCTCGGGCAGTGGAAGGAATTTACTACATGTTTATATTGTATTATTGTATACTATATATGTAATTGTTTTAATAAACTTTTTGGAGGGTAAGAAAAAAAAAAAAAAAAAAAAAAAAAAAAAAAAAAAAAAAAAAAAAAAAAAAAAAAAAGAGTAGTAGCTCCTAATGTACTGCAATCATTCAAAGTTTAATTATACTACTTCAAAACCAAAGGATCAAAAATTTTGTTACATTAAGTGAGACCTAAAACCCATCAAGCATTATAAAAACAGAACTTTTGGGATGGTGAAGCTACAATTTTCCTTTATGTTTTAATAAATCACTCTAAAGATCATTCACTTGCGTGAATAAAAATATTATTATGCAGTTACAGTCATTTTAAAAGAGGTTTAAGTTAAAAAAAATAAAATAAATGCAAAAATAGAACTCTTAAAAAGCCATGCTGAAGTGAAAAGCTCTAGATCAAAATGCATTTTCTCCACTTTCATTCAAAAATTTAATTTTGCTATGGAGAAAATTCACTTTGTTGTAAACAAAAAACTTCAAAGCTTTTTATACATCTTTGATAAGAAGCAGTATGATCTTAAACATTCCAGACTTACTATAGAATTCTTACCAATTTACAATTCTAGTTCAAAATGGACAAAATGCATTTTGATCTGGAGTTCCTAAAGCTCAAGAGAATTTCAATTATACCTATAAAATTCTATATGATCCAGAAAATGAATGCCAATAAGGCAGCTCCTGTAGTCAGAGATATATTGAACTCCTAGTTACTCACATTAACATAAATGAAAGAGATTTTTATAAGTACATGCAGAAATGCACATTTTATGATCTTGGAACAATTATAGTGACCGCCTTGGATTCATCAAAATTAATGTTTACTTCAGAATGGAACTATTAGGAAAAGGAACATGCTTGTACCCTGATCCCTCATCTCGAATGACTATGCTAATGTTCACAGAAACGGTAAGGATAGATGTAAAACATTTACTTTCTTTCTATTATTTTTTTATTCAAGATATTTTTTATGACCAATTGTTCTAAATATTTAAAATGTTTGAATAATATAAATATATCAAATTATATATATATATATATATATATATATATATATATATATAATTATTTAATTAGGAATAAGTTCGCTTATTAATTTTTCAATAAACTACCAAATGTTCATTGCTTCTGTGTTTATTCAACTTTTCGATCCCAGTTTTTTTTTATAAGTTAACAATAGAATCCTCTTCAAAGCTAGAACAACAAATAGTTCAATCGGTAGACAATTATGCTTCCATATGTTTCTAATAACAATTATTTCAAAATTCGTTTGATTTTTGGGCTGGTTATCTGTTGTTGTGTTGTGTTTATTTGGTGAAGGTGATAATACAGTTAGAGAATGGGAACTATAGTTCAGTTTTTTTAATATTGTTTTATGATTTTATAATGTTGACATTTTATAAGATGACTAGTGTATATATATTTTAAGTAGTTGATATTTATACATGTTTTTAGCAATTTTGAAGTAGTTGATATTTATGTATATTTTAAAGTTAGGTCGATGATATATATATGTATTTATTGTTAACTAATTTTGATACGTAAATTTATAACCAAGAGTTGTTATACAAGCTGTTTTGGTTGTTGATAGAGATATGTTCTTGATGCTGTTATATTTATCATAGATGCATTTTTCAATTGCTTTACATAACAACATAAATGCAATTTTCATTGTTTTTTATGTAATATTTTGCTTTTGGGCTCAAGAACGGGGTAAGTAGACGTTTAGTGGTCCAGTAGCTTAATATATGTGGTGGTGGATGGTGCTGAGACTGTCGGTGTGTCCCTGCTCTAAAGCATTGAGGCTCTATTTTAAAAGTAGGTTAAATTTTGAAATAATTGTTATTAGAAACATATGGAAGCATAATTGTGTACCGATTTAGCTGTTTGTTGTTCTAGCTTTGAAGAGGATCCCATTGTTAACTTACTAAAAAACCGGGGTTGAAACATCGAATAAACACAGAAGCAATGAACATTTAGTAGTTTATTGAATAATTAATAAGTGACCTTATTCCCAATTAAATAATTATGTTAAAATATAACAATCAAAGGTCAATTGAAGAAAATTTGTATATATATATATATATAGGGGCTTGGGTAGCCATGCGGGCTAAGGCGCTTGCAATAGGTAATCGAAGTTAAGCAATGCCGAGCATAGCTAGCATTTGGATGGGTGACCATCCAGTGAGGAAAGATATGCTGCCCGAGATTCCTCCCCTCCCCTGGGTATGTGAGGCCAGTCAGTCTACTGGAGGCAACTCACACCGCCGGGCATATGATTGATGATTCTACCCCGTACTTTAAATCGAGAATCGGGATGTGGTCTAGGAGACACAAAGATCTTCATGGTCTGTAGTGCCAACCAAAAAAAATAAATAAAATAAAAATAATATATATATATATATTGTGATGTTCCTTTTATATTTCAAATCAAATATAATAAAAATATGAAAATAATTAAATAAATAAATAATTCAAAAAGATCTTTAAATAAATATAATATCAAATAAATATTAATAGTTTATATTTTATTAATGGAACCAAAATACAACACAGATGTAAAATAATTGTTCAAGAATTTTATTATAGCAAGCAAAATGATTCTAAACACAGATATCTTGAACACTGCTAAATCAAACTTAATAATAATTTCTCAAAGAAAAATTTAAAATTGAATAATTATATATAACTTGAAATAAAATTAACATGATGTTAAATTACATACAATCATATATATGCATTGTATAAAAAGTACATATCTGTGACCCCAAGTCAGTTTGCCAGGAGCTGCTGGAGACAGGATGCGATGTGACCCTCTCTGCTATCCAGGATGCAAGTAGAGTTAGAAGTCAATTGCATGGCTGGTCCATCACAACTTTGGTGACCGATTTTTGAGTTAAAAATATGTTAACTTAATCTTTTAAAGGCCAATATCTTTTTACAGGGCATTAGTTTTTCTCTTCATATGATGAGGTGTTCATACATCTCATTATATATGTATTGCAATCGTAATACAAGGAAGTAGTGGTATTTCATTTCATGCATTATCTTCCCCAGCCATCAGATTTTCAGATCAGCTGTTGTGCGTTGTTTTTGTTAATTTGTGTAAGGAGTGCCTTACTTACCTCTTTATTCCCTACCTCACTATAACTGGCATATGGTGGGGGGAGGGGAGGGAAGGGGTTTGTTCTCGATGTACAAACATATCTGTTCTGACCAGAGTAGGAAGGTTGAGAATTTATTCCGTGGGTCCGCCAAGAAATACCTAAAAATTGAATAAATTAAGTAAAATATGTTGTTGTTGAAGGAAATGAAAATAACAAAAAATGTATAAATATAATAAATTAGATAAGTGGGAAAAATATATGGTAAGGGTAATATAAGGGTAGGATGGAGGCATTCGGGCTGAAGCTATCTGAATAGAATGTATCTAGATCACAAATCTTGACTATTTAATATCCTCATAATTCGTATTTTTTCTGTAATCTATATTTTATCTATATTCATTCCCTTTAATATTTTGAACCCAGCTATAATTTTTGTTTGGTAAATAAATATGTTATGCTGTTACTTATGCTTTCCTATTTACAAAAATATTTCTGCTCAAGGTAGGGTAGTAAGTGGAAGTTGTGTGATGCACGCCTTGTGCTCATTGTATTCTGAATATAGTAGCAAGTTGGTAGAGGATAAAATATTGCCTGCCTAATTTTTTTATTAGACAACTTATAGAAGATATTTGAGATTTCACTTTCTGAGCATGACACTCTTATAATCATTTTCTCATTGTCATTTATCTTATTGTAAACAATTAATACCATAATCTGCTAGATTCATGTCTTTTTTTATTGTCAGTTTTTAATGAATTATTGTAAAAAAGATTCAAATTTCATAGTACAAATGTTATGAATATTCCGTTAACTAAAGTCTTATTTTCAGGGTAAATGTCGATTTATAAATCTTGAAACCATGCATATCTACAGAACTGTACAAGGACCATTGCTACCTAATGGAGTAACATATGTTAAGGTACTTATTGATTTTTATTGTACTATAGTCAAAATTGACAAGTGCTGTCCAGGAAGTAACTTACTTGACTAAGTTTTGAAACCTATCAGAAAGAAAAAAAATTCTCCATTGTCGACAGGGTTTACGTTAAGTAAAAAGAAATATTCAAAGACGTGATGGTAGACATCAAAGCTCAATAAAGTTTTACAAACCATGATCTAATGATCTAATTTTCTGCTGACAAGTAGAAAATTTAATTTTTTCTTTCAAGTATATAAATTTTTTTGTTGAATAGGAATAGTGGTACAGACCCCTTTTTATCAATTTATTAACATTTATCTAAAACTTCATGAATAGCTTCATCTCATCATTGCCTACAAATATTTTATTTATGAAAATTCTCGAAATCTGGAAATTGGCAAACTTTGTCTATTTAATTAGGTACTAACAACTCATGAATACCCATTTGCTTTCTACTTGAATTGTAAGATAATATGATCACAAAATTGAAAAAAAAAAAAAAGGTGGCCTCCAAAAATATTGGACCGTTTGGCCTACATAACCTCGTTATTTTGAGGGTGGAGGTCACACTAAACAGCCTAATATTTTTGAAAGCCACCTTCTTCTTTCAATTTTGTGACCATATTATCCTACAATTCAAGTAGAAAGCAAATGGGTATTTATGAGTCGTTAGTACCTAATTAAATAAACAAAGTTTGCCAATCTCCAGATTGAAAACGCCTCAATTCCGATAATTTTCGTAAATAATATATTTTTAGGTTATGATGAGGTGAAGTTATTCATGAAGGTTTGAAGTTGCTGTGCATTTGGTGGGATACCAACACAAGAGTGTTGTGTACCATTAGCTTCTGAAAAAGGGCAAAGATACCATTTCTACACTTGGTGGAAATTTTTGACCCACCTGTTGTATTCACCAGATTCAATCTATTCCAACTACTTTTTGTTTTCATTGATGTCTCCATGAAACTTTTCAACAATGACACAGAATATCTCAATATGGCTTAATAATTGGACCATCTCAAAAGATGTATGTTTTTTTATGGGAGGGCATCCACAAATTGTCAGAGAGATGGGAAAAATGTGTAACTAGGGATGGCACATATTTTGAATAAACCATTTTTTACCTTTTGCTCAATTTAAACTTTAAAAAAAAAATTATGAGTTATTGATTGCCAAACCTGGTACAAACATTAAATTTACTTGTAAAGCTTTATAAAAGCTTTGAACATAACAAAACAAAACTAATTTTCTCAATGTGAATTTGTGCTTTGGCCAATATGTCTTTCTTGCTTGTTCTTGCTCTCATGCTGACAACCATCCACTACTCAACCAATGGAAGTTAAAACTCCTACTAACTCCACTCCTCTAACCTATTTACACAATATTAACAACTATAACAAATAAAAACATTTTCTAATAAAATATGCAACGAATAATAATAAAATTAACAAAGTACTAACAAAAATAATCCAAAGCCACAGAACTCTCAACAGATCTAATTGCAACTACTCAACAAGTCAATGTTTCTGAATGGAGTTTTGTATTTCGCATTTAAGTTACTTTCTACACAGCGCTTGCATATTGAAATATCCAATGTTAATAATTTATATCTCTCTAACACACTAACACAGTCTCTAGCTCTCCCCAATCAGACGGAATGCTTGTTATTTGTAAGCCACAATGAAATGGGTTTACTGAAGTGTCCAGTTGATGGCAATCCATATAAGTGGGTCAGTCATGCTGCAGTTTCAGAAGAGGTATGATTGTTTTCTTTTTAATAAGTATATTAATTTTTTCTTAATGATACATTTGAAATTTACCTATAGTTCATCCATAAAAGATGGCAGACTGGGGGCAAATTCTTAGCTTATATGGCATGTAGTTGAAAATATACCAATACATTGGAAGATTAAGACATAATCTTTTAATATATGTAGAGTAAAACTCTCAGTTTTTGATACCCTTAAGGAAACTTTAAAAAGTGTTTGTCCCATTTTCAATTGTTTAGATACTTGGATAAACAAATTCGATTCTGTTAAGTCAATGAAGATCTCTAATTTCGAAATATATGTGTGAAACATTGTTTTTCATTTATTGTTTGTTTTAAGTGTATCTTTTCCTTTTATTTTTGTGATTAGTCCTTTTAAATGTTTTAATATATTTTTTATAAATAGGAAAAAGATTCTAATTTTTTTTTTCTGTTGGCATTACAGACCTTGCAGATCTTTTGCCGCCTTGACAAGCCCACTCCATCTCTGCCTTTCTTGGACTATTTCTTTCCAGCCATCTGCACATAGCTCTATTGCATCTTTGTTGGTTCTATCTATCCATCTGCTTTTTGGCCTTCCACGTGGTCTTTTGCCTTCTTTTGAGGCATTCATTGTTACTTAGAGGATTGCTATGAGCTACCTGCCCACCGATCTTAACCTCTGTGCCTTCATATCATGGAATATTTATTGACCAGTTTCTGTAAGCAGTTCTTTATTGGTCTTTGTTCTCTATGTATTAGTATTCTGATCCCGGATTGCTCTTGTTGTAGTGCGGAGGATTTTTCTCTCAAATCTTTCAATACTTTTTTCTAGAGTGCTGATTAGTGTCCAGGTCTCACTGTCATATATTAGAACTGGCTTTATCATTGCATTGTATACTCTTAATTTGAAATTTTTCGGGATTTCAATACCTTTGAAAGCAAGAAGACAGCTCTGTTTGCCATTGAAGTTATTGTGGAACCAAGGTATTTGAATCTTTCTACTCTTGGGAATGGTTTTCCTGTTTTTGGGGTGGAATTTTTGGCTTATTATCATATATTTTGTGTTGTCTTCATTTACTTGTAGGCCGATCTGCTCTGCCTCTCTTATCAGAGTCTTAGTTGAACAATATCAGCGATAGTCCATCTATCTCCCTGCAGTAAGCCCGTTCAAACTTTTAAGGTGTCAGATACTTTTCCTTCTATTAGGACTCTAGATTTAGGATCATTTATACACGCCATGCACATTTCTCCGTTTATGCCCTAATTTTTCTTTCCTTGGCGTAGAATTCTCATATATCTCCAGCCTGCAAGTTGTCCTCAATGGTTTGCAATCTTTCTTTGAGGAATTACTTTTTTGCCGATCTTATTTTTTTTACCCTTTTCTTGGCAGCTGTGTACTCGTCCTGAGCAACTTGTTCAGTTGTAGCTAGGCTGCTTTCATTTTTCTTCTTTCCTCTACTACCTTTCCCCAAGGTTCTATGAACCATATCTTAGCTTTTCGTTTCTCCTGAATACCTATCACTTCCTTAGCTGTTTCTTTTAGTCCTTTCTCTATTTCCTCCCAGTGTTGGCCCACTGTGAGGTTCTCTGAATCTAAGGGTTAAAATTTATTTTTTAGTTCAAGTTGGAATTTGATTTTTACTTCAGGATTTTTCAAGTTATGGGCTTCGAACCTAATATTAAAATTAATAGAAATAATGTTAATAGTTATATATTAGGTAGATAGTAAGCAGTATATTTTGTCTAAAGACTAATAGAAACTTATCAGCCAACCTTTAGTCCGAGGCAACCAGGAAAGAAGGAGAGCCTTAGGAGACTGTAGTGAGTCCAGTCCAGTCCCACCAGATTTTAATTTTCCTAAATTTGTAAAATATCTGATTTATTCTTCCTTACATGACTGAGAGAAACACAGATACACCTGGTGATTGCAAAATGTGTATTGTTTTTGTATAAATTGCAATAAATATATATTTCCTTTGTGGCACAAATCACTGATATGATAATTCATATGATTGTTATGCTCTTTGATACTAAGAACAACAGGTTTTATGATATCCTTTTCATCACGAAAAGGAATAAAAATTTGGCTATATATTATAAAAATGTTTTCAGTTTTTAGCCACTCTGTCTCCAAACAACTATTATCCTAATTTTTAGGGACCAGCATTACAATTTCTTAGGAAAATCATAAATAGATATAAATTAGCAATGGATCACAAGCAGAAAAAAGTTAAAACACCAAATATATCAATTAATATTGATGTATATATCAAGTAATTATCAAAGAATTGCTCTCTTTGCTATTCATACAAAGTTTTTGTATTCTTATAAGCAAAATTTTTCTCCTTTTTCAGGTACTACAAAAAATGTTCTTCATCTTCATTAAAAATCTGTTTGGAATGGATTGTCGAAATAATCCTCTTCCTTTAAATATTCTTTGATAATGAAGATGTAGAACTTATGTTTAATATATGGGCGCTGGCAGTGGTAATTGCTTCAGGCGTCCAGTCAAGTAGGATCCAGATTGTGATCTGAAAATTCCTTCAGCTAAGATTTACCAGATCTTCCATCTGTGAAAGAAGTTTTTTATCTTTCCCAGGACCTACAAACTCTTTTTTACTTTTAAGTAGATCTATCTTATATCCAGAAACCTATTGTTCTTCTTTCATAATGAAGAAGGGTTTTTCCATAGTTTTTTTCAGTTTCATAGTTTTTTGCTTGTTGCTGTTTTACCATTCTGAAATAATTTGTCAATTATAAATCTCCAATATGTTCTTTTTTTTGACTTGGGAAGTAGATACGTTTATGAATAAGTGACAAAAAATGAATTTTTACATTTTTCAGGGATCAGTTTTTGGCAATCGTTTAAAAAAAATATCAAAATGAAAAGTTTTGTCTGTTTTGTTTTCTAAACTAACAGTGATATATACAGAATAAAATGAAAACGTTAAATTTATAAAAATATCAGTTCATACTTTACAATTTCTGTGTGTATCTTCTAAAAAAAGTGAGGAACGTTCTTTTTAGGTTACACTTGTTTTAAACCTTACCTTCAGAAACTTTCTTGACTACTAAAACAGAATAAATGGTAAAAAATGCAATGATATGTCTGTGCAGAAGAGATTCATATTTCGAAACATATATGGGCCATTCCATAAGCTTAATATTCTAAAATAACTACCAAGGTGTGCCAAAAACTAGGAGGATTGCCAACATCCGGGGATTTTACCATATAATTTTGTAAATAGAATCACAGGATTATGTAAACTACAATATGCTAATTTTGGTTTGCCCTGTGGCTGTCAAGCTATAAACTAGTTTCTAGTTAGACATCAGTCATGAGAGAAATAGTGGTTTGGTAAGAAATTTTTTTTGGAACGGAAAGTACCACAGGTAATTGTGCTGTTTTAAAGCACCTGCTGACTCTTGTGAACCTTAAAATATTCAATAGAGCAAAAAGAATGTTTGAGGAATTTAAGAATTCAATTTAAGAAATATTGAATAATAAATTAATTAAAAGGTGGTTTGAATAAAAAGTGAAGATTTCATACACCAGAACTATGTTAAAATTCAATCACAGGTACATGATTTATAAATTTTAGAGGGAAAAATTGAATAGAATAAAAGTATGAAAGAAATTGGAGTTTTTTATTTTATTTTTTTGTTTCTCCCCTACCTTGCTTTTTAGGCTATAGGAGGTTTTCCCAAGCAAGGTAGTGAGGGCAGGGAATTAATGTCAGAGTTAAATGACCTCCTGGACACCGCGATGCGGACTCGTAATTTTACCACTGAGTATCAACACTTTTAATATAGATCAATTATATTTTTGAGGGGGCGGGGTGGCCGAATGGGCTAAAGCTTGTGCATTGCACCGCGAGTTGCCTGGCAACCAGATAAGAGATTTGAGAAGATTAAAAAAGTATGAGTTCGCATCCCGGTACCGGAGGGGATTTGTAATTCCCCGCCCTCACCCTCGAAAAAAAAAAAAAAAAATCAATTATACTTTTCGAATTGGGATTCGATATTTCTTCATGAAATTTGTTTTTTTTTTTTATATCTCATTATCATTATCATTATCATCTGTCTAAACCCTTATACAAGTTAAAAAATTGAAAACTTTTCCCACATCTTACACAATAAATTTTCCGTTTTGATCCTCAAGTTACTGGTCTGATATTCTTTACATCAGCCACCATTTTTACAGGTAGCAAGATCCGACTGCAGACTCATTTTTTAAAATATAAATGTTTTTAAGAAATGCTTTTAAAGTTTTAATGAAATAATGTGTTTTTTTCTCACTGACTCTCGGACTAAAATGAATTTTCCACTACTATTCAAGCGTGAAATATTTAATTATACCAAATTTCTTGACCATCAATTTATAGCTCTCTTTTCCAATATTGTGGTGTTTATCTTTTCCTTTTATGATTCAAAGCGATTACCAAATATGCAGCTGCCGCTACTGTTTATAATGCCATGATGTACCAAACTGAAGTTACCTGAATGGAATTACTTTAGTCGCATGCTATACAAGTGTACGACAAAGCGCCTGCAACATGGGACAATGAATTCCGCATGCAAAATCAATTAAATCTTGTGCCACATAGTCGGACAGCTACAATAGGCAACACTTCAAGCATCAAGTCAAGAAACAAGCATCAAACTACATGTCGCTCAGTGGAATTCTGACTTTAGGTTGCCTGCTCGTCCACCCCGCCCCTTTTCAACTAGCAATAATCGCACCTCAGTAGACCTTCATTGGTTACAATATTGCCTCTGCACAAGGTTAAAAAAAATGGAATTGTAAAACCATTTTTTATTTACATTTTTAAAAAATATATCATAAATCCTAATTTACATCTTACATATTTTTTCTTATTTATTGTTCCAGATTGAACAAGTAGCTATTGCAAATCATGGTAAATATGTATTCTGCAAAGGAAAAAATGAATACATCACCATGTGGGAAATCAATATCATGCAAGTATTTCTTTAATTGTGACTTAATGTTACAGGATTGGAATTTAATTTTACAAAAAAAGAAGTTCTCTTCCTGGATATTCAGATATGGATATTTAACACACATTATATAAACTTATTATATTACAATATAAATGGTGTATGAAAATTTCGAACATTCAATATCTAAATTTTACAAGGTTGTTATAGACTGCAGTATAGTGCTTAACAATCTTGCTGAGCTTAACAGAGTTCCAATTGAGTGGGTAACGACACATACCCGGCAACGAAGAGGCAGACAATCTGGCCAGATTAGGCTCAGACCCTATTCCCATAACTCCTGAATCTGTTTGTGGAATCAGTCTTAGTACTGCCAAAAGAAGGATTATGGAGTTATATGGTAAAAAATTTAAGCAGTGGACTGAGAAGAAACGACACTCGAAGCTATTCCTTAAAGGGCCATGTGATAAAAGAAGTAAGCTGCTACTGAGTCTGGACAGGGCAGCTCTCAAAAAACTTACAGTGATCTATACTGGTTATGGTAAGTTAAATTACCACATGTTCAATCTCCAAGCGACCAGGAACCCGCTATGCAGATTCTGTCAGGAGGAGAATGAAACAGCCTTTCACATCATTTGTCGATGTGATAGGTTTGCAAGGCTTAGACTAGAGCTATTTGGGGAGGATCGAGTGGATAACCCTAGAAGCTATGGGTCTATCAATCCGATAAGCCTACTAAGATACGTGGGAGCGACTAAATTAGCATTTTAGAAATAAAATGGACGTTATACATGGCGCACAATAGATCCTCAAGGGTCATAGTGCTTTATGCCAAAGGTATTAAAAAATAAAGAAAAAATTTTACAAGTAAAATTAATTAACCATTGAATTCTTCGACTAACTTAAATCTGTATCTCTATGCTGGTTAGAGAAACCGTTCAGAGCAGTTCGATTTTTTCATTTACATATTATACAGTATCTACCCAGCTTAAACTATTAATACCTCACTTAAGTATTAACATACTTTCAGTAATTAAGGTATAGCAATAATAATACTAACAATAATAAAAGGCTTGGCGAATCTGGAGGTTCGACACCAACACAAAAATATCCTACCCCACCAAAACAGTGTAATGCATTCTTCCCATTATAGAAGAAGATACTTTACCACCTTCGCTTTGATCTATCTCTCTGACATTTACCTGTCGACACAGCAAAAATCAACCTTTTATAGGTTATTTTGTTAGTAAACCCAACAGTTTTATATACCCATTCTATTCACAATGTAATCACCTCAAATATATTAACTGGATACAGTTCTCGGCTATTCGGCCTTATCTAACCATCTAAATTTTCTGGTCGACTCATCCATCTTTGGTCCCAATATTCTACGCAATATTTTATTTTTAAAAACCTTATGACATTGTTCATCTCTTAATGTAAGCAACCATATTTCACATCCATACAGTACCAAAGATAGGATGATGATTTTTTATATTCTAATGTTTAAGTTTCCACAAAAAAATAGCATGCATTTTCCACTTTCAACCTGACCTTAATTCACTCAATTTCGCTTTTTCTAGTTATTGTAGGTAATTTCTTCCAATTGTTTTGTGTAGTCAATTGAAAATAAATGTGGATCGATATTTTATTAAAGGAATTAATGTTATTGTACCAAAACGAGTTTTTTGACATAGATTCATAAGCCAACAAATTTGTAAATCTGTTTTCAGAAATTCCTAAAACTTTATGGACCAATTTATCACATGAAAGCTGCAGTCAGACTCCTATATTGGTGAATGTCAATAACTGAAACTATAAATTGAATTCTAATCGCTATGTCATCTAACATCATTCGAGTTATAGCCTTATTTGGACAGCATTCAACATTTGTGCTATTTCATGCCTTCAACAATGTCGAGAGATGATTTTAACTGATATAATTATAAGATTTTTAATTTATAATAATATATATCATTTATAATATAAGCCCTACCTAGCACTGCTTCTTGGGTAAGTGTAAGAACCATGATTAGCGTTGTCATTCCTGTACAACATAAAAGTTAAATCGAATCATGGCAACTCTCTGTTAATTAATTAATCTGGCAAAAAATCTGTTAATTATGTAAGAAGAAATTAAGTTATATTATTTGTTGAACAAATACTTGCATTTTTTAATTTATTTTTATTTTTACACAAAAAGAAGTTGTCTTTCTGTTATAGCCTTATTTGGACAGAATTCAACATTTGTGCTGTTTCATGTCTTCAACAATGTCGAGACATGATTTTAATTGATATAATATAATTGTAATATAATAAATTTATATAATGTGTGTTAAGTATCCATATCTGAATATCTTTATCTTGTTTGTGAATATAGCATAATTGTAATTATGATCAATAATGTCTTCTGATGGTCTGTTACCAAGAGTATAATGCAAGGTTCAATATGTGTAAAATATATTTTTAATTAACACATTTTGAATATTATTAATCACTTTTGGGTTTTTAAAAACATTTTATATGACATAAATATTTACAGGCCTCTCAATGCACTTGAAGCTTTGGGTGGAAAAGGTGGTGATCCATTTTCGACACTTCTTGCAGCTGATCCCTGTGCACCTTCTCTAGAGGATGTTCAGGAATTGTTTTTCTATTGCCAGGTGGCTCATAGGGGTCAATACAATGAAAAAGCTTTTGAGTCGTCTGATGTGATTGGAGCTTGTGATGTTCCTTCAGCATTCCGAGCACTTGGGTACTTCATGACAGATTATGAAGTAAGTGAATGTGTTATTGAATAACTTGTAATTTATTAATAAATTTTATAATATGTAACTGTAAGTAATATTAATATAAATTAGTGACAAGCGAATCAAGCGACAGAACATAAATGTTATGTTATAATTTGGAAAAATTCCAAACCACACAGCATTATGTCTCCAAAATACAGGTAAAGAAAACAAACCTGTCAACGTTTCGCCAATTATAATCTAACTGTAAGTAATGTTGAAGCTAAATTTATACTTAAGAAAATTATAAATAAAAACAAAACTTATGTAAATTGGGGGAAAAGTTTTAAAATATTTTCTCCGCTCTTTTTGTGACAATATAAATAAGTTTGTTTGTTTCTTTCCTGTAATTATATATATTATTATTGGTTAACAATTGCAAAAAACTGTAAACAATATGTTTCTGATGATAAGAACATTTTCCAAAATGCCCAACAAATAAAATAAATTAAAAAAATAAAATTCAATAAAAAGATGGTGTCTTCCTATATATAATTATTTATTCTTTCTTGATACTGGTTTCAGTCCTTCATTAGGCTAAATAAAATATAAAAATTAACAACTACAATTTATAAAACAATCTATAAAACTAATGAAAATTCAACAATTAAATACATGAAATAAAAACTAATTATCACCTAATGTATGACAATCCTCCTTCCCTGCTGTGTGGCGAATGTTTAGGTAATTTGTCTGGGACTGTTGGATAATCATCTTGTCAATGTTATAAATATAATTTGGAAGAAATTTATAACTTAAAAGAGTTTGGTTCAAATGATTAAAATACTGGCCAATTTAAAGCACATTGTCATAACAAATAACAAAATGATTAATCTTCTAGATATCCTCTCATTTATTTTATTTTAATCTCTGAATTTCTTACTTAATTCCTAATAATAATTGGCAGAATATTTGATCATTACAAAATTATTAGAGCCATATTAGATTTTAAAAACCATTTAGGTTATATTAGAGCCATTAGTGTAAGAAATTAACCGGGATGTATCCTTTGTAATTATCTCACACCATTCTCAAGTCCTAATTATTTATTTTTTCAGAAACCAGGCAAATAGATTAATTCAATTTTCTTTTGAATTTGATCTGATAAATTGACTAAAGCGTCTCGAGATTCATAAATTTGTTATATGCTGAATACTATGTAAGGGGTCTCTATAGAACAATAGTTGAGTAAAGCTGTGAAGTGTTTAGGAGAGGAAGACGGGTGTTGCTGAGTTTTTATAATTATTAATTAATTTCTATATGGTATTGGTAGATAGGTTTTTGGCTAGATTGATTTTCTGGTTTAAAGTATGTTGGGATAAGCATTTTAAAAGTCAGTGGGAGGAAGCCAATTAAGTATTATTAGCTTCAAGAAAAAAAGAAAGCTCATCTTGACATTAACTCATGTCAAATCTCTTTTATTCTATATTACCCATAACTCCCAAGAAACAAATCACTATAATCGATTACTTTAGGCATTTTAATAAACAATTAACAATAATAAGTTCATTAACATCTACACAAACCTAAAGGATCAGACCGTAGCTCCCTACAAAACCATTTGAATATTTTCCCCATCTTCCTATGGTCTATTCTTCATCTAATTCTTCTAAATTGAAAAAACAAAACTTATCTTAAAACTTAAAATTTCAACACACACATTCACCATCTTTGTCTGCCTCTTAAACTCTTAGCCTTCTATATTCCTCAATTTTGTTATATCCTTCAATTTATAGAATAGCCCCTATTCTAGCCACAGTTTCTAATTATGAAAAAAAAAAAAATCATTTTCAATATTTAAACTTGATCCTGCCAATCATTAAAGAGATAAACAGTACGTTTTATTTTCCCCCTTTACTGCATTTATGTTTATTTGAAAGTTACACATTTATTCCTATACTTCTAAAGAAGACCTATAAAAACCTTTGTTTTTGCATAATTTCTGTTTCATTTTGATTGATCCTCTGATAATTACCTTCTGTATTAGTATCGTCAACTATTTGATACATAATTAACTAATACGTTAACTCTTATAATCTATAAGGGCCTTGAGTTTAGTACTTGATGAGTTCTTGTAATTGTGAGTTAGGGTTTTAGTGTTTTTATTACTAAACTCTCTCCATTTTTAGTTTTTATATTTTAATAAAACCTATATCTTATGAATTTTACTTGATAGGAGGATTTGCTGGTTGATGAACTCGTCGGTGATAGTAACTTGAATGTTACTGAAGTGGAAGTTTCTTTTGATAAATTTATTCAAACATTTGTAAACCATAGGGTCTGCAGAGTGTCAGAATCAGCTATGAAAAGTGCTTTCTGTAATTTGTTCAAAAGAATTATACCAGATTACTGCACAATTGGTGTGGAAGTACCTGGTGTTCCAATAGCAGATTTTCTATATTTCTTGGAGAACTATGGTAAGTCTGTTATCATTAACTTAATAAAATTAAGTTTATGAATGACTTTACATTTGGACCTCAGAGTAAAAAGCACTATTTTATTTAAATCATTTCTTCAATTGAGCTGTTTTAATGTAATTGAAATCTTTTTAAGAAATTATAATATTTATTATTATATATTAATAATTATTATAATTTATACAGAAATCATCATAAACTTTTTATAAATAATTAATTTAAACCATTAAGCTTTGAAGTTTTATTTAAATATATATTTTTTCCCTTAAGATGTTTAAAATAGCATGAATAAGAATATTTAAAAAAATATGCAATATTAGTAATATTGAAAAGTGATGTTTCCATTTTTTTAAAATTCATCTGATATTATTATCTTTCATATTGCTTTAATTTTTTTTAAACTGACATCACAAAGTGAGGAAGTTTCTCATTCGACTTTTTTTTTAAATACATGTCACCATTTTTTAACAAGATACACTACTATATTAATTTCATAAGGATTTCAGTTCAAATCTCTAATTTTTTTTATATATATTAAACAATAGAGAAAACTCAATAGATAATAAACATAGATAGGTTCTTAATAAAAAAAAATCTGCTGCAGTGCGCACATCCATACAACATTCATCTACCATAATTTTTTAGCAGAAATAAGTATTTTGAGACAAAAGAAGTGATAGTACAAATTATAGATGGTAGGAAATATCATTTAAAACAATTACCACATGTTTTCATAGCCGTATTATATTTATGTTTTCTTATACTAACCATTTCATTTTATGACTGTATTTTAATTATTTATCTGATTAAAATAAATAATTATGTGCCACAAAACATGTTTAGCCCGACAGGAGTGCCACTCATAAAGAAGGCTGCTATATTTATTTATATTTCATTCTTGGTATTTTATTTGTTTAAGCATTAATATATTTACAAATTTTAATTTTTATATTGATGTAATCTAAACACTTAAATATTAAATAGTACCAATGCTAGCATTTATGAATTTCCCATATGTTTATGTATATAATATTACAGAAGCCTACATTATATTAAGCATGTCTAGCATTTCGGCCACGCATTTATTTTCTATTACGATCCCTTATTTCTCCTTTAGTTAGTTATCAAATTATTTCATATTTTATATATAACCATTTTTTATAACCAATTACAGTGTAGAATGTTAATTATTTTAAATAAACAAAATTAAAGGTATTTTAGAGGAAGAAATTTTGAAATTAGGAATTTAAGTGCTGTTATAGAACATAAATGAGAATCAGGCCTACATTATATTTTTTACACTGAAATGATAAATTTAAAAATCATTTGAGCTATTTTTGAGAAAATTCCAAAAATGTGTAAAACCGATGATATAAAGTGGCACTTCGGGTTAGCCAATTTTCAAGAAAATCGCTGTAACATCCCAATCATATATGTACCTTAAATACATAATATCAGTTTTGTACGACTTTTTATTTTTGATCTAGACTGTTCACACACACACAACGCATGTACAAACACACACACATACTCACTCTCTCACACACACACCAGACCATTTTTTGGAACCTAGTTATTTGGCCTCAGGGGACCTCTAAACATATGTCCTTTGAAAACCGGATTCGAAAATTTTCATGATCGCAATACTTTATCTTACTATAATTACATTTATAGATAAGTGAAAATAAAAATGTGGTTACAACATAAATTGCCTTACGATTTCTGTCAGAGCAATATGGTTGTACTTCAGTACAGAGTTTCGTGTTAATTCCAAATGATACCTGTTTCTGAAAATATGTAGTGTTTATTTTATAAATTCTCGGTTTTGATTTTAAAAAATATTTAAATAGAATTTCTCCTTATCCTTGAGGATATGAAAAACGTCTTAAGTTCAAAATTTTAAGAGAAATTTTGAAAGAATTTTTGAACATTTATTTTTTGGGTAAAACCTTAATACTTTCCCCTACAATTTAAGAATACAAAAAATAAAATCAAAATATTTTCAAATTCATTGAATTTTTATAAAATTTATTTGCACTTAAGTTCTTTCCTACAGAAGCTCTTCAATTAATGGTTATGACTTATATCTTGCAATAAATTTTAAGATTATGAGTAATATGTTAATTGCATTATATTTACTATTATTATGATTTTATAAAATAAATCAAAGATCATATTAAAAGAACAATCTGAATTATTCCTAGGTGATAAGTTTGATCCCTGTAATACTTATATTTACTTAAGAGCTTTAATACAGCCGTTTACAAAACTAATTGAGGAAGAAATGTTAAAGAAAATTGAGTTGGCTAAAGAATATCCTTTTGTTGATAGTAAATATTACGATTTCATGCCTGAGGTGAGTATTATTTCATTATTATTTTCTTAGAGGTAATGCAGTAGACTTTCAATGTCAATACTTCACTAGTCTGGCCTTAAAATCTTCCCTCCAGTGAAGACAACTGACAAGGCGAAGGTGTGATGAAATTTATTAGGAAATGAATCTTGACCTTCCCACTCCAGTAAGAATAGGTTTGGTTGTACCTCGGGAGGAGGGGCTTTTCACTCTGGCATTAATCCCTGCCCCGGGAGAATCCCAGTATATCTTATAAGGCGAGGTAGGGGTGGGCCAAAAAAAAAACTCTAGAGCAGGGGTGTCCAAACTTTTATTCCAGCTGGCCACATTGAGATATCCATTAAGTTGGGAGCAATAGCTTATAATGAAAAAAAAAATTGTTCTATAAATGACACTTCAGTTGGCAAAGAAGATTTATAAGAGAAATAACCCATGCAATAAATATTGTATCCTTGTGTTTGAGTGATTTACTAAATTATATATTTTTAATAGGTTACCAAGTAATCAAAGACATTTTTGCAGACCGAATTAGAGGTGCTTCTTTAATCCTTCAAATCCAAGCCCTACTCATGACTCAATAGGTTAGTATTCCAGGATGTTTTGAGGTAATATTCCTGCTTGCCTTTCATGTCTAAGTGTGGATAGAAGTTTTTTTAAGAGGTTTTCAAATTACATTAGGGGGAAGAGCCTATTTGAATATATTACAATATATCATATTGCTTCTACAGTGATGTATGTTTTTTCTAATTTCTTATAAATCACCACAAATATAGATATTGGGGCGAGGTGGCTGAATGGGCTAACATGTGTGCACAGCACCGCGAGTTACCTGACATCCAGATAACCAAGTTTTGAGATTGAAAAAAAAAAGTACGACTTCGGGTCCCGGTGGCAGAGGGGATATTAAATTCCCCGCCCTCACCCTCTGGCCCGGCAAAATCCCGTATAGCCTAAAAAGGCGAGGTAGGGAAGTAAAGAAAAAATATATATATATATTGTTATGTTTCTTTATTTAAATAATAATCACTAGAATATGATTAAATTTTTTTTTATTAACAAACTCACACATCTAGATTTATACAACCTCACCGTCTGGTATCCTTTAACTTATCTTTCTGAACATATGTACATAACAACCTTATTTTTACATATCTTAACATATATATATATATATTACCATATTTCTACAATTGAAGGTTTTCATGCTGAGTCTGATCCTCAGAAATTATTTGAGTTGGAGTGAAGTGAAAGAAATAATATAATATTTATGTTACTCATATCTCGGAAATAGTCACCTATATGTCCCCAAAGTTCTATTGAAACCCATTCAGTTATTTTATGGAAACATTATGAAGTATTATATAAGCTTTCGGTTGACAGAATGATAACTCTAATTTCAACATTTTTGATTATTAATTTTAGGGATATTTCTAGTGAGAAAATTTAAACCTTTATACATAGTTCTATATTTATATTTCAGCACTGCAATCATCTTCTCTGGAATCAACTTACTGTCTATACAGATATTATAAATTTTCTAACTAGAAATATCATTAAAAATTACTTTACTCAAAAATGTTGAAACTGGAGTTAGTCATTCTGTCAACTGAACTGCTCATATGATGAAGTAACTTGGTGTAAACATATTCTGTTAGTAATTAATTTATCGTGTTTTTAATTAGAGAGAACTACAGAAAAATCGTAATGCTGCTCAACATTTTTGAGGTGCTAACTGACACAGCATACTAATCTATCTGATTAACAATATCTAGTAAAACGATTCAGCTTGATTCACTTTTTATATTAAAAGTCATTTGTTGTTTCCTTTCTTTTCTCATCCTCATCCTTCTCATAACTGTCGCCCGGATCCATAAAGCAATGACCAGAATTAATAGAGGTGATAGTGCAGGATTCCCAGTGAGTCCAAAATATTGGACTCCGCCATTCTCTGTATCGCATCCCTTTCCATACCTAACTGTTCCAAAAACTAGTAGTTTAAAGAGGAATTGTTCCTCTACTTCCAAACCAAAGTCCTCTTACCAAAAAATTTCTCTTTCAGGTATGGAGTGCATTTTTTATATAATTCCTCTTTCTCAATTTGTATTTTGTGATCTTGCTGCTCATCATTCTTCTCATATCTAATTGTAAGATCAACTATAAGAGCCTCCTTTTCTTTTACACTTGAATGGCCAAGATATCTACGAATCTTGCTGACTCTTCCGTATCCAGACACTAAACTTTGAGGAAGCATCTATAATTTTTCGTCTCTAGGAATTTGGATATTTAATACTTTACATTATTGTGCTGGCGGGTGACAAGGAGCATGTCACAAAACATCATATCCTAATCTAAAATTATATGTACATGAACCAATTCATTGCTTTATTTTAGATGATAACCTATGACTACTTCAAATGTATCATCATGGGACTGAAGAAAAATTTCAATGAAGAATTTACTGACTTAGGAAAGCCTGTCTTTGTTGCAGATTAAGTTTTTTCAAGTTGCTAGAAAGGAAAAAATGTCTAAGGTATAAAGTAGACAAAAATCTGTACTGTAGAATCCGTATTATGTGATGCAAACCAAGTAAAAGATTATTATTTAAACTGTTTTTATTTTATTTTGTCCTATTAAATTTAACAGTGACAAAAATTGTAATAGTGAACTTTTTGAGTAAGTTTAAAATGCTCAGTGTCATATTAATAAATCTAAAATTTCTTTATCTATAATATCTATGGTCACAGTGAATAACCTGGTTAGTATAAAAATGATCCTCATGAGTTACGTTTATTGTGATCAACTCAAAAGCTTTCTGCACACTGTGAGGAAAATGGTAACACATTGTTCCAAATATTTTGGAGATCTAGATGAGAACTAAAAATTGCGAACTTCTTTGTGGTGTTTAGAAGGCTTGAAAGATTATCACAATTCACATAACTCATGGGGGCAATTTTTTGAGTTACTAAATCATTTACTGTGACCATAGATATAAAAATAATTTAGTTTAAAAAAATAAATAATAATAAAAAAAAAAATAATTCTATTCATCCAAGAGAATTTATGTCCTATATATATACTTCAAATCCTCCATCCCTTTTTTTAATGTTGGCTCAAGGCACGTCGACCCCTATAGGGTCCATTGTGCGCCAATTTCAATTATTCGTTTATTATAAAAATGTTATTTTTGTCGCTTCCGCGTATCTTAGTAGGCTGGTTGGATTGACCGTCTCATATCTACTGGGGAAATCCATTCGTTCCTCCCCAAATAGTTCCAGTCTCAGCAACCTTGTGAATCTATCATATCTACACACAATGTGAAAGGCTGTTTCATTCTCTTCCTGACAGAATCTGCATAGCGGATTCGTCGTTACTCGGAGATTGAACATATGGTAATTTAGCTTACAGTGACCTATATAGATTGCTGTAAGCTTTTTAAGAGCTGCTCTATCCATACTCAGTAGCAGTTTGCTTCTTTTTTCTCTCCACCCCCTTACTAAACTCAATAATCTTTCAGATGTTGACATGCATTGTTGCATTGGCTGAAATGTACTTTCCAGGAGCCTTAATGAGTAATGGAAGACATCCCACCTGAATACTACATCAAGTTTAAATAATCATTGTCAATTTCTCTAACTATCCATCAATTAGTTTAAATAAATAATAAAAGTACACTCTCTTACGACGAATAGGGTTGTATATGGGATCTTTTTTTTTTTTTAAATTAATTATGATTAATAATAATATTAAATATAATTAAACTGACTTGTCGTTTTCATTACTTTTTATGAGACCATCTGCTAATGTCAATAGTTGGTAGTCTGGTATGGATCAATATTTGAACTTACAAAAAAAATTGAAACTATTTTATTTTATTTCAACATTTTTAGTTATTTAAGCAATAAAATTTATATTCGTCAGATATGATTACGAACTTACATATGATATGAAACCAACAAAAAATGAATTAAATATATTTTTCAGTATTTTGAGCTCAGTTATTTCAAAATATTCAGAAGATCTCACTGAGTAACTTCAACAATCAAACTTATATATCAAGCCGTTTGCTCCAAAAATTGTTTCATATATTACATGAGATCTTACTGAATAGTTTGAGCCATGAAACTTCAAAATCGGACCAGTTGTTCTCTGAAAAAATCGTTACATACATTTAAATGCTCAACCTAAACACACTCATCTTGTGGCTTTGAAGTTGTCAGGTAAAAATATTGTTTAATTGCATGCTTTACATATTCTAATTTTTGCTGTTTTTCTCCAAAAATCAACAACATTTGTACTTTATTGGAGGGCGGTGGAGGTGCATTTTTATCCAGTAATAACCCCTAGAAGAGTGTTTTGGGGTGTCTGCTATATATGACAAATAGTAATGACAAATGTTGAGGTTGAATTTAAATTAACAACTAGTATTGGTGATTGTATTCAGGTATTAAGAAGACGTAACAAGTAATAACAATAAGAATTGAACTAATAGCTTAAGTAACCAAACCTCAACTTAATTAATATTGACTCAAAGCTGATTAAGCAAGAAAATTATTCAAAAAATGTGTATCAAATAAAAAAAAATTAGAAGGCTGATTTAAAAAATTAAAAAGAATCCAAGATTTTAGGAAAAACATAAATTATCATGATTTTGTTTATTTGAAGGCAAGCTTAAAATGATTTTAACAAAGCTGTATTCTATTTTTATTTTAAGTAAATTTTGTCTGGTTAACTATGTTGCATTTGATAATCACCTAAATTAAATTTGTTATAATTATTGTTTCTTACTAATCACAAAAGTGTGATACTTAAAAAAGACATTATCCTGCGAGCATTTGGACCTCAATCTACATGAAGTTTTTTGTAGCTGTTAAGTTCTTTATTGCTTTTTTCGTTATTCCTTTTGTAATATAGTTTGATTTATAATAACGTTTATCAGTCTTAGTATTGAAGAATCAGATAAACCAAAAAAATAAATCTGAAATCTTCAACTAAGATGGTACCTGAGCATGAGCTTATTAGGGTTTTTTGGACACCCTTTATGTTTTAGATAATATGTTAAGCATATTTATATTGTTTTTTCTAATATGTATAATTATATTACATAATTTAAATAATGTATTATTTACAATTAATAATGCTGTTCAATTTACTACTTGATCAGTGTTTCAACTCAGTACTTTTGGTTCTGCACTATCATGCAAAATTTTCCTGGGAAATGGTTTTATTACATATATTAAGCAACTAGTGGTTATCAAACAAAAAAATTGTGGGGGACTACTGGACAACCACTATTAACTCCTTAATGTACATAATAGTTTCATAAATACAAACAGAAAGACAGAAAAAGTCTCTCCCAGAGCCTCTGGGTTCTTAGCTCTCAGGTATGGGTTTGATTATAGTTGTGGCATATAATTTATTCTGTAGCAACAGATGTGGTCAACCCTCCTGGGGCACATCCCACGCTCAATGCAGTTGATACTGTTAATTCGACGAAAATCCGGATGGTAAAGAGTGATTCTCACCTAAATTTCTTCTTGCAAAACAGTTAGTCTAGAAACAGTACTTCATAATTAAGTATTGGCCCTAATATCCTGTATTGGTTGTGGTATAAGAGGTCTTTGTTTTAGATAACCTTTGTCAATAAATTTGTGTATTATAGGTTTTATGTTATTCTATAGATAATTAATTATTACTAGAGCTGTCAGAATAAGTCAACTTTTTAATATAAAGGGTGTCTCACTCTTAATGGCCAAACTCTGGGGTTGATTCTAGAAAATAATTTCAACAAAAAAGTTTGATTTATGACGCGATTCCGAACAGAAAAGGAGTCAAGACCAATTTTTTGTGGTCATGTTGTTTATTGAATAAGAAGAAATTACTTAAAAAACTGTTAAAGATCAGTTGTATAATTTTTAGTGGGGGGTTGGTCCGCCGATAGGTGGACTGGAGTTACCTACCCCTCTAGTTATATATAAAAAAAAATCATCGAGTAATTTGATCCTTTATGTTAAATAAATAAAAATTTCTATTCTATTTCATCAGTTTTATATATAAAATCCAATCTGGGGAGGTATATTGTATCACTGTGTCATGAACTCAGTACTACAATAAAAATAAAAACAATGCAATCTCAATAATTTGAACCAATTACTGCAAAAGATGTTCAAATTAAAAAGGGTGTTTAGGAAAACACAATAGCAGATTACAAATCAACACACACACACTTTACTAACTGGAGAGTGAATATTAAATTTTTTATATATTTTTAAAAGAACTCAGTTATTTTAAATAGTTTTGATTTTTGAGAACTATCTCATTGCTTCTCCTAGATATTTTAGGATTTATTGGCACAACATATTGAGTTGTCCATTGAATAGTGATTGAAACGAGACACTGCACATTTACACTTAATGGCCATTCTATTTAAAAAAAAAAAAAAAAAAAATTGAGGGATTCTCTGAAAATAACCTCAGGAAGTGTGAGCAATGAATTATTTTTTTCTTTGTTAATTCAGATTTCGGAGATGATACTGTATAACCCAGTTGATTGAAAAAAAAATCAAACAATAACGTACTTTATAGGAAATAATTCCTTTTTCTTGCTACCAACTATAGGTATTAGGATTTTATTTTTTGACCTTAAAAACCACTTTATAGTGTGGAAAACGGTGATCATAGATACAAATATTGTTTTATTCTTCTAGAGAAAATTTTATTAAGCAATATAAAATATTTTAATAGTAAAATTAAAACAATTAAAATGATATAGAGAAGTAATCATTAGGCTGTAGACGATATGATTGGAGATTGCAATATTCATTTAATTGTTTATTTCATAATGTTACTTTGTTAACCTTCACTTTATTATTTTGCATTACAAAATTTGCAATTTTTATACCTTACCATTACATATAATACTCCTATATTTTAATTTTGAATTATTCTTATTATTTATTTATTAGCAGATGACATTTTTTGTTCTCACATCCTTTTACGATTGTTTTTGGTTGTTATCTTGTCTTTTCTCAGTCCTGATGAAGGCCTGCAACTTAGGCCGAAAAGTCAGTATAAAATAAAATAAAAATATTTTTATTTGTGTGTTCACTCTAACACTCCAATCTAGTGACATATAATTTACACAAACAATGGTTCATCTTATATTGCATTGTCAGTAATTCTATTTTAGCATTATATACTGTCCAGCTTAGTAAGAATAAAATATGTTCCATCAAAGTTAGTTTTAAGATTAACAAACTGCTGCAATCATAAAAAATTGATTTTAAAACTGTAAAAAATAAAGTGAATGCAATTATTTTCTTAATCAGTCTTTATTTAGATATCTATAGTTAGATTAGTTTTCTGCATTGATATTGAAAAGAGATTCGTCACTTTAATTGAATCTTCCTTATTCAAAATTAATAAGAAATATTTCTCAAAATAAAAGTTCCATGTTAATTTTTTTGTTAAATTTGGTATCAAAATTACTTTATGATATATTTGCCTTAAGGTCCATGAAACTGCAAAGTTAAAAAAAAAAAAACAGTCAAGTATATTACATTTTTTAACAGATCTATTTAATCAATAATGGTGTTAGCTCTTAAAAGAAATATGTCAATCATTATCTGTACTTGATACTATTTTTTAAAATACGAAATTCTTAGCAGTGAATTTAAATTACAATGGTCACAGGTGTAATAAGTTTTGACTAACGCTAAATTAAACCCATATTTTTTAGTGAACAGGTTTTCTTGAAACTTGCCTAAAGTCTTCTAATTAAAGCCATTAACTTATATACCTAATACAACCATTAGGAAAAGCAGGGGGAAAAAGATATGAGGAAATGTAAATTTTATTTTTTGAAAAATAAAATAAAATAAATTTATATTGGACCAGTATTAGTTAGCAAAGATATAGAAGATTAGACTTCACTAAAGTATTTTCCACAATTTTCCATTGAAAACTACTCACTTTTGTTTAGTTGGCTCGATAAAATGAAAATTACAAATTTCCCGGTACATTCCAGAGGTTAATAAGAAAATATAATTAAACTGTCAACATAGCTTAACTTAATATAAAAAAAACTTAATCGAACTAATATTAGTAAAGATACAGCAAACAATTTAAATATTGGATTTTAGACCCAAAACAGTGAGGAAATTCCATTACGTGACCATAGCAGAATTTGATTTGATTTTAGAATTAGTTAATATACTGCAGCTCTATAATTAATAAAAAACAATAAAAGAAAAACGGAATTTTTTAGTTTAAAAAAATTTAAATGTGTTGTCTAAAACATTTAAAATTATGATAGATTTTTCCAGTTTAAGAAGGGAATGTAATTTAACATTAAGTTAAAAAAAAAAAAAAATTATATTAGTAAGTAATTCTAATACAAGGTTTAATTAATTATAAGTAAAGTTGTTAGGACATACACATTTTAATTTTCTTGGTCTGAAAGGTAATAACGTTATGGGCAATACTAACAACAATCATTGTTTTAATTGATTTCCATTTTTATCTTTATAAAAAATTTACATTCTTTAGAAATATATTTTTATTTCACTCTATGTGAACTACATATTATTTAAATTAATAAATTAACTCAAGTAATTGAAAAACTAAAATAATTAAATATGTGCATCCTCATATTGATGAAGCTTACACAAATTTATGATTTTCCCCAATAAAATAATTGTTTCAATATAACTTCTTTTATTTACAACTCTATTTGTAACTAACTATATTGTTTATATATAAGTATACATTATTACAAAAAAATAATAAAGAAATAATTTTTGTACATTTTTATAAATTGAATATAGTTGATAAAATAAATGAGAAGATCCTTGACAGAATTGGAAAATTCCATGTATTTTTTAAAAAATATTTTAAGCTATAATATTTTGTTAACTACAATCAAAAATGAACAAAATAATTATCATAACTCCAAAAATGTATATACATGAGTTTTTACCATTATTCTGATGTTCTATGTACATGGTATTTACAAATTATTTGCATAGTTGAATGTACAAAGTATTCACATACACAACCAGATCTCTATATAACTGGTATAAATTTATTAAAATTTAACAGGCAGTTTCAAATATGTTTACAAGGCTATGAGTTTTATAAAAATGGTAAAATCAAAACTTGGATAATGACCTATCATATGTCCACAATAAATTTAATTATTGTGTTCAAAATAAGCCTCCATTAAAAGATTTTAAAAACTGAATTAATTCAGCGTATAAAATATATATATACCTTTTTTAATAAATTAACAAAGAAAGTAATCAAAAATTAATTTTTAATTTTATATAAATATATATATATATATAATATATATTAATATATGAGAATATGTATTTCAGAAATGACTCACTGACATTATTTATATAAAATCATTTTTCTTTTACTATAATAAATTTTGTCTGTCATTTCAAAAGTATTTTATTATACATTAAAACTAATCTAACTTATGAGCTAATAGTAACATCAAACCTACGTAGGCAGACCCCTGGCTTTCCTACAACCAGGACAGAACCACTGTCCCCGCGGTGGTACAAGGATACCCACACACTCAAAGTGGAACCACTCAATTTTACAGTTCGCATCATCACATGCTATCATTTCAGAAACCTCATCATAAGGGCATCGACAATAGCAATAAACATCTTTTTCTGCTTTTATAGGCTCTTCAGCAACTGGCCGTGGGAGTCTTTCTTCTATATCACTAGCACTACTGTCAGAGGATTCACTAGTAGAGTGTTGTTTTGATTTCATACTGGCTTTATGATATGTAGGTTTCCTGATAACCTGCTTCGGAACAGTCAATTGGATCCTTGGGGTAGGAGGAGCCAGATTGGGTTGGATCTTGGGTGTCTGTATAAGCGTCATTTGAGACTCCAATTTCCTCCACTTGGGTGCCTGTTTAGGAGTTTCTTCATCATCCCCACTTGAGTACCCATAGAACTTATTTGGTACTCTTCTTCTTTTTGACAAGCGTGTATTATCAGTTTCTGAACCACTTCCCCCAGCTTCAGGTAATGAAGGACTCTGAGGAATGGGTGGCTGTGGCTTGTGTTTTGGAGTGGTCATTCCTTGTTGAAACGGACTATATTGCTTTGACTCATTTAAGAATTTTGGATAAGAATCCGAAAGAGATAACGTTTTCTCAGTTTTAGCAACTTTAGGAGTCATAGCAAGTTTCCGTTTTCTTTTAGGTTTTGTTTTTTGCTTTGGTGTTTCAACAGGCTCAGGTGCTTGAGGTGTAGCAGTAGGTTCTTGAGTAGGAGCTACAATAGTTGGAGATGTATTACCATTATTTACTGGGGTTCCTGTTGCCAGAAGTACCAATTGCCTCTTTTCAGCAAGCATTTGATTCGCAATTATCTGTGGTTGCCTGTCATAAAACTCTTCATCAGACGTTGTTTCATCAGTTTCTAACTCTGATTCACGAATAGGAGGATCATCAGGTATGATCGGGAGAACTGGTTCAGGCTCTTTTGAAAGAGCTTCTTTATTTATTTCTAGCTCACTTTCAGATTTCTGCTTGATTCTTTTGTCTTTCCTTTTCTTCCTCTTATCAAGCTTAATCTTGTCTTCATTTGTAGAACTATCTGAATCTGAACTTGATGATGAAGAACTGTTTGAACTTGAACTTGAACAGCTGCAGTTAGTACCACAACTACATGAAGATGTATCACTATCGCTACTCGAATCACTTGAGGATGAACTGTTATTATCATCAGGGGTTTTGGATATTTTCTTTTTTGGTGATTTTAATTTTTTCTTAGACATGCCAGTGGGAGTTAATGCAACTTCCTGTTCTTTTGGAGGAGGGGTTTGAGGTTTTTCAGGTATGATAGGAGTGACTTCTTCCAGTTTATCATCAGATAAACTTGTAACTAAATTAGAAACAGATGGTAAATTTTCTTTGATAATAGGATCAACTTTGGCCTGTTGGCAATAATCATGGTCACCCATTATAATACTGTAAGCCACCTCAGACTTCATGGCACACAAAGGAAAAGGTAATTTTGAGTTTTGGGGATTAGTTTTATAAAAATTTTCCCAAATCCCTTCAACCTGATCATTCTGAGTTGCATCCCCTTCTTCAATTTTTACTTGATCTTTATCTATTGGTAACAAAGCATTAACAGTGGTGTTGTCAAAAGGAGAACTTTGGTGTGGTGATAAAGGTTTTGAGGATGTTTTTTCAAAACCAATTTCATGTTTATTTAGGCCTGGCTTTAAAGAATTATCACTCATTCCTGAATTAAGTTGATCATTTAAGATAGGTAAACTATTATTTAGTTTATCTTCAATGGTGTCATCTAATTTTGCAGTATTAGGATCATTATGTGAATCTTCTACTGAAGGAACTAACTTAGTTTCAGACAACACATCTAAGCTATTAAAATCCTTCACCTCTTTCGAAGATAATATTTTAGAGGATTCTTCTTCATCAGAACTATCACTTTCGGAAGATAGGTTGAGAGGAGGAAGATCATAAACATCAACTACCTTCTTTTCTTTCCTTTCTCTTTCTTTTTTATGTTTCTTATGACCTTTATCTTTTCCATCAGTTTCCTTATTAGCATCTGGATTTTCATTTTGGGGACATTCTTTCCCATCATTTAAATCAGTTACATTAATGATTTCTTCTTTATCTTCTTGTGGGCTATTTAACAATTTTTCTTTTCTCTGAGCAATAGCATTGTGCCTTTCAAGATGACGGCTAAGTAATTTCTTTGAAACATATTTCTTTTCACACTGTTCACAAGAGTAAGGATAATCATTTCCATGAATCCTTTTATGAACTTTCAGAGCAACAGCTTTTGAGAAGGAGGTGTTACACTCTTCACAAATAAAAGAAGTTGGTGGAATACAAAAGTGATAAACATGAGGCCATTTTTTTTGCAAACATTTTTTGCAAAGGACACTTTCGGTACCATGTTTCCAAAAGAGATGCTTAGTTATATCAGGTTTACTGGCATATGCTATACCACACCTATAACATAAATGATTCAATTTGTGTTTCCACATATGAGTAGATAATTTCTGTTGATCACTACACATTTCTAAACATATATCACAGGTGTGATGTGATTTTCGAAGGTGAACCATTAATCTAAATGCTGAAGGAATAGTATCAAGTCTACAGAAGCAGCAACGAAATATTAAGTCAACATTATGGAATTGAACTTTTGCAAAATAAGAGCCTGGACAAATATGACAAATGAGTTCACTATAACTATAGAAATTAGATTTACACATAATACATAAAAGCAGTGACTTGGTATGACATTTCTTTTTGTGTGCATATAAATCTTTATGAGAAGATGAAACATAACTACATTGAAAGCAGTCGTAATTCTTTTCTTGGTCATATGGAATGTGTATTAAAGGATCTGAACTGTCGTATGTTTCAGTATTGAAATACATATTCTCCAACGTGTCCAAGCAACTTGAGATTTTTCTAACCACATCATCATGGGTTTCATTTTTAACAGGTGTGTATCGATGTTCTGACAATAAATGTAATGCTAACTGCTTTCCATTTACAGCAATTTTACAGGCATGTCGACAATAATTACAAGAAAGACAAGAAGTGCGAACACATTCTTTAACAACTGCTTGTATGGGTACATTTTCAATTTTATCATCTAAAGTCAAAGCCATTGTTGCAACATCTTCTCCAGCTAACGTAATTTCATTTGAGTCTAATTTTCCAATATTTTTGGATTGATTTGTATCTTCTTTGGGTGAATCATTTCCATTTTCTGGAGTTGCATCATTATTTCGGAATTCTGTATCACTGTTATTAGTGTTTTCATCAACAACTAAGGACAATTTTTGACTATCATCACTTTCACCATCTGAATCAATTTCCCCAGGAAGTTTGATTTTAAATACTTCTTGTGACAAGGATCTCTTCATTTCAGGCATTTCATTGCACAATGATGGCACTTGTAGAGGAGGATCTGGTTGTGTTACTTCCGTTCTAGGAGGGGAATCATGCTCTATTGTTTCAGGTACTGGTGGCACAGCCACTTGTGGTTGAGCTTCTGTTTCCTTTATTTCTGGAGGAGGTAATACATTTTGACTACTTTCTGTCACTGCTTTCATTTTGAGGACATTTGGTGCTTTCTTTTTTATTGTTTTTTTAATAACTTTTTTAGTCTTTTTAATCAATTTAATTTTCTTCTTGAATGGTTCAGGTGTGATAGGGAATATTTCAATGGATGACCTGTTGGGTTCATTTCTGTCAAAATTTGTCTTTTCTCCAGGTACCAATGGTTTGATTTCTATACCGCTTGGAACTCTAAGTTGCAGATTTTCAGCTTCAAATGGCACATTATGATTTTCAAGTTTATTACTTTCAATGTCTACTTCCATTGGCTTTTCAGTAAAATTAGAATTTCTGGAATCATTTTCATCTTCAATATCATGTGTTGTATGAGGAGAATCACTGGATTTGTTCATATTCACTTCTTTAGTCAGTCTTTGTGATGTTTTAAATCTGGGGAGATCAGATATAGATAAGTTAGAAATTTCATTAGAAGAATCTAGAAGAGGAATATTATCAGTTCTAGGCTTTTTAAATAACCCATGTTCTTGGTCGGAAGAGTGTTTATTGTTGCATTTATGATTAACTGAATCATCCATCTCAGTGAAAACTCTATCACAACGTAAGCAAAGCAGGAAAAAACTTTGAGGAGAATGTTTCTGAAGTTCATCCAATGACATATAAATCTGATTTGTAATGTTATGCTTTTCTCTAAGATGCTCTTGTAAAACTTCTGGAGATTGCGCCATAAATAAACAGTAAAGGCATATATATCTTCGGTGAAATTCACGCATGTGCAGAAATAAATCACAATTTTCATAATAAGTACCACATGTTGAGCATAAAAAAACTTTTCTAGTAAGTTTAATGTTAGCTGAATTGACATCGGGAGGATGGGAAATTTCACTACTATGAGAAATTAACTTACCATTTTTTTTACATTCAACTTGGTGTGTATTTAAGGCACTCATCGTTTGAAAAGTGGACATGCCACAATTTGAGCACTTGAATTTAACAATTGGCTGTAAACCTAAATACTGCGCATACTCTGGCTGGAGAGTGCTACAGTCAATCTCATCCCTAAAATTCCTAAATAAACCAAAACGGCTTTTGCTATTTCTTTTCCAGGCTGGATTAAAAGGATTATTTTTAAAAAGAGCCTTATTATCTGAGCTCATACCTGTAATAGTCCGTGTTGTTTTAAAACCTTTATATTGAATTAAAAATTGTTCACCCAAATCACTGATATTCACTCTTTCTTCAGTTTTGGAATTTTCTTCTTTTCTTTCAACTTGCTTTGTAGATGGTTCTACTTTTTCGTTAGAATCTACTGCGCCTTGTTCATTAGTTTTTGTTTCTAACTTGATTTCTTGAGGTTCTTGTATAGCAACATCAGAACTTTTTTCCTCCATATTTTCACTTATAATGCCTTCATCTGATGAGACCTTACAGATGCCCACAGTGTCATCAACTGATTTTTCCTCTTGAACAATAGCATTTATATCACTATCAATTAAGGAGTCTGAAACTTCATTATTCACAACAGCATCCTTATCAATTGAAAGGTTGTCTTCAGTTTCTGGTTCGGGTTCAGAAACATTAACAAGACTTGGTTCATTAACAGATTTACTTTTTGAATCATCTTTATCAGTTGCTGGCAATGAGAGAGTGCAATTATTTATTTCAGCAACTTCTTGGACAACAGAACTTTTACTTATGTCTTCTTCAACTTCTAGTTCTTTTTGCTGTTCTGATACATCAGTTCCTAAACTGAGTTCTTCATTAGGTATCTTAACAGGATCACAATTATCTGTGGATAAGGGCAAAGGTGGATTCTCATCAATCTTGCTCTCACAGAAATTTGAATCATCTTTGTCTATTAAACTATCTTCACTATCACTGGTTTCTGAATCACTAGAACTAGCTGAAAAATCAGATGACATGTTATGACTATCTTCAGATTTTGTTACATTAAATTTTCTTTCCCTAGATGATGCCTCTGAACTGCTAGATTTTGAACCATTCTCTGACCCAGAATCTTCATCCTTATGTTTACTGTTTTCATCATTAATCGTATCTCTAGTATTTTCCGAATAAACTGATGACAAACTGTTTGTTGGACTAGAAGCTAAATTTTGCTCTGGAACATCATTTTTTTTGTCAATACAATCACCATTTATGTTACTAAAACCTACGAAATTCCTAAGTGAATCACCATCAGTAACACTCTTATCAGAATCAGATACCAAATTTTCTCTCACTGAAGGAAGTTTTGATGACTCTGTATCTTCACTCTCCTGCATACAAATGTTTTCCTCCTTAGGAATGTCGCCTTGTGATGGCATAGAGATCCCATCACCGTCTTCCATCTTGATGTAAGCAAATAACGTTAATCTGCCAACAAAAAGGGATATTAAAAACAATATACTTCAAATTCACAATAAACATATTTATCAAATATAACAGTTAACTATATGAGATAGGTTAGAACATCATCAACAGTTCTTAAACACAATAATTTACAAAATTTCCTTAGGAAGTTAGGAACACCTTACAGACGAACATGGGAATAGCCACCACACATCATTATGAAAATTATTGTACTAAAAGCTCTTCTAAAGAATAGTTAAAGAAATATAAACAATACCTGTAAATTAAAAAAAAGAAGAAGATAGTAGCCACTAAAGGTCTGTATCCTTTCAATTTTCAACTGTCTTTCAAAACTCAACAAGGAAATCAGAATGAGTACTAAAATAATTTACATTTTTGTTTAAAATAGCTTACTAAATCTGTGTTTATAGAGCACTAATTCAACACAAAAGGTTTGACAAGGACTATCGTTATCGTCACTAATGCATAGCCAAGCGACTAGCACACCGAAAAAATAAGATTCACTTTGAAACCAAATGTTCAAGTTGACTAAAAAACAGTTTCATATTTAACATTTGATGTGTTATTATAAACATATAGCAGTAAGAAGCTTCCGCGCCTTAAATCAGGTTAGGAAAGGATAAAATGGCGGACTCTGAATATATGTCCTAACAGGATAGATGTTTGTAGCTGGTAATTTAAAGATTTGGGATGGAAAAGTTGTAAATACAAGGTCTTTTGTTTATATTGAGGCTGATTTTTAACAAAGAAGTAAAGTAAGAGCCATCCATTGAAAATTATGGTTTCGTTGGTTCCATGTATACATAAAAATTATGCATGACACTCCATTCTTAATAGCAGTTTTTTGATGATGACATTTGTACAACTTCTAATTTTTCGAAAACTGTTACCAAAGCAGTAATGAATAATGATAATAGACATTTTTTTCTATTAGAGAATTATTTATGCATGATCTATTAAAATGTCCCATTGATACAATTCGAATGTAAATACAATATGCTGTTAAAATTTATATTTAAGATAAGTAACAACTTTATTGAAGTTTTGACTTGATGACAGGTCGCCAGGAGAATATTCAAAACAATTGTTTTCATTGTAATAAGATAAGTGATAAGATGGCCAATGCATCTATTTTTTATTGAATTTGGGATGATTTAAGTTAAAAAAAAAATAGACAAGAAAAGAACAGATATCCCTTTCTAGGTATTCTAATAAAAACAATTAAATTAATAAAAGATATATTATTGATATTGAATGTAGTATGTGTTTATATGTAAACTATGTTTGTTTTTTTTAAATATCACATTCAGTAAAGTTTAATTTTAAAAAATAAACTTTATTATCGATCAGTAATCTTTTGAAAAAATAGTTTCTCTTCATCAGATAGAAAATAGATACAAGTTAGCATATTTGTATATATCATTTATTTTATTTTTTAATTTAAAAATCTTATGAAATTAAAATTACTACATTAATATTATATAATTTATTTGTGCATTACGAATATAATATATTTAATTTATTTGAAAAGTTGTAAGTAATTAATTAAATATATTAATGAGGTTTATCTTTCTAGGCAACATTGGTCTTCAATGTGGTTGTGTTGTAGTGTAGAGTTGGACTTCATTACTGTCTGAAAGGTATTTTAAATTAATTCTTAATGTAAACTCATATATGTATTATTTGGTGGTATTTACTGTTTATGTTTTGTATGCAGTCTATATTTCCAGGTCACATTTTCTGTATTTGTTCATTAACTTGCACGTGGTTGTAACCTAGTACACGAACCTTACTGGTTGTGATTAATTGTCGAGAGATTTCATTTACATGTTACTGATTTCGCATATTCTATTAATTTGATATTCCACTGCATTCGTGTATTTTGTTATGGTTTTAATTACCATTAGAAAAGTTATATCAACAATTTAAATTTTATATTATTTGGATATCGCTCATTTGCCCCCTTTTTTATTCGCTATTGAGTTCAGTAATTATGTCTTCAATAGAAACGTTGAGGGGTATAAGTACTGTTCAAAGTAATTCGAAAATTGGTGCATTTTATGTCAGGAATTTTCTCATTTTCTCTGCTATAACCACTGAATTCTTTGTTTTTTAAGTATAGTGATAGTGAAATGAAAAATGGTTCATTTTACCCTTATAGCAATATTTTAGTTAACAGAAACTCATATTTCAAACTCATCTGCATTTAGTTGTCAGACCTATGGCCAATTTATGCGTCTCTAAGTTTAAACTGAAATTCTATTTTATCCTTACTATCTGGTATCACAAAATTTTTCTATATATTAAGGTTCTACAATATCAGTTACTGTATATATATTAATAGTAATACATATATGTATCTTATTTTATTAGTAATACCTGAGGGTTTGGGAACAAACAAAATTTTAGTTTCAACTTACTGGTGCTTAAGTTATAGTAGATCAGTAGTCTTGTATTATTTGTATTCACAATAGTCCAAAATTTTTATTTCATTTTAATTTATGTCTTGGATTCCTCATTATGTTAGTTTTCTTTTTTATTATATTGAAGAAGTTGTCTTGGCACATTTTGCACCATCAAAACTCTTTTGAGATTTTTGGGGGTTTCAAACCAGAAAACAACTGTGAGTGTTACTGAAAATAAACTAAAATTGTCCGAAGCTACACTGACAGGCAAAAAATTCCACTCACTTGATTTTTTCATGTTTTCATCTAAAAATATTTCTGCCACTTGTTAAGAAAGTTGTATTTGTATACAATACATGGTATTTGTTGATAATACTTAGTATTTATGGAATTATATAATCTTTTTTACCTTTAATAATCAAAATGTGATTGGGTAAGAAAGATTAGAGAGAAAAAAGTTGAAAAACGAACCATTATTATTTTAAAAGAAATTAATTTCATCATCGTTTAGTAGCGCGTGTTTCCTCCTCTTGCCTTCACTACTTCTTGAAGACGCCTCGGCATACTTTCCACCAGTCAGGAAATTTCCCTTTGCTGAAGGATAGCCCATTCCTTCCGAAGAGCCCTTTGAAGGTCCTGCAGTGTATCAGGAAGTGTTGCAAGCGCTCTTATTCGTCTTCCGAGGTTATCCCATAAATGCTCAATGGGGTTCAAATCTGGAGAACGTGCTGGCCAGGCTAAAACCTCAACATTTTTCTGTTGAAGGAACGTCTGCACTATGTGGGCGTGCATTAGAATAGAATGATCACCAATGAGGTTCCAAAATCTCATCTACATAGCGAATGGCCGTCAATGACCTTCCTCGATCAACAACCAATTCTGTGCAGTGCTCCATTGATATCCCAGCCCACACCATTAAGGAACAACGTTGGAAAGGTTGGCTCTGGGAAAAATTACAGGCAGCATATCTTTCGTTTCTTCTTCTCCACACTCTTTCACGCCTGTCTGGAGATTGAAGAGCGAATCTGGACTCATTTGTAAAAAGTACAGCACTCCATTCGTCCTTAGTCCAATGGCTGTTTTCTCCGGCAAAAGCCAGCCGTGTTACTCTGTGAATTCTGGTCAACTCTGGTCCTCTTACTGAACGAAAAGCCATTAATCCATACTCATTTAATCTTCTATGAGCTGATGAATCGCTTGAACAATAGTAAGGTGCCGGTTTCTTTCGTAAAATTCTCAAAGTCAAAAACCAGTCATCCTGTGGTTCTGTTACCCTAGGCCGTCCAAAACCGGGCCTTCTATTGTAAGAACCAGTTTCCCGAAAACGCCTGACGACGTCTCTTAAAGTTTCATGTGGAACTCCGATGGCATTAGCTGCATATCTAATGGAATCTGGAGCACCACACCATGCTCATCATCCTCAGCACTAAGAGGCATTTTTAAACTTAATATTGAAAAAATTAAAAGTCGGAGACTAAGAAATGTGCTGCAAGAAACGGCACTGAAATTTTTATTTTTTTTTAAAAATTGGATACTAATTCCCATGAGTTCCTCACAGATTACGTGTGGTTCACAATCACTTGTCACACTTGTTCATGGAGTGCCGATTGCGTTTGTGTCGTATCCTTACCCTATCCTTGGGTCAAACCTTTATTATACCTCTGAATGTTATTTCACAATATTATTTATCTTATCGATGTTTTCCATTATTCATTATCTTGGAATTACCAGATATTCTTCGTCAGTTGTTTCCCCAATACGTAAATTTCTTCCTCGAAAATAAACTTTTTATGAATGACTACAATAAGTCCCCATTTTCGGATTACTAGGCAAAATAACTACGAATAACAATAATAATTACTTAGCTAATTCAATCAATAAAAATAATATAGTGTTGTAGAAATGGTTGACCGTGATACAATATGAGAAGGAGTTGAAGAATGAAAGAATTTAAATACTATTTTAAAAATTTGATATTTATTTAACCGCATCCCGGGATTCCATGAACAAGTGAGATCGAATTGATCATAACTCATGTGAACTAGTACCAAAAATTGTTTTCCTTTGTTATTCCAAGACTTGTATTGAAGTCTTATATTGTAATATGAATGAATATCCTTCATTAAGTAGCAGGTTCATACTAGAGACCGACTTACATACTATAATATAAATCGTCCTTACCTTTCTTTTCATTGATTTTCTTACAGTTTTACTTGAAATATCTTCCTTATTGCTGAAGAAATGTGCCAATCATTAATTAACTGTCTGGGATCGGTCTGCACAAAAATTGTAAATGATACCAATATTCCAAAGACCAATTGATATATGAGACTCTTTTCATTTTGTCGTAGTTTCTACAGTTTCACTTGTAATATTCTCTTTAGTAGTGCATAAACGTGTTTATCATTCATCTAGGGATTGAACTTGATAAACATTTTAGTTGATAACTGTATTTAAAAGACTAATATATTTACCTTTCATTTCAGTTGTGGTAGATAGGCTTAGAAAATACTTACTAAAAAACCTGTCAATTTATAGTCCTGCCTTACTGCATGAATTTTTATTTGTGGTTCATGTTAATTTTTAATTTATGCTATAATTTGATATTTTAAGTATATAATTTAAATAAAAGAAAAAGTAATAATTCTTTAAAATTATAATATATAACTGTCAAACTACATTAAATTCCTCAAGCTGAGAATTAACTGAATCCATTGTTATAGGCAGCACAAACATGTTTATTTTATTACCAATAAAGTTAAATATATGTTGCATTTTATCTGCATATGTATAATTTAGTTTATTTCCTGCTCTGATGATGGTTGAATTGGCGAGATGTTGATCGGTTAGTTCGTTTTAGCTGAATTTTAGGAACTCGAGGGTTTTGTGTTGAATTTTCCAATTATAATCTTTTTTTCTTTTTTTTTTTAGCATTTCTTCTTTTATATTATATTTTTACTATCAATGCATATTAAGATTTTTTTTTTTTTCTAGTTGAAATGGTTGAAACATCAGTAGTTAGTCCTGCAGCACCTGCTGCAGGCAATAAGAAGGCGAGCTCAACCAGAAAGCCTCAGCGTAGGAATTACAATCTTGGTTCCGGAGTTTACAGGTTTAGCAGAACTCGCATGTTTCATAAGAAGGCCTTGTGGAAATTTATTGGTAAGAAAACCCCTAAGACCCCACGTCCCAAAAGGAAAACTACTCTTGAAAAAAAAATTGGTGGTGAGAAGAATGGAGGTACTCGTACTGTCTATTTAAAGAAGAGGACAAAATCTTATCCTACCACTAACAAGGTGAGAAAACACCCAAGCAAAACATATTTTTCTCAGCACAAGAGACGATTCCGTGCATCACTAAAACCCGGTGCTATTGTGATTCTGCTTGCTGGACTGCACAAAGGAAAAAGGGCAGTACTTTTAAAAAATATGGCTAGTGGACTTCTCCTTGTTTCTGGTCCATTCTCTTTGAATGGAGTACCTCTTAGAAGAATACATCCCAACTATGTTATAGCCAGTTCAACTCAAATTGATCTGTCTGGTGTTAAATTGCCTGAGCATATGAATGATAGGTACTTCAAGAGAGTTAAAGCAAAAAAGGCCAAGAAAACTGATGGTGAAATCTTTGCTGCTAAAAAAGAAATCTACAAACCATCCGAACAGAGGAAGACCGACCAGAAAGAGGTAGACAAACAGATTTTGCAGGCTATTAAGAAACATGAACATAGTCTACTTCTAAGGAAGTACCTGTGCACAATGTTTGGCCTTCGAAGCAGTCAGTATCCTCACAGGATGAAATTTTAATTTGTTTTCAATCTGTTTTATATGTAAAAATCTGAAAACTAATTATTTTTCTGTTAGTATAAGAAGTTTTTCTGTTAAGTAATAATAAAACTTCATATACTATCAATTTTTTTTTTTTATTCCCATAATTTTTTTAATGGTAGTATGTAATAGTTGACTAGAAGATATTTGGAAAGAAGTTGGTTGGGGCGTTCTCTAATGGATGAAGTATAAACATATAAATTATATTTATTTTTGTGATTATGCCGACTTTTTGTCCTAAATTTCAGGCCATCAGCTAAACCAAGAAAAGATACCATTAATATTGAGACAAATTAAAAAAGTAGACATAGTATATTGAGAGAGAAAAATAGAAAGTAATAGTAATAATATGTATAGTGATGAAGTGAAACATGTGTAAGGATAAAGTAGAAACATATAAATTGTATTTCTTTTTGTGTTTATGCCGACTTTTTGCCCTAAATTTCAGGCCTTCATCTAAGCAAAGAAAAGATGTCATTAATATTAAAGACAATACAAAAAATTGACATTTATAGTAATAACATATGGATAGAGTGATCAAGATAATATAAATATTGAGAGAGAAAAATAGAAAGTAATAATAATAATATGTAGAGTGATTATGTTAAGTTCATTTAATTGTTACCATTATTTAATGTTTACTTCATCCCTATCTACATATTATTACTATTGCCTACTTTTTTTCACAACATTTACATTGTTCTTTGGATAGCCCTGATAATGGCCTAAAACTTAGATTAAAACATCACGAAGGACAAAAATAAATATAATTTATTTGTTATTATTACTTTATTCTTTCATTGACTGGACACTCCAACCAACAACTCTCCAAAACATTTTTTTTTATTAAATATGAATTTATCCTATTTCAGAAGCTTATATAATTATTTTTTTAGAATTAAATTCAATTAGTGTGCTGGTTGCATATTTATTAGGGAAGAAAATTTAAGAATGGATAAATTTGTTATGATTTTTTTTAAATATTGATTCATTCTGGATAAAACTATTATTGCAGAGTGTGTGTACATAGTAATTTTCTAAAAACGGTGCCTTAATTACTCTTGTATTTTTTTATTTTTTATGAGCCATTATTGCTATGCTTAAATAAAATGCAGTAGCTATTTCAAAATGACCAGAAAAACCATTAAAAGTGGATTACTTCAATTACGATCACATCAAAATACTAAAGAAAAAGGTGGTTGAAAGTGAAAAATGATGTTAAATAATTAATGATGAATATTGAAGTCAGCTATAAGTAGTTAAGTGATGAGCAGAGTCAATGATCATATATATATATATATATATATATATATTTACTGCTGAAAATAAAACAATTATTCCAATTTTATTGTTAAAATTATAAAGTAAACATGATTATAATATCTAACAAGAAACTTTTACAAAATCAGTCAATCAAAATTACTACTATAATTATGATTAAAATCACACAAAAAAGCAATAATTTTAAAAGCCTATGTAGGTATTTAGTTAAGTAATAAGATTTTGTTCCTTAAGTACTGACTTCAGCCAAAAAGTAAACAAATTGTAACATTTAATTTTGCCTTTTGGAATTAAGTTACCCTTCATCATTGGAAGTAGTAAAAATATTACCAACTGCAGAATAATTGTAGGATCAACTAATCAGGTTAAAAATAAATTTTCAGAATTAAAGAAAATAAAAATAATAATAAAAAAACACGTTGCTGAATTGTTTTTAATGAATATCTACAGAATTATCTATTTCTACTCAAAGTTAAGTCGTATATGAAAGTAGTGTGAGGCAGGCAATGCACCAAATTGTTTCTCGAAATAATTCTTACGGTATAAAAAAGAAAAATATTCAATTTTTTTATTAATAAAAAAAAATCTGAAATATCCATGTTGTGTTTGCCCAAATTTACTTTCTGGTCTGTAGATAGAGAACTATAAATCAAGACTTCACCTAACAAATATGTAGGTTTGAATAAGTATATTTGATCAGGATAGCTTATTGCTTCATTGTTGTGTTGGAGAGAGATTTTTTAGTGGGACAAGCTAACCACTTATTGAGTAAATTGTTAGTGGTAAAGTAAGAAGCTTCAATTTAATGTATTTAATAGACTATGTTGGTAATATTATACAGTATAAGCATGTTTCACTGATGTAATACACCTGAAATGCATAGGGAGGAGAATAGCTGTCTAATGTGAGATTATACTAGTGGAATTTTTTTTTTTTATTACTGAAATTTATAACTTTATTAAATCAAAAATACAAGTAAGATGACATGTACAATGTCAAGAGAAACTACCCATTGGTAGCACTCCAATTATATTTCTATATTAGAAGGTCCAGAATAGAAGAGGAAGCAAGGTTGGAAACAAGAGGGTTCCGATGGTTCAGAACACGGGGAGGGGGAAGGCTTTGGGCTGAAGCCACCTCCCCCCCCCCCCCAAAAAAAAAAGAAATGGTAAAATATAACCATGTTTTATCGAGAAAAAAAATATTAAAAAATTATCTCTTGAAGTATTATTGTTCGTGTAATTACATTTGAAAGGACTTTAGGAATCGCCTGATCACCATTTTATATAGGTAGTTAGTTTCTTTCTTTTTTTTTCCAAAGTAATTATCGTTATTTTTATGAAGAAAAAAAAAAGATTTCTGGCTGAAGCCTCCCTCCCAAAATTAAATCCTGGAACCGTTAGTATTATGGAAGGACAGGTATATGGATTGAGCTAAATCGGAAACGTGGTACATTAATTAAGGCCGTGATGGGCGATTTAATTTGTGACAAAGCATTGAGGATTATGTTTTGTAAGGATTGGATACGAGTGGAATTATATTTAATATAAATATACAAACTAAGCTTCATAAACGAGTCTTTAATTTTAAGACGAGATCATAATACATATTTGATTTAAAAAACACCGCGACATTCTTGAGAGATAAATATAACACTTATGTTTTTGTTTTTAAAATAGCTGCATTCAGCCAGAAGTGCAGAACTAACTAATGGAAAATACTTAGCCCTTGGGGTTAAAATATAAATTTTTTCCAAATTGAAGGAATATTGCGGTAACAGCTGTGACATACATGTATTTATTGATATTTCTGAACTGGTGGAGATACTTGCTCTATTTAACTTGAAAAAACTCAAGACTAGGGATCAGATTTGCAGAAAAAATTCGGAAAACGTGCAGAAAAAAACTTAAAATGTGTAAAATCCTACAGTAAAAATCCAAAATAAGTAAAATTGTGTAATTAATGCCTAAAAACGTGTAAAATCATCAATAGTATTTAATTTATATCATTAATGCATCGAAATCTTATCAGATCTTCAGTTAACAGATAGCTTTTCAGAAAAAAAAAATTGAAATGTTACATTAAAAATGAAATTCCAGATTATAATCCACTATTATAATAACGATTATTATCAAATAATGAAGAACATTGAAGGTTCGAAGGAAGGAATTATAGGTACTAACGTATCGGAAGCGTAAATAAGAACGAGAGATATATTACTCATAAATATTAAGGAATAAAACGAAAGTTGTTAGAAAGAGGCAATAAAATAGTTTAAAATAAAATAAATTTATAAATTATAACTAAAAATTGTTACGCTTCCTATACGTTAGTTCAAACTTCGTCAGATAACCGTTGGAGATGACACCACTATACACCTCTTCTGCAGTGGCTTAATAATATTATTAAGCCACTGTACCTCTTCTATCCACCTCCATCCTTCTATAACATGAGCATTGCATCTTTACCTTAGAGCAGTCAGGTTGTTATCATTTTTCTCTTTCTTATTTCAACCTTCTCAGTTTCTCTCCTCCTTCCTTTCATTCCTTTACTCTGTTTTAACTCTTTATTATTTCATAATTTGTCTGTGCATATTGATAGACTTTACAACATCTCAATTTTCTATCTAAATATTCTATTCACTATATCTTAATTTTAATATTTATTTCCATTTCTTATATAACTTCATATTTTTCTGTTTTACATTTTATTCTAAGATTCCCTTTACAATACTTATGTCACCTTTTTTGACTATGTTTACTTCATCATTCCACACTTTGTACCTGTTATTATTATTTGTCTCTTGTTCTTACTATTGTCATTATTCTAACAACTTCATTTTACTGTAATTTTTATATTTTTCATACCTTGTTATCTGGTTCTTTTCTTAGCCCTGATGATGGTCTGAACTTCAGGTCGAAACTTCGGCATATGTAAAAATAAATATTATCATTTATTTTTGCCTTCTTTTTTGACTGACCACCCCAACTATTCTTCTCTTCATTAAGTGTTTTAGGGTGGAAAAGGTATGTCGGGAGATATTGGACACATGGTTTTCCAGGAATGGGTTTGATCAAAGATTATTCCAAGGTTTTTGACGGTGGGATAAAATTTAATGGGATTATCATGTAGGAACAGGGTTGGAAAGTTAGGAACAGTTTTGAAGAGGTGATTGTAGCCTATTAGGATTGACTTAGTGTTTTCCGCATTCAGCTTCAACTTGTTAGCTCCTGCCCAGTCATATATTCTATTTAAAACTTCTTGAAGCCTTTTTGTGGCGGCTAATAGGTCTGAAGGGGGGAAGGACAGGTATATTTAGATATCGTCAGCATAGATGTGGTATTGGAAGTGATGGATCAAGAGGGGAAGGTCATTAATGTAAATAGCAAACAGAGTAGGAGACAACGAGGAATCCTGAGGGACACCACGGGAGAGGGGAAGTGTCTTTGAAGGAGGTTAATCTGGGACTACTACATACTGGGATCGATCGGAAAGGGAGTATTTGAACCAACGCAGGACACTGTTGGATAGAGGGAGATTTTGCAATTTGGTAAGAAGGCAATTAGCAATTATGGTCAACTGTATCAAACGCTTTCGAAAAATCTAGAAGGATGGGGATAGTAAGGTTTTGTTGTTTTTTTAAGGTGTTCAATGGAGTTTTGGAGGTCATGGGTTATTTTAAGGACAAATTGCGTTGAATAGCCGGGTCGGAAGCCAGATTGGAATGGATTGATGAGGGAACTTTCTTCTAGGAAGTTGGAAAGCTGATTTTGGACAAGGCATTCCAGTGGTTTTGGGATGTTGGAAAGAAGAGAAATATGACGGAAGTCGTTCTGTGAGGAAGGGTTAGATGTTTTACAAAAGGTCGGACTAGTGCAGTTTTCCAGGAAGAGGGAAATATGGAATTTTGCAATGAGAAGTTGTAGATATGATAAAGTACTGGAATAAGTGTAGGAAGGCTGGATTTTTTATCAGTTTTACTAGAATATTGTCAGGACCATAATCATTGGTGTGGGATTTGAGGATAGTGGAAAGTACTTTGTCGTAGGACACATGGAAAAAAAATAAGTTTTCAGGATTGAAATTGTGGTGTTCAATATCATGAGTAGGAGAAGGATTAGAAACAAAAGATAAGAAATGGTCATTAAGATCATCTGGAGTCGCAGGGAGGGAAATGAGGTTATTGGAATCTGGTAGGGATAGATCACGAAGTATTTTCCATTTTGATTTGGAATCGGGAGCATTGGAAAGGGCATTATGAAAGTAGTTGGATTTAGCAAGTCAGATTGTGGATTGCGTTGCATTGCGAAGTTGTTTGAAATATATTTATATAACAAAGGCAAAAACTATAAAACCAAAGAAATGTAACTTGAAATCAAATTTAAAAAAAATACAGATATTCTTAGCAAATTAAATAAGTCATAAGTAAAACAAATAAATATATAAAAAAAGAAAAACATTCATACTTAATTAAAATATTTACCTTCAGCCAAGGGAGCTCCGAGTCCAGCCCTTTCCTCCACGTGTGAAGGACAAAGCGAGACTCTAAGAGATCCCAGCGCTTCTCTCTCAGCCGCGTCACCGGCATTAGAGTAAAGCACTTAGAGAGTGGAAACTGGGAGAGGGCATCTCCGGTTATAAATAATAATTTTTGAAAACTAATATTAGTTTTCTAATATTGATACTAACGAAAATCAAATGTTTCCAAGAATTTAAATGAAATTTCCAAACGAAATGTAATGTTTAAAAATATTTTCGTTTGTATATATATATATATATATATAATGTGTTTTACACATCCGTGAAATATTTTTATATTTTACACAAGTACTGTGAAATAGTTTTTTTAACAATACCATTGCCTTTGTAAGGTGGATTATATATATATATATATATATATATATATATATATATATATATATATATATATATATATATATATATAATCCACCTTACAAAGGCAATGGTATTGTTAAAAAAACTATTTCACAGTACTTGTGTAAAATTAGAAGTAAAACATTTCACGGATGTGTAAAACACATGCTTATAACCTTGAATACACTTACTGTATAACATTTAAATAATTATGGGTGATAAATATTCATGACGCAGTCTTTTTTTAAAAATTTTTATTTGTGCCAACGTTTCAACCCAAACATGTGGGTCATCTTCAGGGCGTGGTTTGAGCACTGAGGGTGTTCAAGTACTGAAGAATAGTACTTATACAGTAGAAGTGAAGATGACCCACATGTTTGGGTTGAAACATTGGCAAAAATAAAAATTTTTAATAAAAGACTGCGTCCTGAATATTTATTACTCATGATATGTAGAACAGCCGACCAACTTCCTTCAAGAATTTAAATAATTAGATATTTATCGTCGGTTTGTTTCGAAATTTCATCATGTGACATTTAAAAAAATTAAATTAGTGAATAATTGTCATGTACCTCTTTGAAACATTTCAAAATTTATATATTGAATTATGTATAATCATATGTTTATGCAATTGATTACTTTTGCTAATGATAATAAAAATATAGGTGGTTATAAAATGTGGTTATATGTATTTCTCATGTTAAATTAAAGATATAATAATTAAGGAAAACTAGAGAAAGAAGAAGACAAGGAAGACCTGGGATAACGAAATGGAGGAATCCATGATGAGTCATGATCTACGGGAAGAATGGATCTTAGATAGGACATTATAGAACGAAGCCATCAAAGCACTCTAGGTTAAGGAAACCCACTATTGGTTGAAACTCCAAATGAAAAAAATAATAAATTGGCGATGAGGATAAAATTATTAAAATAGGATAAATTATTATTATAAAAAGGCACAAGTTTTAACTATTAGTGTTGGGCCAAAACAATATAATGAACTAACCGCGTTTCTCAGACCGAAGACGCCGACTAAATCATGTAGCTATAAAGGCTTAATCGAGTTATTTTCTCAATTATGTACTCCAAAAAAGAGTGCAGTAGTGGCTCAACATTATTTTTTAAATATTTGCAAACGGGAACAGGCCATACCACAATTTGTGGCTGCACTTCGACGCAATTTAGCAGAATACAATTTCAGATTACAATGCTCATGTAAACTGCAAGATGTTTATAGCGAGGCATGTGGAAGAGAGGGCCATATCGTTACAGTTTGCATTACAAGTCGCATAAATAATTCATATAAGATGAGACCCAGTTTGACTAATTCTCTATTCACTACAGTCCACGATCCACAGCCAGATCATTCCTATGGCGTAAATAATGTACAACTCTTCAGTAAGTTATCTAACATCGTAACGTAACATTCATTTGAATTAGTCCCAGATTCCGACAAATATATGTCTACAGTTCGTATTAATAACAGATTCCAACTGGAAAAATGGATTATGGAGCTCGTAATCAGTCCAGTTTGGACGTAATCAGTCCAAAGGGAGTAGTTACTGTAAATGTATCAAATAAAAATAAAGAAATTGAAAGATACAACAATTGGTGATAATTATTATTATAAATTATAAGATACAAAAATAATTTGATGTCTTTTTCCGTTTTTTTTAATTACAACATAATCTACTTGCAATTAGTGTGACAACTTTTGGCTTATCGATAGTAAGCAATGGAAATATCATAACTCCATTTTGTAAACATAACATTGGAATAACAAAAGTTTAATAAATAATAGTAGTACAATCCATAATCATTTATTGGTTAAATTGTCAGCACCATGTAAAAGTAACGAATGTTAATCTGCCCTAGGAGTACCCATCCCCCCAATGTCGATGGCGCAAGAAGCTATCTCCTCTCCCCCCATTCTCCCAAGGTATTTTATTACTCTCATTTTCTTAAAAACAGAGCAAGATAGAATTAGAAAAATGTAGATCATATAAAATTACACTTTCTGGGGGATATTCCATACTTTTCCGTTTGCCCCTTAGTCCGAAAATTCATAACTCCTTCGAAAATTCAAAAACCTGTCAAAATATGCCCTCCTCAAAAAACCTCGGCATTAAAAATTAAGTTGGGCCATGGAACCACTTTCAGGACACTCCTGATCTGCCCAACGTTTCACATTCGTTACTTTAACATGGTGCCGACGAAATATACAGGTGTAATTTCAATTCTCGCTAGGCATACATATGTAGCTCAAAGATCTGAGTTATCTGGTACAAAAACATACTGAATTACGAGGTTTTCATTGCCTGCAGTTAATATATAAGATAGTGTTTTTGTCGTTTTAATGGTCTTAATGATTTATTAGCAGTCATTTTTAAGCTTTAGCTCCGTTAAAACGCGCTTCAAAAATTTTGAAAAGCCAAACATTGCCAGAAAATAATTTCTATTCAAAGTAGAGTGGTAAGTGTAAGTTGTGTTTTGTAGGCATCGGATTTTTTATGTTGGCTTTTCTCGCCTTAACAAGCCTTTTTCATGTATGTAAGGCTTGGGTTATTGCTTCTCAGTTATTTTAATGCAGTTCATCAACATCTTCAGTGATGTTTTTTATTTTTTACATTTCTCTTGTCTATTATTGAGATAAACAAAATAAATATAATGAAATATGGGAATAGCAATCTACAATAAACATTTTATTTTCTAATTAAATGATTTAAATCACATGTGGCTCATATAACACGACAAATCGTAACAAAATTAAAAAATCAGTCTCAATAAGATGGAAGATCAGTACCAGAAAATCTTAGAAGCAAACCAAGAAAATGTTAGATATAATACCATGCTGGCACGAGCCTTTATCCCACTCATTCCCAAACAAGGTAATCTTTCAAGTAAAATCTTTATAAATAAATCTTCGGAAAATTTGAAAACAATTTGACATGACCCGCGAATCTGGTAAATCAATCAACGATCGATATTTACTTTGCGCACATTACCTAATGCTCTTTTCTTGACCGTTGGTCTCAATCGCAATCAATACCCCAACAAACGATGGCTCATTCATCATTCATCGCTGTTAGCGAACTCTTAGCTATAATTAAATAACTTATAAAGCAAATTCGTTATTCGATATGAGTACCAGTAGCTTATACAGTACCATTAGCTTATACAGTACCAGTAGCTTATACAGTACCAGTAGCTTATACAGTACCAGTAGCTTATACAGTACCAGTAGCTTATACAGTACCAGTAGCTTATACAGTACCAGCCTTAGCGTGGGGCAATTGCCCCGGGGCGCCGAACTGGAGTGGCTCTGAGCTTCTCACTACATTAAAAAGTTGATGGTACTCAATGGACGCGGAATTTCATGCTCTACAACTTTTATTCTATGAGTCTATTTTCTTAGGAAATTCATTCCCGTGCTGCAAAGCCATTACTACTAATTTGTCTCAGTTTTTGACGAATTTAATAAAAATCAGCATTCGTTGACCGTGGTTATCGATCATATCACTTAACCAAATTATTAGGTTTAGGTACTCCTTCGAGGTACAAAATAACGTTCTTAATTTCTTATAGATTGCGTTTTTCTTCGAGTTATGGTGAAAATATAAAAAACAAATCTGACTTTTTTGGCTGTAAAAAGTTTTCTTATGGCACGCGTTAGCTATTTTGTTTATTATATGTCTAAACCCATATATACAAACTAAAAATATAAAAACTTTTTCCGCATTTTTTGCAATGAATTTCACGTTTTGATTCTCAATTTCCTAGCCTAATATTCTTTTAATCAGCCGCCAGTTTTACAGGTAGCAAGATCCGACTGGCATGCTCTTTTTTAAAATATAAATGTCATAAATATTTGTAAAAAATGTTTTCAAATTCTTCAGTTAATGTCAGTTAATCTTTTTTGTGCGGACCCTCATATTATACCTAAAGGATCTTCCTTTTGCTAGTATTGACTAGCATTCCTTTCCAGCTCTGCGTATCATTCCATCACTGTAAGCTGTAACTTTTCTGTAGAATTTGCTATGAGAACAATATCATCCGTATGAAAAAGAAACTGGGCCACCGTGGGAAGTAGATTTTTCCGGCTAGAAACATCCTCTCGGTTCGCCTTTTGCAGATTACCGCTATTTCATCCATGTATAGTATAAATAGTAGGGAGATAAGACTATCATCTTTTTTGACCCCTCCCTCCTCCTCCCTAACTATGTTTAAGTACCCAGACTCCTGACCAGTTAGTCTAACAATACCTTTTGGGTCTTGGTATTTGGACTTAATGACTTCTGCCCAACTCTTTAGAACATTTTCAACTCTTAGTGTCTCCCATATATCGATCCTTTGGATAAAGTCGAATGCTGTCAGATGATCAAAGAAAACGAAGTACATATTTTAATCCCGATCCCAGGATTTCTGCAGTACATTTTTGAGGGAGAACATGTGGTCCTGAGTTAGTTCTCCTGGTCGAAAACTAGCTTGCTCCTCTCCTATGAGCGGCTCCGCCAGAGGTCTCGATCTACACTCAAGGATGGACTTATCTAATTAGTACACCTCTGGAGACAGGCATCTGGATCTGTAGTTGGAGCATTTTTCCTTGTAGTCTTTCACGTCTATCGCAGTTATGACATTATATTCCAAATCTATATGAATCCTCTTTTCGTTCCAGGCTTTTTGTTAAAGTATTTGGAACGATCTAACAAGTTCCATATTTTATGAATTCTCAAACTATATTGTACCATTCTGGAGTTTTTCCTGTCTATATTTTTTTGATAGCTCTTTCGATTCTGTCCTCAATCACCTTCAGCCACCATATTTCCTCGATCGTTCTTAATATTTCTTATTGCTTTGTTTTTCCATCCACTTAACAGCTTCAATTTTTTTCCAGAATAATTTTATATTTTCATCATATCCCTGGTTTAATTATTTCCGAATTCTTCCTAAAACACATTTTTTGCCATTTTTAGATCTTCCTTGGTTTTGTTCATTACCAGTATATAAGGCTGCCAGTTTTCTGTGGTTTTACTGCTGCAGTAATTCTTCCATGCTAATTTCTTTTCATTAATTAGTGCTTTTAATTCATCGCTCCACCATGCAGTACGCTTGTGATTCGTAGATATCTACTGCACTCCACACACTAGTGCGACAGACTCCAAGATACCATCTTGGATATGCTTCCCAGGGGTATCCAAAAATATTTCATCAACATTTTTGAGGTGAGCATATTTTGATTTTTTGAGGAGGGCAAATTTCGACGGCGTTATGAATTTTCGGAGTAAAGGACAAGGGGAAAAACAAGGAACATACCGCTGCAAGTGTAATTGTATATGATCTATGATTTTTCTAATTCTACCTTATCTGGCTCTGTTTTCAGAAAAAGGTGTTACAATAAAATATCTTGGGAGGAGGGGGAGGGCAGGTTCTTGCGCCATCGACCTTAGGGGAGGGATGGGCACCCCTGATACTTACAGACATCATCCAGGGTTGCTTCTGCGTTCAATTCCTGAAGTCGTTCTCTTAGTTCATCTTCATCGCTACCATATCTGAGGGCCTGGAAGCTTTTCCATCTCAATCCTATCGTATTTTTTTGGCTTTTTCATGCGTTCCTTAAGCAGCTGGATGTATGCAATCAGTAAAATATGATCACTTTTTATCTTAGCTCTCCTAATGACTTTTAAATCTTTGAAAATCCTCTTAATGTCACGACCATATATAAAATAATTAATAGTGCTGTTTGCCTGTCTTGCAGTGAATTAAAAGATAATTTAATACACTGACTTGTGCGGAAAATACGAATTCCCTATGAAGACGTCATTGTCCACACAAAACGCAATTAACGGCTGCCCACTTTCATTCTTTACTCTCTCACCTCTATGCCGACCCATCGCATCATGTGGTTATTGCTTCCTATTTTTATTTATACATTTTAGTCTATATCCATAATATGGTTAATCCTGGTTTTGGGTGGCCCTGAGGTGTGTACTTTATATGATCTTGGTATGAATTAGTGTAAAGTGTTCTGCTGTGCCGTGTAAAAGTGCCTTGTATTGAACTCAAGAGCTTGGGGAAGCGTTAATCCCTTATAGTCTGAAACCTAAACTAGTATCTGCGGAGCAGTGAAGTCTTAAGATTGTAATTTGGATTTTCTATGTTTTTTTTTTAAATTTTATTTAAATTACTAATCTACATTAAAATTAAATAAATAATGTGATATTTAAAAAAATCTTTTTATTAGAAAGAGATCATGCACACCGATGGATGGCTAAGCTGAGCAAGATAGAAGGAACTCCTTTCGATTTGAAGAACAAAGCAGACTACTTGTGGTACTTCGTCATGAACGCAGCGCACAGCCAAGAAATGATGCCCCCATTCCACGCGCCCCCACCAACTGGAGATCTGCCTCTTCTCAGTTCTATTTTGGTCAGTTACCATATCAAAACGTTATATTCATTAAGATTTTTTTTTTTTATCCTAAAAACTAACACCGTTTAAATAATAAATATATTCCATGATTAAATCGATTAAACCAAATCGAGGGTCTCGTCCACACGTACAATTATATAATAATTTATAATAATTTGATAATAAAAACTACAGGCTGCTAAGTCCATAGTTGATAATTCTGCATAAAGTTGAAATATACAAATAAAAATTAAAATTTTATTGGATACAACCACGAAAACGAGAATCCATACATGTATTAGCATCTCGATCATAAAAGTTCGATTTTAATAAATGTTGAAAAATGGAATAAATTGACTTCTGAACATTTGGTTTCGTCTTCGAAGGGTGACAGTTGCCTTCATGGTTGTTTCTAGACACCATGATTCGCAGGAGTGTGAAGGCTATTGTTGGACTCCCTGCGAACACTTCTACGGCGATGTTACACGCTCCCAGGAGGTATCGAGGATTAATCCGCTGCCAATGGGAGGCTCATCTACAACATTGGTCCATTGCTCAGTGACTATCCAATGTGCCCGATGCCCTTTTCCAATCGATTTTCGATTATTCGGCTGAGGTTGCTGAATGTGCCGAGAGATTGGGGATGTATCGGAGTATTCGGAATATGAGAGCTCTACAGAAGTCGCTACGAGAAATTTCGTTTGAGGAATGGACCAATTGTAGGTGACAGGGCATTGGAGCTCGTCATTTTAAAGAGATTCCGAAAGCCAATAAATACATGTACGATAAACAAGTACTTTCTGGGTCTGAATGGTCAAATGCCCTGAAACTAAATATTAACTATTCACCCCTGAGTGGAGCAGATAGGGAGAGAGTTTGTTCATGGCGGGAGGCATGCGTGTATTACAGCATTTTTGTATTATTTATTGACCACGTCCAGTGTACTTTATGTATTTGTATGCATTTTATGAGCTAGGTTAGGAAGAGAGAGGAGAGAATACAGGGAGTAAGAAAAATGTATAAGGGGAGAGCACTAGCGGATCCAGGATTTAATTTTGGGGGGGCTTCAGCCCGAAAGTTTTTTTTTCATAAAATTAACGATAATTACTTTGGAATAAAAGAAAGAAGCTAACTACCTATATGAAATGGTGTTTAAGTGATTCCTAAAGCCCTTTTAAATGTAATTATACGAACAATAATACTTTAAGAGATACTTTTTTAATAATTTTTTCGAAAAAACATGGTTATATTTTATCATTTTGGGGGGGGCTTCAGCCCGAAAGCCTCCCTCCCCCGTAGATCCGCCCGTGGGGGAGAGAAGGAAGAGAAAAATGCCTAAAGCATTTTAACACGTAGAATTAGTGAATCCCGTCTTTAAAACCGTTTTCGAGAAATTTAAAAATGGATTATTTAAACTACCACTTCCTGTTAGTCGATTTTTGCTAAAATTGGTTGTAACATTGTAACTAAGTAAGTAATTTCAGTTTCCTACGACTTTTTGAGCTGGCCTGTTGACGCACACGCACAAGCCGTCATAGTCCATTCACGCTCCAGTCGCGCACACGCACGCACACTCGTACGCACACGCACACACACAGGCAGACACACACACATCTGTACAGTACGTTTCAATCACAAAAACAGTCCCGTCAAAATATGTCCCATAAAAAATTGTAGTAATGCAACTTGTCCCATGCAACCCTCTCCTTGGCATTTCTGCTTGAACCGTGTATAGAAAAGCGCTAACGAAAATTTATTTCTCCTCTTTGCTGAATTAAAATACTTAGATTACCTAATATTAATGACTTAAATTTAGATTACTTTTATTAAATAAAATGGACAATATTTATTTGAGCATAATTATTACAGCCGAAAGAAATATATGCAGATGTTATAGATTCGTCAGATAGAAAGAGTTGGTGGTTGGAAGAACCACTAGTAGAAGGTTTAAATGATGAAGAGCTCCAGGAAGATGACCTGGCATTTGACTTCATACCAAGTGAATTCGCCAGGAATCAGCCGAGCCCCAAGTGCAACGGTTCTTACGTCTATGCCTGCGTTTTCGCTCCCCGCAGAGATTGATGTGAATACATGTTTTCAGTGCAATGTTCGCTTTATTTAGAGTAAATTAAGTGATTATGTATTATACCAGTTGGTAGTGTAGAGCTAAGATTAAAATATAAAGTTTGCGAATATTTTCATTTACAATTTATACACATGCACACACACACACACACACACACACATATATATATATATATATATATATATATATATATATATATATATATATATATATATATATATAGATAGAAAGTAAACTTTATTCTGGGACAAGGTCCCTTATGAATAACAGATATGAACAAAAAAATTAAAACTACATCTGGCCAAAAATTATATTAATCAATATTAAAGAATATATACAGTATCTTCAGTGAAATTAAATTAAAACAACTAAAAATAAAATAAAATTTTGAGAAAAAACGAAATAAAAAAAACAACATTATTTAAATGAAAATAAAAATAAAATAAAATAAGCATGGGTTGATTTTTAAAATTAAGACAATAAATTTTATCAATCATTCACCTCAGTCAAAATCTGTTTCACAATATTTATTTTATTGTATAACGTCATTTTGGGATGTGAGAAGGAATTGGTAAAGATGATATTTAAATGAGGACAAGGAAGAGGCATGACGGATTTCAGATGGCAAGGAATTCCAGAAGGCTGTGGATCGGGAAATAAAGGAATATTCAAACGTCTTAGTTCTATGGGAAGGGATATAAAGGTCGGAAACACGGGATCTTGTTTTCTGGGAGTGGACCACGGGTTTAAACTGTAGGAGACTGTAGATGTAAGAAGGGTGTCTAGTGTTGATTGTTTGGAATAGGAAAGATCCGAGGAAATATTGTCTGCGGAAAGAAGGGAAGAGCCACTTTAACTCGTCGTAAAGGTGGGACACATGAGATCGCTTTGATGTACCGAAGACAAATCTTAAGCACGTATTCATGAGTCGCTTCAATCTATCCTCGAGTACCATCGGGATGCCTCCGTACACCACACAGCCGTAGTCAAAGTGGGGGAAAATGAGAGAGGATACAAGGAGCTTGCGGATGGGTTGTGGGAGTAGGTGGCGGGAGCGATGAAATAGCTTAAGGGTACCTATTGACTTACGGGAGATGAGGGCAATATGGGGTTTCCAGGAGAGGTTTTCGTCTATGGTGATTCCTAGGTTTTTAACGGATGAACTGAATGTGACAGGATGATCGTTGATGACTAAAGGAGGAAGGAAGGAGATGGATTTAAGAATAGGACTGGAACCTATAATAATGGCCTGAGTTTTCATCGCATTTAGATTTAAATTATTCAGACTTGCCCAGGCACTGATCCTATCTAGGTCAGCCTGAATATTGGCGAACGCGACTAGTAGCTCAGAAGGATGAAAGGAAAAATATATTTGGGTGTCATCAGCGTATAAATGATGTGAACAGTGGTAGATGGATTTGGAAAGATCATTTATGTAGGAGTTGAAAAGGAGAGGGGAAATGCTCGAACCCTGGGCCACTCCAGAGGACAGTGTAAGAAAGGAAGATAGGGGTTGGTTTGGAATGCTGACTGCTTGAGTTCTGTCGGATAGGAAAGACTGTAACCAGAGGATAGAGCTGTTGGAGAAGGATAGAGATTTTAATTTAGTATAGAGTATAGAGTGGTCTAAGGAGTCAAAAGCTTTGGAAAAGTCGAGAAGTATTAATACAGTTGACATTTTTTCGTCCATTGCGGTATGTAAGTCATTGGTAATTTTTAGTAGGGCGGATTGTGTGGAGAAGCCAGGTCGGAAACCAGATTGGAGAGGATCGAGTAGTTTTGAGTTTTCAAGGAATTTAGAGATTTGGGATTGAGCTATTCTTTCCAGAGGTTTAGAAAAGTTAGAAAGAATGGAGATTGGGCGGTAGTCTTTAGGAGAGGTAATTGGGAACTTTGTTGATAGGTCTGACTAATGCTTTTTTCCAAGCAGTTGGAAAAACTGAGTTCTGGAGGGAAAAATTATAGATGAAAAGGAGAACTGGAACGACTTCGGGAAGGAATAATTTTAATAGTTTGACTGGTATCCCATCAAGTCCGATGGAGTTTGTGTGTGATTTCATTATAGAGGAAATAAGGTCGGTCGGTGAGATGTTGGAGAAATAGAAATTATCACTGTTAAATGAGGGTGATAAGGAAAACTGGTGAGAGGTGGGTGAACTGTTGCTGGTGATGGAAGATATAAAGTAGGAATTTAGTTCATCGGGTGATACCGGGTAGAACGGTGAGGAAGAGGATTTACAAAGAGAGAGTTTACGAAGGGTTAGCCATATTGATTTAGAATCAGGAGCAGAAGAGAGAGTTTCGTGAAAGAAGTTTGATTTCGCTTTCCTGATCGTTGTTTGTGTCAAGTTACGGAGTACCCTATAGACTTGATAGTCATCTGCTAGTCGAGTTCGTCTGACGCGTCTACGGGCTGCCTCACGTCTCTTTTGCATGTCGCGGATTTCTTGACACATCCAAGGAGCAGGTTGGTGACGGAAGGTTGAGGTTTTGATAGGAGCATGTATGTCAAGAATATGGATAAGATTAGAAGTGAGGATGTCTACCATATGATCAATAGAGGTACAGGAATAAATATCGTTCCAGTTTAGGGTTTCAAGGTCCGGTAGGATTTTATCACGGGTGAGGTTGTCAAGATTGCGGAAAGTTATGGTTTTAGGAAGAAACGTGGGAGTTTGGATATCGTACGATAATTTGATGAGATCATGAGAAGAAAGGAAAGGAACGGGTAATTGAGAACAGGACAAGAGTTTCTGCTCTGAATCGATGATATGCAAGTCCAGCCAGGTGTCAGACCAACAAGTATGGTGTGTAGGAGCGAAAGGAACAATAAAAAGGTTGAGGGAGAAGAAGAGATTTTCCAAATAGCGTTTGTTGTTGGATTCTGTGAGGAGGTTGGTATTAAGATCACCGGAAATTATAATGTTATTATAGAAAGGGACATAATTGTACAAGGTTGATTCGAAGGATGAGTCAAAAGGAGTCAAAGGAGGGCGATATACGACCACATAAAGGAGAGGATGTGCTTTACAAGAAATTTCAGCGAAGAGGAATTCAATGTGAGGATGATTGGAAGGGGATGAAATATCTAGAATACGGGGTTTCAGGCCATTATGAACATAGAGACCAACACCTCCGCCAGTCCGGGAAACCCGGTCATGACGGATGAAGGTATAATCAGGTAAGGAAACGGAAGAGGAAGGGATATAGGGCTTAAGCCATGTTTCAGAGACTGCAATAATGTGGTAGAAGTTACAGGTGAAATATTGGAGAAATTCGTCATAGTGAGCAGGAAGGGATTGAGAATTAACATGGCAAGTAGTTAAGACGCTAGACATAACGGAAAGGAGAAAAGTATACATATGATGGATGACGCTGTAGGTAAGAAAAAACTGTGAAAATCAATTTGGAAAGAAGTAAATAATGGCTGTAAGAGAAGAAAAAAAATACAAACAAAATAGAGTTAGGTTCAAAAATATGAAAGAGGAAAAAACAAAAAATTACATTGGTTAAAATAGAGAAACAATAATAACAATAGTAGTAGATGGGCAACCCAGCAGGATGCTGTATTATACAATAGAAGATTGGAAGTTTACGGATGCATTCTGTAGGTTGACTTAAATCAGAAGGTCAGCAGAAAACATCTAGATCATCTGGTTGGTCGATGTATATCACGGGATGGCCATCTCCTTTTCTGCAGCGCAATCTACCCGCCGAATATATATATATATATAAATATATAAATTAGATTATGTAAATTAAAAATGTAATACTATATAAACCCCAATTGAATGTAAGTAAACTTAATATTACTCAAACATCCTTGGTTTTCACTTCGTGCCCTATAACTTCTTCCTTTTTTTTTTCTTTCATTTATCTAAGTATTGGGTTGGCAAATAAGTACTTTCGGTTTTTCTGTTTATTTTTCTGTTACTTCTTATCTGATGAATTAATCCCTAAGGTGGATTGTTTATCCAGTTTGTAATATGTCAACAACTATATCTGTTAAATCTTGTTGAAACTAGCTTATAATTGTGTTTGCAATTGCACTATTGCATATTTTGTAGTAATATTTTAAAAAAGATAAGCATGCTACAGAAGCTCATAGAATAATTTGCAGTGTTTATGGGAACAATGCCTTAACCGAACGCACCTGTCAAAATCGGTTTGCCAAATTTCATTTAGGAAATTTTTACATCAATGATGCTCAACGGTCTGGTCGCCCACATGAAATTGAACCGAGCAATGTTGATCAATAGCCCACCCAATCAGTGCGAGAGATTGCTATGATCCTAAATGTATCGCACACGGTTGTGTTCTACGGTTGTATAAAACCATTTGCACGAGTTCCGCTATGTTTCAAGGCTTAATTTTTGGGTCCCTCGCTCTCTGACCGAAGTCAACTTGGCAACACGCATTTTTGTTTGTGATTCACAACGGAAATGGCAACAAAACGTCCTATTTTTTAAAGGGTTAGTCACAGGAGATGAAAAATGGAAATTTTACGATGTAGTCCGTATAAAATCTCTTGGGACCTAGTCGTGAGGCTCCTAGAAGAATGTCAAAACCCGGAATGCATCCAAAGAAGATAATGCTTCCCATATGGTGGGATTTCAAGGATGTTATTTTCTATGAACTATTGCCATCAGAACAAAAATTGATTCAACTCTATACTGCTCACAATTAACAAAGGTGGATCAATCAATTAAAAATAAATGCCCAGAACTGGCAAATCGGAAGGGTGTTGTGTTACACCAAGACATTGCTAAGCCCTGCACCTCATTGGTCACTCGCAATAAATTATTGAGCCTTGGATGAGACCTTTTGCCCCACCCTCCCTATTCACCTGACCTAGCTCCACGTTACTACCACTTATTCCGGTCTCTGCAGGACTACATCAATGGAAAAAAAAAAAAAGAAGAGTACATGAAAAACCACTTGGATCAGTTTTTAATAATATGCTCCAGACTTTCTATGGACATGGCATTATGCAGTTAGCGAAGAGATGGGGAAAAGTCAT